GAGGTTTCGTTAAGTAAGTTTCATTTGCATGTGCATAAATAATATAATATTTCATTGTCGTTTAGTAGAATAATTATTGATGATGCATTCAGCTGCGAGTTGCAATCTTTGTAATTTTAATGGATTTTAAATAGATACTAATTATAGAAGTGCTATTTGTTTACTTTATTAAAACAAGTCAACAAATTAAATAATGTTTTAAAAATGAATGTTAAAAAATAAAAGAGAAGATGTAATTAATCTAGGGCTATTAAAATGTAATATGATCAAACAATTATAGAAATTATTGGGGAAACCCAGAGAAAACCAATGAGTCCAATGTGAGCTGTATACAAATCATCAAATAGCACACACGTAAGCCTAAGTAAGCGAATAATATCACTAAGCAGACATAGTGTACTGTCTGCTAAATGTTATTATCATTATTATTATGCAATATTTAGTTTGTGTTGAAGTGCGGAAATGATGATTTAGTGTATACGCATTTGCGTAAAACGATGATGCATTTAGGATAAGATAAGGAAAGCTGCCAACTATCCGCTGTACTTTTAAATCACACGACAATTACTTTAAGATATTATAAACATGTTTTGTCTGCCTTCAGCGGGTTCATTGACTGCGAAATCGTATCTCTGAAATTAATTAGTGCATGTCCCACTGTGAGTTTAGCTGCATGATGCTTAATATATGCTAATCTATAAGCTGTTGCTCAATTTGTCTCAACGGACTTAAAGCCAAATTAAAATCATATTAAAGCCTCGTCTCGAGGTCATTCAAATTTTCACCTACACCATCATTATCTCGTTCACATGACATTAGAATGCGTCTCACGTCTCAGATGAGGCAAACCGGTTGGGGAAATATTTTGTTTTTTATTGATTTTATGTATTAATACCCTGAAACCATAATAAAAATGGATAAAGCGGATATATGGTTTTGTGCAAAGGTATGTGACAGGCAGAGTGAAGTACCTCTGACCCCATACAGCATAAATATCCCTGATCAGAATCCGAGTCCGTGTCGATATAGGCATTCCCCCTGTCTCAGAGACTATAAGAACTCAAGACTTTAAGTTTTGAATATAAGTTCTCGTATATCCTGAGCCGATAAACTGTTCTCCATTTTGCGAATATCGATCATTTCGATTTTTTAATTTATAATACATAATATACCTTGACATATTATTGATAAACTGTAAATATTTCAATAATATCGGATATGAAACCCATGCACAATAATCAAAATCATGTTCTCATACAATACAAAATATTTAAGGGTATATCGTAGTCAGGCTCAGTCGACTACAGCATTCTTACTTGTTCCGTTTTCGTTTCGTTAGTATGCATATGTGTGTGTGCACGCACGCGTGTTTGCACGTATGTTTGTGTGTATTCACAGCAGAGTATTCACACACATTGTAATCAGCTGTTTGTGTCTTAACAATGACACACATTGCGACTACTGGAATTGACATACTCTTCTTTGAAGATTGTTAAAGTTATGGTAAGAATTATGTAACGCATTGAATGAAAGACTTAATTTTAATATTAACTTGTTTGTATTCTTTGTTGTGTACAAAGCAAAAATAAATATTTAAATGTGTGATCCAGAGTGCTTTTATTTTATAATAGTCAAATATCCAAAATGACCAAAAATGTATTATATTATAAATTTCCAATCAATAAAAATATAGTCGGTCCAATCCAAATTTTATTGTTATTGACTTTGACTTTTTCTGACGATAATTTAAAAGAAAAGATATCTGAAAGGGTATTCAATTGTCGACACGTTAGAATTTAGCTCTTTTTTACCAGCTGTGCGGCTGTTTTCCGTTTTTTTTTCCCCCGTTTTTTACTTGATTTAGTGGCATTAATATTTGCATTGTGTTTTAACTAAACAAATTTAAATATGCTGATTCCACTTGCAATTATTTCAGCTGTTTTCTAGAACAGGTATGTGTTCATTACATTTTTGTTATTAGTATTTGAATCTTAATTAAAAGCGAAGTGTTTGTCAGGTGTTGCTTAAGATGGAAACTTGTTCTCAGAACTTGCCGCCAGTTTGAATAATTGGCTTCCAAGTGCATTGCGCCATCGAAGTGCAAAGACTTCGGCCAAGGACAACGAGAAACAGTGGCCTGAGAATGGTTTTCGATTACAATAAATCAAATTTACAAATAGACAAAAGAAATACAAAAAAAAAAAAGAACATGAAACCATGAAAGTGTCTGTAACGATATATAATACAACCATCAGGCCTTTATGCATATATATCAACATAAATCTATCCATATATGTATATATCTTATAGCATATATATTTATGTGAGTGTGCCAAATGGGGCACTTGACACTGAGCTGGGTTAGATCAGCGGAGGGTGTTCTCTAGACAAAAACAATAAAACTCAAATGTTCGGCTCAAGATGAGCGACAAAATGGCGGCGATTGTGTTGACTTATGTAAGTTTGGGTGTGTGTGCGTGTGCCTGAAACTGTGCTATGCGGTTTTCCACTGCTGACTTTGGCATATGCAAATAGCCTGGCCCAAAGCATTACAGAAAAGCTCCGTTTTACATGCAGACTCTTTGTCGCGACCAAGTTTGTGAATTCATTTTCTGTGATCCAAGGCCATAATTTCATGCGCCAGACTTGGCGGCTTTATCAACTTCGTTTGCTTAATTTTGTATATTAATTAATTAAATTACTTTTCGCTGAGATTAAAAGCTCAAATTCAATCATTGTAATATAAAAAATAGCTCAAAAATGTCCGTTTATTACAGCTGCAGACAGCATCTCATCTATTCTAATCTAGCCGTATCAGTTAGAAATATTATTTAATAATTCGAGATTAAATAAATATACATGTATATATGTATGCATAGTTTTTATAGCGGCAAATATGCCAACTTCAACGCGACAAATAATATCCTAAGTTGTAACTTATCTATAAATTAGTGGATTTTCCGTAGGAATGTTGCGTAAAGCTTTTGCCTTATCAGAAAGCACAATTTTTTATTCATTCTCTTTAAGCATTACAAAACTGATGACGATAATGATACACATATATAAGTTCATAAAAGCATTAGCGAGTGCAAAAAGTTAGGAGCACTTTTTAAAATATTCGCATTTTGCGTCGTACCCATATTATCAGAGCACACAAGGCAATGACGTAAAATATTGAAATAATATTGTATTTTTAAATATAATTTTCCAACGTATCGAAATAAGAAACTAAAAATAGATAGCAGCTGATTTCAAAGACAAAATAATAACAAATGTGTCGAGTCGGTCAACAAGCATTAATCATGCGATATGTCTATAATGTACAGCTATTCAAATACATGCATTCACATATATTTGATGTGGTTGTGTATACAAACCCCCATGAGTATTTCCATATATTTATATATATATATATATTTATAAGCATGTGTGAATAATATTTGAAACGAGGTCAATTTGCCTTCCGAAAACCTGCGATCATATTCTTTATGATATGCACATGCATATTTGGCTCAAGTGCTTATCATAAATAAACTTGGGAGCTTTAATGGAACTCACCCGTCATCAGTCAAGTTGAGTGTTATTTCCACGTGGATGTCGCAATAGTAAATTGTTGATTAGCTAAATAACAACCACAATCATTTTACGCCCTTTTCTTCTTGTTATTCACTTTGTTAAATTAAACAGTTTACATTTTGAGTCAAATGACAACGATTTCTTTTTATTTTTATTGGCGTCCAAAATGTAAAGCACTTCGGTATTTCTCTCTTTATTTTCTTTACAGTTAGCACAGTGGGCTCAAGGCGACAAACAATGTCAATGAAATATTAAAGCTCAGTATGATTTGCTTCGTGTTATTTTATTATTATTTATGTGTACTGATTGTATACAAATTGCACAAATTGTTAAAAAAAAATTATTGTCAGCGTTGTGTTATGTAAATGTACAATACACAATAAAATTGTTGGTCTATTTCATATAATCACACACAATGTGTGTGTCACAAATAAACATTCAATATAATTTATTTTCGTTTTGCTTAATTCACTTTTCCTTTGTGTTCTGATTTTTGTTTTGGAGCAGTCAGAAGAACTCAGTCAACCAATGTGCGGCAGCTTCGATTTTTCTGCACAATGCGTGAATATGTAGGCGGCAGGGGCGGAGGAGTGCGGGTAGGTGGATAATTACAGCACCGTCCAGCAACGCAAGTTCACCGAGAGGCAGAAGTAGAGTACTATTTGGCGGTGGAAATAAACAAATGCACCCACTAACACTCATACACACGCTTTTGTACACACACACATACAATCGCGTCAGAACGGGGAAGAGAGAAAGAGAGAAATAAGGCAGGCAGGAAGGCAGGCCAGCACACGCAATTGAAATATATATAGAATTCACATCCAAATATTGGGAAGGCGTTAGATCAGTTCAAGCAAATCAGTAGATTCTTGTTTTATTTATTATTTAGCAAGTCCACACAAAAGCGAATGTGACAGAATTATTACGAATGTGTTGTTGGTTTGAAAATTTAAATCTACTTCTTCCGCACGCACAACCGTTCAGTTCCACAACTATTAACAGTTATGAGACATACGATTTTTGCCCAATGTTGTGCTCAAATGTAGCTGTTAACACGCTGTTCAACTCAAAAGAGCTACGCTCAGAGAGTGGTTGCTACTGTTAGAAAGTCAGTGGTGTAGTGCAGAGAATTTTGGGGCTTTTAACTACAAAGCAATCATTACTAGCGCTGCCAGTAAAATACTCAATTACAAATATTTATGTTATTAGGAATAAAGTATGCTTAATTTTCAAATTAAGTTAATTTGACACTTATAACAACCGTGTCCAATCAAATATATTCTGTTAGCAACGCCACTGCACATTTCTCTCAGAACATTTTTAACAGATTCTGCTAACTTAACAGCATAGGTCCAGTGTGTACACTCTCCTAAAAAATAGTTATCGATTGCGCTCACGTTTGAAATTCAATATCTGTAGAGTTAATTTGAGACTGTATGGTTTTTTATTTTATGGCACTTCATTCACATTTGACAATGGTCGTTTGTCTAAATAGATAACGTGAATATTACTATTATTATTTAAAAATTTATTACACTATTTATATCCATAGTAAGGCACACGCTAGGAACAGGAATCGCTATCAGCACCTTCCGCTTCGTCAGCTATCAGAGGTCGAGGGAGAGAGAGAGAGAGAGAGAGGGTGAGATAAGGGAAGTACAATTATTTAGAAAAGTATTATTAATGCCCATGGCTTTCTGAACATCAATCAAACGTCCATTGATAACTTAAGACAGTCTTAAGGTCTGTCAAAGTCACATCTTTTCTTTACTTTTCTTTTTTTTTGTTTTGATTGCCCTTACATAGTATTTGCAGTCCAAACATTAAGGCAAAGCCAATCAGTGCAGCAAGATAGGCACGCCAGCCAGCATGATTCTGTGTCAGGATCTCAAAGTAAACCACATAGAGCAACGTGCCCGAGGCAATGCCCTGCAGTATTCCCGAGGGAACACTCGGCTGATTCGCATTCGCCTGCTGGCTAATTCCAATGCCCACACCGATGCCAATGGGCGTGACAATCGAGAACGTTATTAGATAGATAATGGCCAGAGTGGTTCGTGTGCGAGCCACCAACAGCTCCATGCCCACGCAAAAGGCCAGCACCAATTTATGAGCGGCGACGGCTGCGAACATAAACCAAACAGTGCCAACGCTGCCCTCCAGTCCAATGGCCATGCCCTCAAACAGTTCGTGCAGCGACAGTGCCAATATAATGCCTAAGCCCCGCATCGAGGAGTCACCACCGTTGGCATCCACCGGCAGGTGGCTGTGCCCAGACTCACAATGTTTTGGCACCTGATCCTCTAGCGTAGATTTTGCTACTTCCTCTGTGTGTGTGGGGGTGTTGCTTATGAGAACACTGTGCCTCAAGCTGTGGCCCCGCACAAAGGCTTCACTGGCCAGCGACTCCTTTCGGCTCAACTTCTGCTGCTGGTGTTGCATAATCGAATGCATCAGCTCATCCAGGGCATACATCAGAAAGAAACCGGTGCAGAGCAGCATTTCCGGCAGGGCAAAGGGTGTGGCAGCTAAAATGCCACACTGCTGCAGGTGCTCAACCACTTCAATCACCTCCGGCAGCATGTGGACAAACGTGGTGCAGACGAGTACACCACCGCCAAAGTAGAGGAGACAGCGCACGACTGTCGAGGCGCGCGTCTCCTCCGGATCCTTTTTGGTCCACTTGAGGCAGCGATCCAGCATGTATGGCAAACTGCCGCAAATCACTGTCACCACAATCAGCACCACCATGGCCACAATTTTGGCAACAAGCAACGCATGCTGATCCACTGTTGTTATATCGCGCACCTGGATAATTTCCACCACCGGCTGTGTCTGTTTACCGTACATCTTTGCACCACCGATTGCCAGCCACAAGTGCGAACAAATCGCTGATGGTGCGCAGCACTTATATACCAAATACCCTCCATATCAGATGGCAATAAATTATATATTGGAGTACTGATTGACAGCACAAAATGCGATCGCCTGTGAACCATATTGGACGCTTGAACTCGGCTGAATTTCATTTTTGATAGCTGAATAGGAATTATAGGATTAAATACAAATTTATATTGTTATTGTCGGGCAAACAGAAAAGTGGAATGTTCAAACTGTTGCATTAAGCTTTAAAAGTTTTTCATTCGCTCAGCTTGAAGCGCATTTTTAACAATTTCAAATTGAATACGTAATTTTTAAATTTAATTTGGTGAAAAAATTGTATTCTTATTTTGAAAAATCTCTTCTAGAAAGAAGCAAAATACATTCAGAAAAATAAATCGTTTGAATATGCAGAAAATAATAATAATAAGATTAGGTTTATTATTAGCTTTATATTCATTTTCAAATCTCCATTCAAAAAATATTTTTAAAAAATTAAGGAAAACATTTTCATAATTGTTTTCCTCATTAATTAAATACGAATAACAGATTTTTGAAATACGGAGTCGCATGATTCTTGTCTTCAAACTCACATTCTGAGCTGAAAAATGTTTTTATATTAAAAAGAGATTTACGTCAAATAGTCAATACAGTTTCGAAATTTACTCACTTGATATTGTTTTGTTAGCCGCTCCACATAAATTGTTAATAGAAATCTTATCGATTTGGACTGAAAAATTTAGTTGCTACATTTTAAAAATTCAAAACAATTGGAAATCTTTTAGATTATCAAAATGTTTCGTCGTCTAAAACATATTAGGGCAATAAGGCCATCATTTACAAAATCTATCATGCGAAATTTCAAGTCTCTTACAGTAAAGGGTGTCAATCCGCAGTCAGAAGAAGTGTCTCAACTTACGATGCCAGGTGTAGTGATGGCTCCTAGTTACAAATATAAAGAGGGCGAGGTATACCATGGGTTCCAGTGTCAGCGCATTGAGGATGTATCCGAATTTGAGCTTGTGTCGTACACAATGCGTCATCTGAGCACAGGAACGGAGTTCTGGTATATCGATCGCAATGACGCCAACAATGTGTTCTCAGTCCATTTTCGGACACCACCCATCAATAATACGGGACTGACTCACATTTTGGAGCACATTGCTATGGACGGTTCCAACAAATTTCCAATTCGAGATCCCTTCTTAAAAATGCTTAATCGATCAGTTGGAACTAATCAGAATGCTATGTCTACGACAGATCTTACCAATTTTATTTGCGCTTCCAGGAACGAGGTCGATTTCAGGAATCTACAGCGCATCTATTTAGATAGTGCTTTTGGGTAAGTTATGAACGCAAATTGTATTCTATTAGCAGCATTTTTCTAGACTTGTATTATATATTGCAGGCCCCTTCTCACTTATTCAAACTTTACCCAAGATGGTTGGCGAATTGAACACAAGGATGTGCACGATCGGCAATCAGAACTTGTGATAAAAGGTGTCGTCTATAACGAAATGATTGGAATATTTTCGGACAACTCACGAATATTACGAAGAGATCTTTTAAAATGCATACTGCCAGATACAGCATACCATTATATGAATGGCGGGGATCCACTGGAAATTCCCGACTTAGAGCACTCGGATCTGGTGCAGTACTACAACAAATACTTTCATCCAAGCAATGGACGGATATTTTGTTACGGCTCCTTCGATCCAATGAAGTCACTTGAATACATCGATAAGGAGTATTTCGCTAATAAGGATGCCATAGACACTGCCTTCAGTCACATACCACCCCATCCCCGGTGGTCGGAGCCCCGCCAGATACACGTACCCTGTCGATTGGATATCCTGGGTGGTTCGCGAGAGAAGCAAAATCAAATTTCGATTGCGTTGCTAATGTGCGATAGGACCGATGTTCAGGGTACTTTTGAAATGAATGTTCTTACGGAACTATTGATTCGCGGTCCCAACTCGGCGTTCTACAAGGGTCTGATTGAGCCAAACTTCTCGGGTGGCTTCAACAAGAACACTGGCTATTTTCTAAGATGTCGAGACACGTATTTCCTTGTTGGCCTGCAAGATCTAAAGGTTGAAGATTTTGCCAGATTTAATGAGCTATATGAGCAAACTGTACTGAAAATCATAAACGAAGGCTTTGAGCCGCATCACGTGGAAAGTGTTCTGCACAATATGGAATTGGCGGTAAAGCATCAGGGTCCTGACTTTGGTTGTGCCGTCTTTTATACCTCGATGTCATTGTGGAATCATGGCGGTGATATTGTGGCCAATCTGCGGGTTATGGATAATATTGCCAAGCTGCGATCTAGTTTGAAACAGAACAAACACTATTTGCAGCAAAAAGTTGAAGAATATTTTCTAAAAAATACACACAAGCTGACAATAACCATGTCGGCCGATGAATCCTACGAGCAGAATTTCCAAAAGGCAACACAAAAGGTGCTCAATCAAAAGCTTAAAAACCTTGACTCCGATGATTTGGAAGCGATTTATCAGAATGGTCTTAAGTTAAAAGAGGAACAAAATTTGATCGAAGATGTCAATTGTTTGCCATGTCTAACGCTGCAAGATGTGCAGGAGCCACTGAAAATTCCCAAGATATGGGATGAGCTGATTCAAGGTGTGCCCACACAGCTGTGCAAGGTGCCCACCAATGGAATAACCTATTTCTATTCCTTTTTGAATACTACCGGCTTCAGTGAAGATGATATCATGCTCGTTCCACTATTCTGTGACATTATTCAAAATTGTGGCACAGTCAAGCATAATTTTCGCGATTTCGACAAGCTGCTTCGTTCAAAAACTTCCGGGATTGATTTGAAGGTTAAAGTTGTAGAAAATGTTAGGGACTATAAGCAATATCGAATGGGTATGTTAATGTCGACTTATGCCCTCGATAAGAACGTTCCCGATATGTTTGCACTGTGCGAAGAGTTGATGCTCAACTTCAGGATCGTAGATACGGATCGTCTTAGGATGCTCATCAAGAACTACATTTCGAAATTATCAGTGGGAATTCTAGTTTCTGGACACTTGTATGCCATAATGGGTGCCGCGGCATTGGTCAGCGATGCTGCCAAATTGAAGTCCCATTTATTAGGTGTCGATCACATAGATTTCATGAAGAACTATATACAAGAATATAGCATCGAAGAGATTCGCGACAAATTGTGTGCTATTGGCTCAAGGGTTTTCCACAAGGCCAACATGCGAGTTGCCATCAACAGTTCGGAGGCTCAACAACCAATCGTCCTGGAGCACTACCAAAGATACTTGGACAGGCTGCCCAGCCTCGAGAAGATGAAAAATAAAACGGATTTGCATTTGCTAAAGCCGAGCTATCATCAGTATGAAATGAATATAGCTCTCAACTACTGCTCAAAAGCCTTCTATGCCGTACCCTATTTGCATGAGGATCACCCTGGATTGCGTGTCCTAGCAAAGCTTCTGACGGCCAAGTATCTGTGGCGGGTGGTGCGTGAGCAGAATGGGGCCTATGGCACGAATGCCAGAATCGGCTATGATGGCCTCTTCACATTCAACAGCTATCGTGATCCACATTCTACGAAGACACTGGAAGTATTTGATGGTTGTTATGACTGGCTAAAAGAGTTGGGCGACAAATTGGATGAGGAAATGCTGCTTGAGGCAAAGTTGGGAGTGCTGCAGCTGGTCGACTGGCCAATACCGCCTGGTGAAACTGGCTTGGATTACTTTAATGTGAGAGTCTCGCCACAGGACTACAGAAAATATCGTGCACGTGCTCTCTCTGTAACAATCGACGAGCTTCGAGTCATAATTGACAAGTACTTCAAGCAGGAACCGAAACATTTTGGAAAATGTATTCTATGACCAAAACCGAAAAATTAGAGAGCCACTGAAATAGTTTTTATACCCTTGTAGATGGTATTATAATATTGTCATTAAGTTTGTATGCATTGAAAGAGACATCTCCGATACCATAAAATATATATATATTCGATATAGGCATAATTGTCGACCCGTCTGTTTTATATGCGCAGAACCTCTGTCAGTTTAAATCTTGATGAAATTTGGTATACTTTTGGTTTAGGGTTGGCACACCTTGATGCCATAGGAACAATCTTTCAAGAAATGGCGCTTATATTAAACAAATTATTTTTCAAATAGGTGCTATAGAATCAAACGGTTACATGAAAGTGTTTTAAAACCTTTTCCTGCTTGTCTTGTAATTTGTATTGTAAATTTGAGCTTTCAGCTCCAAGCGCCAAATTAATTTGTGACAGTTATCAAAAAAGTTTGAAGCCCTACCAATATTTAATAATATAGACTTTTAGCTGTTTTATTAACATGCTTATAATAAATGTTTACATTGACAATATACAAAATTATTTGTAATATACAAAAAATGGATATACTCGTTTACAATATTTAAACATTTATAAACGAGAAGGTCAATACTGGATTTTCGAAAATACACATAAACTACTTTCTTGAAGAGGTCTAGTTTTAAAGACTTTGTGGCTATTTGCTCTAAGTAGCGAGAGGTTAAGGAGATTATGAATATAAATCCTATATAATTGGGGTATTCGTTGTTCAATCAATTCGGACATACATATGAGCTGTTGCCAGCGGCTTCAACAACTGCAATGGGAAAGTTCAGGTTAGTTATAATTGCATGGGAATATTTCAGGTGCAACACTCACCTGCAATTTGTAGGCCAAACATGAGCAGGAAACCACCCAATGAGCATAGGAATATGCGCCAGCCAGCATGATTCTTGGCCACAATCTCAAAGTAGACCACATAGAGCAGTGTGCCGCAGGCGATGCCCTGCAGGATGCCCGCCGGAATGCTCGGCACATTCGCGCTGGAATTCTCAGTGACCGCAATGCCAATGCCCACGCCAATGGGTGTGACTATCGAGAAGACCAGCAGATAGATGACGGCAATCAGCCAACGGGTGTGGGCCATCATTATCTCCATGCCAATGCAGAAGGCCAGCACCAGTTTGTGGCATGCAATGGCAGCACACATGAACCAAACCGTATCCACGCTCTCCTCCAGGCCAATGGCCATGCCCCCAAACAGTTCGTGCAGCGACAGGGCCACTATAATGCCCAGGCCGCGCATCCAGTTGGGCTGCTCCGGTTCGACATCCATCAGTTCGACATGCTCCGGTTCGACTTGCACCGTTTCCACTTGCACCGTTTCGACTTGCACCGTTTCGCCTTGCACCGTTTCGACTGGCGACTGGTTAAGTTGAACTTGTTTTTCACAGCACTGCATTATGGCCTGTTCCTTATTGAGTTGCAGCTGTAGTTGTTTTGCCTTCCGCTTCTGTCGCTGCCTTCGTCCGACCACAAAGTACATCAGTTCCTCGATGGCGTACATCACAAAGAAGCCGGTACACATCAGCATCTCGGGCAGAGCGAATGGCGTCCATGCCAGCATGTGGCACTTCTGCAGAGCGCCCACAACGCCGACCACAGCCGGCAGGATATGGATGAATGTGGTGGCAATGAGAACGCCGCCGCCAAAGTTCAGCAGGCAGAGAACAGCGAAGAATTCGCGGGCATTGCTCTTCGCCCGTCTGGTCCACTTGAACCAACGGTCTAGCACATAGGGCAAGAAGCAGAAGATTAATGTGACCAGCAGCATCACCACAATAACCACAATTTTGGCCACCAACAAGTCGTGATCGTTCATGGTGTTGACTGTACTTCAAGCGATTTCTATATGCAATGATATCTGAGCACCTTAGCACCTTATATACCTTGCAGTAACGCGTATCTAGTGCTAGTTACACACACCGAGCATTTATTTTATAAGTACTGGATTTAAGTCCGTAAGCTCTTAAATATTGTTAAAGCCGAGAACTAAATTAATTAGGCTGAATATTTACTTACGCCACAGTAAAACCACACGAAATGGGCTGATATTTAAATTAGAAACGATTACTCATGAAAGATGATTTTAAAATGCCAGGAACAAGTATTATAAAATATAATTATCATACCACTAACAAAAATAGAAATGGAAGATTTTCACTAAAAACGAAAATGAAAAGGTTTAGCGAAAAATTTAATATTAAATTCAATTTATTACTTTTCGTAATTGGTAATAATTGGCAATAATATTTATGTTATAAGTGTAATATTTGTAGTAAAATTGTTCAAATAATTTATATGTTCCTACCCGTTGTAATATTAATTACTTTTGCATGAACCTTTTAACTTTCTTACGTTATAAATTTATTTATATTATTAAGCATTTCATTTTAAACTTCTTGTCTCGGTATTTTAGCTTCTCAACTAATTTATTCTGATTCTTGTCATTTTTATTTTTTATAAGTTTTGTGAACAATTTAAAAATGGTAATAGAAATTTTAAACAAGAGTAACTTTTACAGCTTCATTGTTGCATGGATATTTTTTTAAATTTACCATTAAAGTTATAGTTCTTACGTAATATTTGTAAGATAGTTTTGTATAAAAAGAAGAAGTTCAATTATCTATGGGATTTTATTTATTTTTTTGTATTTAATGTTGATACAGGAAAAAAGAATTTATGTTCATCTCAAGAGTATGATTATTTAAATGGTATAAGCTAATACAATTTTTAGAATTTATGACCTTGCACCTATTTACTATAACATTAATTGATAAATATAGAATTAATTCAAATAGAGAAAAAAACACGTTGGCAATTTACTGTAAACTACACAAAATATTTTATTTTTTTTGCTAGAGTAATTCTAAACATCAGTCAGATTTACATATATATATATATATATATATATATATATATATATATATAGTTTGACAGTTTGTTTTAGTGTAGTGTCACTATAATCAATTGAGCCTGCTGTCTTTGTTCTGCCAGCCTGAAATTTAAACGGAGATAGCAGTTGAGTTAGTGGGGCGGGGCCTTTAAATGTTCATGTGATAACAATGCCGGCAGGTTCGCTGTTGAAAATTCAGACTGATAGCTTCAAATTGCAAAAAGGCCTAAAAATACAACAGCGTTTGTCTGTAGATAATTCAGCGCTGATATCTCCCTAGTAAACAAGAAAGAAATTAATTACTATCAAATAGATAAAAATGGCTGGCACAATATTGATCGCACAACAACAGCACGAGTACATTTATAATTATCATCCCATAATTCAATACTGTCATGGGGCTGTCCGCCTGAAATTTCAATAGAAAAAGCTTTAGTGTTCTGTTGCCAACGGAGGTTGCAGGTTAAGTGGCAAAGTGAACTCATTCTTTTTTTTTTATACTTATATAAGAAGTGTAAGTTTTTATTTCCTCGGAGCTTATTGAATTGAAAGGAACTGCTTCAATAATGTGTTTCACGAATTTTATTTTAATTATTTTATTAATCCGTAATAGTTTACTGTAGAAATTATGATTTTTGCTTTAATATCATATAATATTATTGTAATTGTATTTAAATATTATTTTAAAAGTAATTACTATGACTTGAGCGTTGAATTCATTGTTTATTGATTGATTTGTTAAAATGTTTAAGTACATAATTGTGACGTGAAATTATATTCATATTGATATTGATTAATTATGGAAGCAGCCAGAAAGTTGACTCATTAAACACGGTTCTCTCTCAAAGGTAAATGTAGTTTATGTAAAAATATATAGTATGTAATATTTGCAATGTTCTGTCACCAGGGACTCTCGCACAATACTTGGGGCAGTATATTCGGCACTGTCGTTCTAAAGTCATTTCTTAAAGTCGTCTAATTTAGACGATTCCATGATGATAGTTCGTTATTTAATGTATGCATGATAATGTTTGTGCATTTGTGTGTGAGTAGTTGTGTCTAGTGTGTGTGTGTGTTCCTTTCGCTTTTAAATTAATTCATTTGCTCTCATCCTCTCTCTCGCTCACGCTCTCTCTCTCACTCTTCCTTCTTCCAGTTTTTCGTTCTCTACACGCGGGCACGCCCTTGTTGTAGTGGTTGCAATATCGTATGTTCTTCAACAATTTCTAGTTACACAGCAGCAGCAGCAGAAATAAGCCCAGCAGCATTCACATTTGACCCACTCGATCACATCACGACTGCTTCGGATGCTGCACGGGTGGCGGTGGTGCCGGCTTGAAGCACTGCAGCAGGAACGCGGTGTAGACAACAAAGGCCACGGCCAGTGCTATCAGAGCGTACATGAATATATTCAGTTCCGGCTGGCGGAAACGATTCTTGCGCAGCCATTCGAGCACCTCATCCTCCGAGAGCAAATCGCCTGTAAGATATAAAGATGACCAGATGAAAATGCATTTTCCATACCAAACTGGTATTCCTTATTGTGTTTTAATATCTGATATATTTAGAAAGAATCAGTCTCAAATTTAGAAAATCGACAAGAAAGGATGTTGCCTATCTTAATTCAAGACTGATTTTTTCTACAATTTAGAACAAATATTTCTAAATTTTGTGTTATTTATTGCTTTATTTTGCTGCATTTGCATATTTTGCAAATTTCTTTAAAAATATTGTTTTTTTTTTTCTAAAAATAACGGTTTTGCATATCTACTTAATATTATATACAATTTCTGAAAAATGTATAATTATTAAAATATTTTTTCATATATTTAGAAATTAGTTTTCAGGTCGATTTCAAAATTTAAGGCGATGTTTTTCTTTCTTTCTTCAATATACTTTTTAAATATTTTCTAAAATATTACTTTGTAATATATAAAACTCTTTTCTATAGACGAAACTGAAGGAATTAATGAAATAGCTATCCTAAGCATTAAATTACATTTAAATTGAGATCTAACTTGTAGAAAACTTAAATTGCCACTGAACATTACAACAACCGATTTGTACTTGCCTCTATATATGCTAGGAAAACGGCGACGGAAATATACCATGGCTGGCAGTTTGGTAACGCCCCATTTCTTAGCATAGCGCGAATCGGCCATTTTCACAAAGGTTATATCCAGATTATCGGTCTCGCTGTCAATGTTTTCCAGTTTTTCCAACGCCGCAACGCTGTCAGGCTGATTGTGTTCATCTAATAAAAATACAACAATCGTTTAGAAATGTATATATCCAGCAGATCCAGCGATTTTTTTGCTTACAAAAGAACACGGAAATAAATTCGTTTTCTTCGAGCAGCTTGTCAAGCATTTTGCGATTGACCTCCTCGATTTCGTTTTTAATTTCGAATACATCCTGCGATGTTAGCCAGGTGATGACCTTATCATGCTGATGCATATCGCCATCGTATAGCACAGGCACTTGTTTTCTAGGATTAAAAATTAATTAAATTTTGCCTTACTGAAAGTTCTCAATGTTCAACTCACCGGAAATATACCAGAGATGGTATATTGACCACTTCATATTTCTTGGCTGCTTCAACGCTGGTTATTTTAACAAAGTCAATGCCAAACATATCAGCCTCGCCATCGATTTCCTCAAGCTCCTCAAGAATTTCCTCGCATTCAGCACAATCATCATCATCTACAGATATATGATAATTGTTATGACAAAAAATTTGTGTATTGCATAGGTTCTACTTACAAAAGAATACCACCAACAAAGTCGATTCAGCCATTAGACGATCCAGCATGCGTTCGTTCACCTCCTCGATTTCATCGGCCAACTCACGATTATCATCGTCAATCAACCACTCAAGCACAGATTGTTCATTCTGTAGATCACCCTCAAAGAGCAGTGGATTGCCATTGCTGAGAATTAAATATCAAGAATTATATTCAATTTTCAATTGGGCTTTGCACAAAAACTACCGGAAGTAGACCAAGGCTGGGAAAGTTTTGATGGAATAACGTTTGGCCAGCTGAGGATCCTGGATCTTAACCATGTGTATTCCAAAAACATCGCACTCATCATCAATCAGTTCAAGACCCTCCAATATCTGATCACAGATATTACAGTTGATTTTGTCTGGCAATATACAAAATTAACATCTTAGATAAGTATGCCAATAATATTGTAAGACTTAAGAATGTGAAGCGTACGCTTTGTAGTAGATAAGTTAGATAAGTTATAGATAGGCACGCATAGAAAATAGTGGGATAGAGAAAACGCCAAAACAAAAGGTATTCGCGCCCAAACTAAATTCTCTATTTATTGTTACAATGGAATTCGCAACATTTTATACGAAACTCGAAAAGGAATGGCCTAAGTTAACGACGGGTTCATTTAGTTTGGTCGATAATACGTTTAGAAGCCTGGTTTAGTAAAAGAGTTGTGGAAGAGAACAGTATTTTAGGCATAATATGATAGAAGTAGTTTATCTTGTTAGAGCTCGAGAAAAACATGCGCATTATTCAATTGATTTTTGAAAGTTGCGATTTGTGTGCACGAATACGAATACGGAATACCTTGTTTTTGGATACGTTTTCTTTTACGTGAAATGTAGTTTTGTACGAATTGGCTGGATGAGTGTTTGGAGGTAGTGGTCAGGTTGCTTTCTACAAGACTAGAGGGTGAGCAGAAACTCCGACAGTAAGCGGGTGGCTTGCCCCTCCGCTCAGTCGGCACTAATTGGATACCGATTTGTTTTTGGATATTTTAATTTATTTATTTTTTTTTTTTTGTGCGGCAGGAAATAAATATTGTTTTGATTGGTTTGGTTGTGTTGTGGTGGTGCAGAGAGATATTTGTGTTGTGGTCGTGCAGTGGTGGTAGAATGCCAAGGGATATAATTGATATTGTGTGATAATTATGAAAAGTTATGTTGATTGCGGGTGAGAATAACTTACAGAAATATACGGCAAGATATTGTGTCTCCTCGACCATAGTTTCAAGCATTTGGCGTGTGATTAACTCAATGCGATCTTCCGTTTTCTGTGTTATAAGCCATTGGAGGACTTCCTCCTCCTCACTGAGTTCACCTGGAAATTAAAAGGATTTAAAATGATGAAAAATCGTTTTCATTTTGCGGTAACAGGAAAACGAACGTAATGCTCAAATTTGCGAAAACAGAACATTTTTTTATTTATTGTGAAATCTGATACTATTTCATAAAGAATTTGTTCTTTATTGCTGTAAAATTCATTTGCCGTACTCATGAATGCAAACTAACTATTTGAAATAAATATTTTCTTCTTTTATCGTTAGATCAAATTGATATTAGGATTAACTTGGTATGTCTATTAGGGATACCTTGGTGCGCCGAGGAACGATAAACATGCTTGAAGCACTTTTGAATGCTTCTGTTTTTTATGCTACTCGACAAGTTTAGAAAACGATGATATTAAAACTCCTATCGGTTACCTAATGATGCATATCTGATATGACAGTTTTCTTACCTTCAAAAACATTTGGTATGCCACCCTCGAAGTAGACCAGAGCCGGATATTCGTGTACGCCGTAGCCATCGGCGACGGAGAAGTCCCGTGTTTTGACAAATGTTATGCCATGTTTATCGCAGTCATCGTCTATATTCTCCAGTTCCTCGAGCACTTTGGTGCACTGTTCGCACCCGTCGGCATCTAAGAGAGCAGTGATTAGGGGAATACGGGGAAATGCATATTATAACAAAGAGTGCACAGTAAACAAGTGGGGGGAAGTTGAAAACACTACGAGCAAGCACTACACTTAGCACAACGTGGGGAACAGAGTGGAAACTTGTGTATGTTGAGAAAAGCATAATACATAAAACATAGAACGTAGCACAACGCAGCAAAAGTGAGACAGATTAACGCACAGAGAAACAGACAGAGACAGATAGATAGATAGAGACAGAGAGAGAGAGAGAGTGTGTGTGTGACAGAAAAACAGAGGGGGAAAGTGTAATATAGAATTCGGTGTTTTGGGTTTGGGGGCTCTGAAGTTTTGAGATGCGCTACATCATAATACCGGGTAAGACATTCTCATACATATGGAGGATATGTACATGTGTATATATGTGTGTGTGTGTGTGGGTGTGTGTTGTTGTGGTTGTGGTTAAACATTATTGGACTCATTCCATTTGTGGTGTCTATACAAAAGTTATTAAATTTGTCACGTATTGCGCTACCATCATCATGTTTGCTGGCCATGGCATCCGTTGCTGCACCATCGCCACCACCAGCACCACCGGGCTCGCCGGCAGCTGCTGCTGCCTCAGGATCGCTGCCAAAGGCGGCGGCCGCACTGGCGGTGCCGCCATCCTGTTGCTGCTGCTCGCGCTCCTTTTTCAGTCGCGCCTTGCGCACCGCTTTCGAATTGCAAATATCACACTTCGTTTTGTTCCCTACGTTTTATTATTTTTTGTTGTTGTTGTTGTATTTTTTTAGTGCGATGTTACGTGTAGTTTTTTTTTTTTGTTTAAATTTTTTAAATAGAAATATAAATGTTGTAAAAAGTCTTTTTGGTTAGATACAATTGAGCGTTGAAAAAATATATAGTAGCTTAAAATAAGTAATAAGTTTTTGATTGGTTACGAAAATTCCCAACAAGATTTTGACTGCAAACTGTTTGCGCAAAAGAGTGAGCATAATTCATATCGAGTACTTTATTGAATTTTGTAATAATGTTGTACGTGGTGTTTGGAAATGAGACAGATAATGGACAAGTTTCGAGGCGCTGCAAAGTAGGCCACACATTTCGAATAATTGTGTGCTCGATATGAATGCATGTCACCAAACCGATTGCAGCTGTTAAACGCTTGATAAACTTAACACATAATCAAATTTCTGTATTTGTTAATTAAATATCGAACGTTTTGGTTTTTATTGAACTTACAGAAATACACAGCTATGGAGCCAGACTCTTCAATCAAGTGAACCAGTCTTTCGCCTTCGAGATCTTCAATAACATCTCCACTTGGATCCTTTTGCGTAAGCAACCAAGATAGGATTTGTTCTTCCTCATAAAGATCACCTGTCAAATCCATATACAAATATATATTTATATTTATGTTTTTATATTTTATTTTTTTTTTTACTAGTACAAACCGGCGTATATAACTGGTTCCTTAGATGTGGGCTTAAAGAAGACAATGGCTGGCAGTGCGAAGACACCATATTCCTTGGCCATTTGCTTATCATCGATCTTGACAAAATCAATGCCCGCATTATCCGCATCATCATCAATGTGTTCCACCTCAGCCAGGACGCGAGGACACTGTTTGCACTCATCGCTGTCTGTAAATATTTATATATAATTATGTAACTGATATTTATATTCGCTCGACTTTTACTTATTAGTAATACTTACAGAAAATCACCGCCACATAATCGGAATTTTTGCGTATTTTCTCAAACATCTTGCGATTAACCTGCTCAATGTGATCGGTCATCTCCATGTTGGCGGGACTTGTTAGCCAATCGAGAACTTCCTCCTCATCATCGATATCGCCATCGTAGTTGATGTATTTGCCCTTGCGGAAATAAGTTATACCAGGTGGATTTCTGAAGCCATATTTCTTGGCCATCAGCTTATCGTGCATTTTCACAACATAAATGCCATATTCGATAGCCTCGTCATCGATCAGTTCAATGTGTCGTAGCACACGCGGAGAATCAGGATCATCTTCTTTATCTGTAAAGATTTAGATACGCATATGCCAAAATGTCCCTTAAAATTGTTTCGAGAAAATCATAAAAACAATTTTTGTTTTGTTCGATTTTTGCTTGTTTTTGGGCAGTTACAGTTTTTAGTGGGCTCGCATTGTCAGACTCTCATAAATATATCGATAGAATTTGTTTTTTTTTAGAACTTTATACTTAGTATACCTTAGTTGTTGTGCATACTTACAGAAGACAACCGCTAAAAAGTCTTTGGTGCCTATATATTCAATTAGTTGATCTCGATTAATAAGCTCAATGCTTTGATCGGCCTTTTGCTCCAGTATCCAATTGAATACCTCATTGTTACTATCCAAGTTACCTGCACATCAAATATAATAAACTTTTAGTAATTATAGTGCTCATCACTGTGATAATTCGTGTTTTTTTTATTGATGATAATTTTCAACATACCTGTACGCTGCAGTTTGTCAATCAATCAATAGATTTTTCTTTTTAAGCTAAATTATTAAATGTTTGTTTCTTTTTTTAGTGCGTTTTTTCCATTTTCATTACCGCAATAATCTCGAAAAACATTGGGACATTTTTTTAGGCAGTGGTAATTTGGATGACATTGTTTTTAAAATGTATTCAACATTTTCTAGAATAATGCAAAAACTCTTTTGGTTATACATAAGCTTAACAAATCGTTTTATATAGATGAGAACAAGAACCGCTGACGAGTATTGAAATCAATTTAATGCTTTCAACAAAAACAACCAAAACATTATACATTTTATTCTTTTTCTTTGTTTCTTTTTTTGTGCGAACGCTTAATTATAGTAGAAACCTAATTTGTATGTGTTTTTCTTTTATTTATTCATGTGAAATTTACAATTGATTCTTTGCGTTATTCAATATTACAAAAATAATTTCCAGTTATTACATATGTATATAATTATATAAATAGTTCATTTAAAAAGAGTTAATAAAACTTTAACAAATACATTGCTTGAGTTCCCTTCTATTTTTGTTTGTTTTTCTTTATCTTTACAGCTGCTGTTCAACAACACATATTTTAAAATTCTTACAAAACAAATGTGACTCTCAGTGAAAAAGGCTTACACAATAAGCTAATGAAAATTAAAATAGAATTCGATATTTTTCAAATATCGATAACAAATCGCTAACAGTGAGTCTCAGAAGTGAGAAAAAAAAACAATATGGCGAGCATTGTGCGAGGCCAGTGTGTACAAATCGAATCAGAGATTTGACAGCCATTCATAATATTAAGTATACGAACTGTATGGTATGATGAATATATTGGCGAGTTTTGTTATATTTTAAATATGCGCTTGCTTGTGTTTTAATTGCCACAACAACAGAGAAAATGAGTTTAGCTATAAAATATACAAGTATGCATGATAAGTATACAAGCACACAGTTTACAGTTAGCTATGTAAATAGTATAGTTGATTTTTAGTTTGCTTTTCTCTTTACTCATTGTAAAAATGTTTAAAAAATATTTTGGTTTTTCTTTCGTGTTTATACTAGCTACATACATAAAGGTAAATTGTATATTGTAACAAAAAAAGTAGTAAGTAGTATCAAAAAGTTTATGCTCAGTTATTGACGATATTTTGTATTTATTGTTAATTACGAATTTTTTTTTAGCTAAATATATACCTGAAGATCTGAAGAATTTGATATATATTTGTTTGTTAATAGTAAGTTTTATTGTTGCAGTAATTGCTTTATATTTGAACAAAGTTTTATTTGCGCAATTGATATCCATTGACAAAATGCAACAAATTTTAGTTTAGTTTAGTTTACAATTGTAGTTTTAGTTTTAGTTTTATTTTTAGTTTTACAGACAGGCAGCCTCAAAAGTGAGTAGTCAAAAGTGCAAAAGTACCAAAAGTTACGATAAGTGAATTAGTGAATTGTAGTTTGAGTTGCGTGCCAGCATTACTATTAATAACAATAGTTAAGGCTTTAATAGTAATGCTGGCCAGTTGATTTTCTACTTGCGATAACCGCTGCAGTACGTGTGGAACAAAGTGTAACAGTTCATGTTTGTTTCATTTGTGAGTTTTGTTTTCAAGAAATTCTCTTTTAACATTTACATTTGATCAGGTGTCGGCGAACGTATGAGTAATATTTAATAGTAAAGTAACGCATTCTTCCTCCAAAACTAAACCCATTCCTCATGATGCACAGTGTAGTTTAAGTTTTAGTATTACATAACCAGATGAGTTAAGTTACTGTTGTTGCTGTTGTTGTTGTCTTTTCGGATGCATGTTGCACTTACAAATTATGATAATGACAGTCACAAACAAAATCACACATTACAATTTATGTTTATAGAATTACTGTCTGTTGTTCAAGGCTCTTACAGCAGATTTCTTAGTTCTTAAAAATATGCGTGCTTTGCTTTCGTGCTGTCGCTTTAGTTATTGTTTTTATCATTGTTCTTTTGCTTGTATTGTATTGTAATTTTTGTTGCCTTTTGGCAACATGACAACACTGCGTATGCGTGCTACTTTAGTTATTGCATATCATTGAATCATACAATCATTGAATTGCTTTATTTATGTGTTATTCAGTTTAAAATTGTTGCCTTACTCCCACAGAGAGATATCCTGAAAAACGAGGTCATACAAATTTTTTAGTCGATTTTGCAAAAAATTAATGCCTGCAAGACACAAAAAAAAAAGAGAAGAGAGAGAAATATACAAATCAAATTACAACCAGATATGTCTGTATTTGTGTGTTGGGTGGGTGGTGTGTGTGCACAACAACAACTACAAGTGTAAGCAAAATGATTAAAAACAATACGGAACAATCTGCAAACGAGTTTGTGTCTTACAATTTTGACAAAAAAAAAAAAAGAAAACTAAATATTATTTATGTATGTATGTATTTCTTTTTCTTGTTTTAATATTTTGAGGGGGATCGCGACGTACCGGTTTTAACGTTCAGCTTATTGCCCGACTTCTTCGACGACTTCTTTGTCTTCTGCACCTCAAGTGATTCATCGTCGTCCTGTTCCTGCTGCTGCTGCAGCTTGGGGATGGGCTTCTTGGCCGCTTGGCCAGATCGCTTGTTCGCATATGATACCTTCACCAGGGGCACATCATCATCATCATCATCGTCGTCGTCATCATCGTCGCGGCGCTTGGACTGCTTCCTTTGGGCGACTGGTTTGGCTGCTGGTTTGCTTGGAGTGCTCGATGTGGCGGCAAATTTGAAATTGCCACCTTGACGTTTGCTCGATTCACCATCGCTGTGTCCGATGCGTTGGGCCGTCATTTTAGGAACTTTCGTTGACTTCTCCAATTTGGTTGGACAGCATTGGAATGGTTTGTAATCGTTGGGCACAAAACTGTTGCCGCGCTTAGCTGAATGGCCGTCGTGACCCAATCCAACATAGAAACATTCGTCATCTGTGTGAGCAAACAAACAAAAACATTTTGTCAGATTGTTTTAGTTCTTTAAAAAAATTGTTTTTTGTTTTTTTTTTTTTGTTTTTGGTTTTTAAAGAAATCACTAACAAGAAAGTTCATTACGAAATAATCAAAAGTAAACAAAAATGCATAAAGAGTAGGCGAGAAATACGAAATAAAAGTCGTAAAAGATGCTTTTATTTTTCAACACGTTCAAAATTACCACAAAGAGCAGTTAGTACGATGTTCATTGTATTTTTTTTTCTTTTAATTTTTGCATATAGATTGATAGATTGATTTCTTTCTAGAGTATAAAAGCGTGCTTTATGAATGAACAATATTTTAAATTCGTTTCAACAATAATTTTGCTACTCAACTAATAACTGACAAAATGCTTTTGATGCTGACTGTACAGGTTTTCAATCCTAATTGAGTTTTATACTACAGTTCATTGTTTGGATCGTTGTACATTTTTCGTAATTGTTTTTAATATTTTTTTTTTTTTTGGTTTATGTTTAGTTTTTACTTTATCACGTTGCACAAAGACGCCTTTGGTTTTGGTTGTAAAATTATAAAGCAGAGCCGGTTCGATATTATTTATAAACTAACAGATAAAAACAATTGCTTATGTATTATGTAGAGAATATAATTATGTCAATAATCAGAATAATGAAGTTATTAACCATTTTTTGTTATATTATTTTTTGAACAAACAATTAAATTATAACTTTTCATAATATAACAAATTAAAATCGATTTTTTTTTTTTTAAATATATTTTCAAACATTGTGTCAGCTATGATTTTTGCATTATTTTTTAATTATTTTTACCAAATTTGTTCACTTTTTATAGAAGTTTAAGATTGGGAACTTCATACAAGATTGTAGGTAGATCGAAGCTTTGGATAGGTCTTAATACATTCACGAGGGCAAACATTGACGAGGCTTTTAGTGTGTGTGTGTGTGTTTATATATGTAGATATATATATATATAGCATATCTCCAATTTCAGTTTATTATTGTCATATGGGTGTAGATGAATTTATTTATATTTTTTTTTATCACAAAAGCTATGCGCAACACATTTAGAATATCGCGAGTAAATGCTTTTGTTACCTTTGTGAAATGCATTTTTAGGATTCCATTTATCGAGGTCTGTAGATAGACAATTAATATGCTGTAGTGTGAGTTACTTTGGAGTATCTGAGTTGTTTTTCATATTTTGTGTTTTGTTTGGCTTTTGGTTTTGCAGGTCAGGGAGGAGATCACAACAATAAACAACTTCAGTTAGTGCGGCAATGGCAACTCACATTCACGTATTACCTATTTCATCTATTAGATGACCCGCGCAAAGATCAGAAAGCCGATGTATCGTTCTGCCTTTGGCTTTATGCTTATATATTTGCTTGCTGATATCTTCTTCTTCGTCATTGTCATCATTTTTGTCATCGTTATCGTCATCGTTATCGTCATCGTCATCGTTATCGTCATCGTTGTCATCGTCGTTATCGTCATCCTTATTGTTTTCATTGTCATTTTCTCCATCTTCATCGTCATCGTCATCGTCATCGTCGTCGTCATCGTCTCCGTTATCGTCGTCATCCTCATTGTCGTTTTCATTCTCGTCCTCATCGTCTTCGTCATCGTCTTTGTTTTCTATATCATCGTTATCTTCATCGTCATCTTCATCTTCATCATCATCACCATTTTCATCGTCATAATTTTCATCATCGTCTTCGTCATCATTATTGTCATCGTCATCGTCTTCATTATCGTCATCATTATCGTCACCGTTGTCGTCATTGTTATCGTCCTCATCATCATTTTCATCGTCGTCGTTGTCGTCATCATTATCGTCTCCATTCTCGTCATCGTCATCGTCATCATTATCGTCATCATCATTTTCATCGTCATCATTGTCGTCATCGTTGTCGTCTCCATTCTCGTCATCGTCATCGTCTTCGTCTTCGTCTTCGTCTTCGTCTTCGTCATCATCTTCATCATCTTCTACATTCTCGTCATCGTCTTCGTCTTCATCATCTTCTCCATTCTCGTCATCGTCATCGTCTTCGTCTTCGTCTTCATCTTCATCATCGTCTCCATTCTCGTCATCGTCTTCGTCCTCATCATCGTCATTTTCGTCATCATTATCATTGTCATCGTTATCGTCGTCAGTATCGTCCTCGTCATCGTCATCGCCATTGTCATCGTCATCGTCATCGCCATCGTCGTCGTCATTTTTCGTATGTTTTCGTAATCTTTGATTTCGGATCGTTTGCTGTAGGCGTTTTAGTTTCGCTCTCTTATCCAGATCACTTTCTTTTGGATAGCTCAACTTAACTATTTTCTCATCACTTCCATCGTCATCGTTGCCTATTGTATATAGCGTATATATCAAAAGTATTCATTACGTTTTGCTCGTTTTATGATGGCTATAAACGGGTAGAATGATATTTGGATATATCCGACTTGCTTGGATTTGATATGCAATCTCTTTTAGTTCGGCCAAGATATTGTGGGCTCAACTGATTTGATATTGAATGTTTGGCTTATGAGCGTGAGTTAGAAAGCAGAGAAAACATTTGAAACAAGAACGCTTACTCTTTTGATTGATTAACCACTGCAGCACACGATTTTCATTTTTGAGATTACCTACAAAAAAAAAAAAACAAAAACGAAATAAACAACGATAGGTGAGATTACATGAGTTTAGACTATATATTGAAATATATTCGCTTACCATCATACATGATCGGAACGCCTGTCTCATAGTAGACTAAAGCAGGGAATGCGAAAATGCCAATTTCATGGGCTAGCTTAACATCATTCGATTTGACAAACTGAATGCCATGCTTATCGGTATCGTCATCGATGTTCTCCAGCTCTTCCAAAATACCAGGGCACGTTTCGCAGTCATCGTCATCTATTGGCAATGGCAATAACTCAATATTATTATTCTTATCAACTTAAATATTGATTATTATTGATGTGAGAACGTACAGAAGAAAACGGCGAGATGTTCAACATCGTTGATCAACACTTGCAGCGTTTTCCGATCAACCGATTCGATGACGTCAGCCGTCGATTCATGCAAATCGATAACCCACTCGAGGATTTCCTCTTCCTTCATCAGATCACCTTCGAATATAACAACATTTTAATATCTATATAATACTAATAAAGTTATCTGTATTTACTTACCGGTGTAAATTGTTCTAAACTTATGTCTATAAAATGCAAGTGCCGGCAAACCGGGCAAATCGTATTCCTTATCAATATCATCGTCGGATGTCTTTACAAAGTCGATGTCTTTTTCCTCGCATTCGTCATCGATGTTCTCCAATTCGTTGAGGATTTTCTGGGCCTTCTTATCCCCCTCGGCGTCTGTAAAGTGCAAGATTATTTCGTAAATGAAGAAGTCCATTTTACAATGCTTAATTTACTCACAGAAGAACACGACAACATGATCGTTTTCGGCCAAAATCTTATCCAGCATTTTAACATTGACCTCCTCGATTTTGCCGGGAATTTCGAGGGTTTCGTCATCAGTAATCCAGGCCAAGACTTCGTCCTCGTCATCCAAATCGCCCGTAAAGTGCAATGGATCACGATTTCTGAAGAATACCAATCGTGGATAAGATTTGACGTTATATTTCTTAGAGATGCCGGTATCCTCGGTGGTAACAAATATGATGCCAGCCTCATCCAGTTCATCGTCGATGCTTTCCAACGCAGCCAAAGTGTGATCGCAGGGCTCGCCCGGTTCGCAGGGACCCGTAAAGAAGACAACAACGTACTCGTGCTCATTGATCAGATTGACGAGAATCTCATCGGTGACCTCTTCAATGGTCGCCGTTTTCTTCTGCACCAGCAGCCACTCGAGCACCTCATCCTCGTTCATCAGATCACCCTCGTACAGAGCAGGTATTTTATTCTCAAAGTAAATCAGTGCGGGCAAATGATCGAGACCATATTCCTTGGCCTCGGCGGCATTATCGATGCGGACGATGACGATGCCCTCCTTTTCGAGTTCATCGTCAATGTTTTCCAGTTCATTCAGAATGCGCATATCCTGTTTGTCATCCTTGTCGTCTGTCAATTTAAATAATCATATTAATCAGTTGGAGTTCAGTGAGTTAAGTGTATGCTTCGATTGCGTACAGAAAATAACCGCTAAATGTTCAGTGTTTTCGACCAATTTGTCCTTCATTTCGTCGGTGACCTCGGGAATTTCGGAATAACGCTTCTGATGCACCAGCCAGCCAAGTAGCTCATCTTCTTTCATTAGATCACCTTCGTAGATGTGTGGAATACCACGTTCAAAGAGTACAATCGATGGTATTTCATCGATACCCCATTCCTTGGCTTCCTTATCATCGTCGATCTTCACGAATGCAATATCGTTCTGATCGCACTCATCGTCGATGTTTTCCAATTCACCGAGGACTTTCTGTGATTTCTTTTGATCTTTGTCATCTGTGAAAGATTGTAATCAATTATTCTCATGATCTAATTGATTGATAATTGAAAATGGAAAACGATCTACAGGCCTTCTAAGGTTTAAAGACCCTCTGCTACTACTGAAAAGCTCTCTATATTTGCAACTGATTTCATACTAAGAAATATTTTCAAAAATAAATTTAACTAACCGAATTTAATAATATAATTACCCGAATTTGTTACTAAAATCATTGGAGAATTTCCGGTTTAGTTTTTTTTTTATGGATTAGTTGAAGCGCTTTTAACATTAATAAATTGATAAGCACATCGAGCAGAAGGCAGCTTTTGCTTTGTTACGATTATATGGCAGACACTCAGACACACCCCGGTTTTACAAAGTACAACATATAATATATATATACATGTATATATATATACGATCTATACATTATCTACAGCTGAAATAGGGTATCCGGTTTATTTGGTTTGTGCGGGAAATCACTTACAGAACAGCACAGCAACGTGTGGCATTTTCTCAATGATCAAATCCAACATTTCATCGGTAATGTCTTCGATTTGATCGGAACTTGTTTGTGTTTCAAGCCATTTCAATAGCTTCTCCTCATCCTCCAGATTGCCTTCGTATATAGTTGGAATGCCTTTTTCAAAGTATATCAGTTTAGGAACTTTATTGATGCCATATTCGACGGCCTCCTCGGGATTGTCGATTTTCACGAAAGTAATGCCCAAAGCGTCGCATTCATCGTCAATGTTCTCAAGTTCTTCAAGGACCTTTTGGGATTTCTTGTCGTTGTTGTCGTCTGCAAAACACGTCAGATGATCAAAATGCGCCATACGTTTTTCTTGTAGATAATCTTATTGTATTGAATATATTTGTATATTTACAGAACAGCACTGCAATGACGCGTCCTTCTTTAATCATTGTATCGAGCATTTCATCGGTGACATCCTCGATCTCATCGTGTTCCAACTGTCCCAACAACCATTTCAGTATCTGTTCCTCATCCATGAGATCGCCATCGTACACGTTTGGAATTTCTTTTTCAAAATATACAATTGCCGGAATCTATAAATCATAGATTCATTATCAATATTGCTGCGCTTCAACGATTTAGATGCAATTCTGTCCCGTACCGATTCGATTCCGTAATCGGACGCCGCCTTGACATCATCGATCTTAACAAACTGTATGCCATGCTTATCGCAGTCATCGTCGATTTGTTCGAGCTCCTCCAGCACGGTCATCGAATCATCATTGCCATGATCATCTGTAGATGATATGTGATGTGATCGATAAATCTATATCTATATCGCGGATCAATATACATACAGAATAGCACAACCAAATTATCAATATTGCTAATCAGCGTTGACAGAGTCTTTGAGGTAACATCCTCGATAACATCATCCTCATCACCGGTCGATTTATTTTGCACCAACCACTCCAAGACATCCTCCTCACGCTGCAGCTCACCTGCGGCACAGACACACATTTTGATAATTAGGCAACAGAAACAATCAAACGATTTGTTCTGATTTACTAGTTTTTTTTTTGTTTGTTTGTTTTGTATATGGATTGTATGATGTGTGAGGAATGTGGGGAACAACTTCTACATGTAATTGAGCTGGTGTTTTGTACCTTCATAGATGATCGGAGTCTGGTGGCGATAATAGACCAATGCCGGCAGATTGCCCAAGTTGTACTCATCGGCCAATGCCTCGTCGTGTATTTTCACAAAACCAATGCCAAGCTGGTCGGCCTCATCGTCGATATTCTCCAATTCTTGCAAGGCCTTGGCGCACTTGCGGCATTGCTGTTTATCTGATAAACGATGTGCAAAGATTAGATATAGTTTTCTCTCAAGCTCTGTAACTCCTGCTATGGTTGACAATAGACTTGGTTTTTTTTTTCTTTGGATACTAGCACAACAAATATTGTAGGGTATTCTATTAGTATTTGTTTGCTTGCGGGCTGTGGTTGGGGTAATTCACAATGTGCTATTTTATTTTTTTATTTTTTTTGTTTATAAGTACATCAGTAACGTAATTATCGAACCATTCTCGTGTGCAGTTGAAAGGTTAAGGTTAATAGTACAAAGGAGAACGAATTGACGTTAGGGTGCATGCAAGACAAGAATAGAATCGTGAGAGCTCTGAGCAATTGCAAATGGTTTTGCTTCATTTGGTGTTGCCAGCAATGGTGTTGAAAATCACATTACACCATCGCATTCAATCGTTTGTATACAAAAGTGAAATTTTAAGTATAATCATTGTTTACAACCTGTTGAGAATTGCGTTTCATGTTTGCCCCTGCAGCGGAAATGAAAACATTGAACAATTGAATTGTAACCGAAATTTACTTATAAATAAAATCCATTGGGATAAGTTCGACATTTACCTTTCCGCTACTTCTAACTAAACATATGAAAGCTCCTCGCTCTTTAGCGCTTCCGACATTTATCAATTTTGCTTTGCGTTAGTGTTTACTGAGCTTTCCTTCTGGCATGCGGCACGTATACGTAATATAAATATCACAATTTCAAATATTTATTTTACAAATTGCCAGCTTTGTCTTCAGCACAATTCAATAAACTTTAAGTATAAAAAAGTATTTATATATTTATATCTTATGAATTTCTTTACGTTTCTCTATTTGATTATATATGCACAATATATACATATATATATATATATATATGTCTGTAGTTTTATATGTATAGATATAATTTATAATAAGTTAAACAATAAACAATAAGCTATTAAGTTTCAAAACTCTTAGCCTTGCTTAATGTTTAATAATTTATATTGAATTGTTATGTTTGACAACCGAGCAAATTCTTAACAAAAAATAAAATGTCCTCAAGCTTTAGCGAATAAATTTCTTTGGAGCTATTTTCACTGGGTGAGTGTGCTTTGTCAAGGTGGCAAGGCCACACGCACCTACATCCACACCCACACCCACAATCACACCCACACATGCACACTTACACAGATACACACACACACACATATAAATGCTTATTCTGTGTATATGTTACTGCGCTAGTGACTAAACATGTTTATGTTTATAGTTTTGACAGGTTTTTGCTGAAATTGTACGTTTAGTATGCGAAATGCAATAATGAATTTGCCGCAGACTTGGGCAAATACTAAAAATAGTGCAAGTCAGTCGGCTACAGCGCACACTTGCCGCATTTACTCGCACAACTAAAGCCACACACACACACACGCACACACACATAAATACATATATATTTATTATGTAAAATTGCATTGGCTGCAGCTAAAGAGCTGCCCATAATGACATCCATGCCGGCTCGTGAGTGCCAGCATCTTGATGTTTTGCTCTGTGCTAAAGCAATTAAAACTGCTGTCTGTCTGCAGTTTTAAGCAAAAAAAAAAAACATAAAAATACAATCAAACGTGTTTTTTTTATACCCTGTAAACGGCATAAGACATTAGTTTTCTGTTTAGCTTGAACAATATTTTAGGACGTTTTTATTGCACTTATTTTCAAATTTTATTTACTTTTATTTTGATTTTGCTCTGCTTTTAGTCTACATTATAATTTATTTTAATTATTATCCTTTCGTTCTGATTCTCTTGTATTTAGAATTAATGTGTACGTTCTTATAAATTTAATTCTAAAATTTTATAAGACACATATATATAATATGATATTATAATAATATTATAATAAATAATTTATAATATGTTACTGATTGGATTTCTTTCTGGGTTTCCCCAATCGTTGCACTAAAAGTCGAACCATTTAATATCTTAAAACATACAGAGTTACAAATTGTGGAGTGTGTGTCATATTAAATAACTAAAAAAAAAGTAATAATAATCAGAAAAAACTTTGTTGGTATTTGCATAAACTGTTCGTTCTTAAAATTCACTTTGAATTGGGGGTCTTCAAATAAAGGGTATAGAACAGAGAGATCGCAACAAGCTCATGCGCGTTTGTCGATGCGCTTAGAAATTTCGACAAAAGGCAGAAAACAATGGATGCAGAACAGACGGAGCCAGAATATCTTGTTCTTGTCTCACCTACATGCTGATCATCTATGCGAAGACCTTTGTGCGCTGTCTGCGCTTTATAAAAATACATGTCGTATTCAAATATACATACAGACAAGTACGTACATATTCATACAATATATGTATGTGTGTGTGTGTGTGTGTGTGCATGTGCGTCTATATATGCACGCGTATATACAGTTAGTTGTCTGAAAATTGAGCAAAAATAACAGCAACGAAAAATCATTTTGTTGGCCAACCAACTGCTTGAGTTGCTATTTATAAACCAAAAATTGTAGGTGGCTCTGATGTGTTGAAAAAATACAAAAAGAAAAAAAAAAAAAGAGCTTAGAACAAAAACAAATAAATAAAACTGCTACACTTTGGTGTCGCTGCCCTCAACCCCCCACTGCTCGCAATAAAGCCAATTGGTTTATGTTTTCTATCGAAATGTTCATTTCCTTTGTTCCATAAACTGTGGCCAGCATATATTTCCATCTATATGCTGGCGATCTATTCCAATGTCTTTAACAATTATATCATAACTGAAATTTATTCTTAATAATTGATTAAAACAGACACCAATAGACACATTTTGAGTTGTGTGTTTGTTGCTGTTGCTGTTGCTCTTTTTCTTGTTGTTGTTGCTGTTGTTGTTGCTTTTTCTTTTAATTTGTTTTCTATAAGACTCGTTGGATGGGGCTGGTTGCGTCCGCCGGGCTGCAAACATGGTCTGGCGCTGAGCCCAGACATTCATTTGTAAGAGCTGTGGCTGCTCCTTCTGAATCGCGTTCATCTTGTTGTTGTCATTTTATTTTTGTACGTATACGTAATATTTGTATTTTCTTTCTATTTGCCAACTTGTTTGCCAGTTATATTTACATGATCTACCAAAAGTCCCTTACAGTCACAATGCTCAACTACATGATGAGTTAACATCAGAATTCTATTCCAAGAATATAGTAAATATATATACATTTACACATATATACATACATATATACATTTCTTATATTTGGCCCCAAAATGTGTGCTTAGACTTTCCTTGGTTATAAATATATAAACTTTGCTTGGGGCCATTTTTATTTATTATAAATTTCAGAATTTGACAAATTGCAAGTTTTTTACCAGAGCAAAATAAATCGTAATACGTATTTTTTTTCGCTAAACATCACCTCAAAGGAAGACGTCACACAGTGAATTCATGTTTCAAAATATATTCAATATTTGAGCACTTTGAAAATTACTTTAAAATTGTAGAGCTTGATGAGTAATTATTTTATACCTTGTTTTATCTTGTTTAGGAAATGGCATATATGTACTAAATGGTTCCTAGAGGGGACAAGCTTGTAATATCCGGGCTTTATTCGGCTTCTTAGATACCAATATATTTGTTATACTTTTAATGCCAAGCTACTATTTTCCCATAACCATAAAGTAATTGGTTTCTTATCTGGAGAAAACCCCACGAAAGACTATGAAAATCAGAACAATGCTTTAGAAAATTGTGTGAGATCTGTAAATTAAATATAACATATAATCGCTTAGATAATACTATATTTTCGTAATCCTCATTAAAAACCAATCTACTATTTTCATATAACAATAAAAACATTTTTAAAATATTTGGTGACAAATCCCACGAAAACTATATTGATCAGAAGAATACTTAAAAAGATATATTAATATTGGGAAATGTATCTAACATTAATAGTTTACATAAAAATATATTTGTAATTATATTTTAATTTTATTTTCTCGTTTCAATAACAAAATTTTTGATATGTTACTCAAAATACTAAATAAAAAATGTTTGGCATCGTCAAAGCACATCTATTTTTTCCTCTTTGCAATAAACTTTTTATAAACTGTGTTTAAAACTGCGATAATCAGAACCCTGCTGATCTGTGTCTCAGATCAAATAGCTACGTAAAATTGGCTGATTACAAACAATTTCTTAATTGGAAAAAGCAAACTTTTTGCTTATTTTGCTCATTATATAGAATTAGTTATAGATTAGCAAGTTTTTAATGCGGGCGACAGATAAGAAAGTTCACATATATAGTTCACATATATAGTTAGAAAGTGTTATACATATTTACATATATAAATATATTTACATATTGGTACAAAGGTTGGTGAGGGTTTTGTGCATATGTAGTTACAGTTTTTGGGAAAATTGCTTGATTGGATTCAAAAATATGATGAATTGGATAAGTTTAAAATTGGTTTTAATCGGAAACTAGGTTGAAAGTAGGTTTTTGAGTGGGTTTGAGTGGTTTGGGGGGACACAAGTCAAAGGCAACCCATTAACATATGCACAAACTTACCCATTACCCTGGGTGGGCATGTTTCATGATCAGGACCTGTTATCGTTTGAATAGATACAACGCATACATATATATTGGCTTATGTAAATATGCTTAGAATGTCTGGGGCAACAATTACCGCCCGCCGTTATGTATGTATGTATATAAGTACATAGATAAATATAGTATAAATATATTTTTAGTTAAGATGCCGCCGTTGTTTTGCTTATGTTAGTTACAAGTTACAAGATAATAAAGTTAATATCTACATCTAAATACATAACTAGGTAAAAAAGTATTTATCGATTGTACCTAAGTTGTATGAATTTTAGTCACAAGAGAGCTTAACTTTTTTTGGTTTTGTTTTTGCTTTAATTATAACTTGGTTTTTTCTTTTTTGAACGCTAAAAACTGCAACTGCTTTGAAGTATAAATAATCAAAATATTCCACCAATAAATATAAATAATAATCATAGATAAAGTTAAAGATAGAAAAAGAGAGAGGGAGAGAAATGTGTTTTTGCAGCAAGGAATGATTTGTACTCACAGAATAAGACGGCAACAAAATCGGTATCCTCGATAATCTTGAGCAATATCTTTGCGTTGACCTCCTCGATGCGATCGGGCAGATCCATTGCCTCGAGCGAGGTTAGAAAATCGAGCACGCCCTCCTCATCCATAAGATCACCATCATAGATGATGGGCTCCTTTTCCCTATCGGATCAGTAATTGAAAATGCAACTTTCAAATTTTCAATCTTTGTTAATCTTTTTTTTGGTTTATATTTTCATTTACCTGAAGTAAGTGAGCGCTGGGAAGTTCTTGATGCCATATTGTTTGGCTAGTCGTTTGTCGTTAATTTTAACAAAATCCACACCGAATGAATCGGTGTCATCGTCGATTTTTTCGAGTTCCGCTAAAACCTTATCACAGGTCACACAGCTACGCGCATCTGTAAGCAACAACAATTCAACAATTGGTCATATTATAAAACTATCTTTTTAAGATTCTCGGAAAAGTGCATAAAGATACCAACATAAATTGACGGCTGGCAACTGTCGCATGTGACGCCAAATGTCGCAGCGATTATTCATAGCGATACAGGATGCCTCATCGGCAACGCATACTTGCCCCTTCATCCCCCATCATCCCCACCCCGCTGCCCTCATCCCCTCACAATACACACTAAAGTGCAAGAACCGCTGATGACATTCTGGGGCCCAGAGCCCAGGCTAGTGAATGAAATGACAACAGCAAAAGAAATTTGCGTTGCTTTCATTATTATTGTATATGGTTAACAAACAGGGTATATACATAAGAGGTATATATGCTATATATGTGTGGATATGGTCAGCTATTAATGTGTGCACAACTGCCAACAGAATTTTGGTAAATTAATTCATAAAAATTGATGTGGCCACTATTAGGGAAATGAATTGTACCACAAAAAGCCGTTGCTGATGTGTTGGCGGCGTCGGTTTCGGGTGGTTGCATGCCCCTATATTATACAATTGCATCTATATAAAAGTAAATTTGTTCGGGTTTTATTTTGGCAACGATGTGTGCCAGTTAAAATAGATTTGCACTTGTTTCATATAGTTGTATATAAATATAAATATATAAATAAGTTGTGTAAAAGTGTGTAACGGGCAGAAGACAGCATCTCCGAGCCCATAAGTTATGGAGTCCTGTATATCTGTCTAAATTTTGCTTTATCAGAGCTTATAGAGCTCAATTTAAATACAAATTCTCTTTACCATTTCAGATCAAGTTTATTTTGTTGTTATTTTATCGACAACTTCCTGAGATGCGCGAATATCGAAAAGAATCGATCATTGATCATCAAAATTTAAAAAAAAAACAGCTTTCCTACCCAGTAAGAATATTCCAGAATATTACATTGATTATATAAGATCGATTGATTCTATCGTTATTTTATCGACGTCGTCCCAAGTTATTGCAATATCGAACAGTATTTACCGATAACAATAAAATCCACAATTTTCGAGAAACAGCTTTCCGAACCAGTAAGAATAATTCCTAACGTAAAATTCAATTGATTTTATCGTCCGTTTATTGATAACTTCATAAATTGAGCTAATATCGATAAGAATCGATTACCGATAATAACAATTCAAATTCAAATCCGAAGAAAATAAGAAGATCAGTTGGGCAGCAGCAAAGGAATTCGTATATTACTATTTATCAAATTACACACAAGTATTTCCTTTATACATATTCAACTTGCTAGTTTGAATATCTTAGGCTTAGGGTATCTGCTGGTCGAGCTTACTCGACTACCTTGTTGAACTTCGTTTGTTTAGTGTACACAAGTATGTGGATTTGCTTTTATGGTTTCTTACGGGCATCAAATCAAGAAGGAACAGATGTTGCATCCATATTACGTATACGCATTATTTGATTTGGTTTGAATTGATTTTAATTATATTTGCCCCCAGTTTACACAGATGAATGGTATCCGCTAGCAATATACTGCAATAAAATCAATAGCATTTACTCGAACTAATAAACAAACTTTCGCTCTGGCGAATTACAAGCAAAATTCTATTAGCTGCCATTTGCGTAGGCTTTTCTCCGGCTCATTTATAGTATTTGAATTTTCTTTTACTGCTTGTTTGAGGCTTCGTGTGCATAAATAAGTTCAGTGTCAACAAGAATACATTTTGGAAAATTGTGAAATGTCAATGCTAAAGCGAATTTAATTATCTTCGTGCATTAACAAATGCATTTGATAAACTTGAAATCGTTTCAAGTTGATTTTTAATTAATTTACGGCATTGAAGTAAATTTTCCATTTTTCCTTGAAAAGTAACCATATCCAAGATCCGAAGGTGATTGGCCAAATATGTGAACGTTGCTATTTTAAAGCTGATTAATTATTAACACGCAGCGTTTTGTTTATGTGAGTTTTGCATACAATTTCTATATTTTATATGCTAGCAATTTATTCAGTTAAAATTTTAATGGCAGCCCATAAAAAAAGAAAATCTTTGGCACAAAAAGAGAGTAAATTTGAGAATTTGTTTTCTTTTGGGGAAAATATGAGCCTCATTTTCGATAGCTAATTACAATAATTAAAGGGGGCGCCACCATTGGCTAGCTTATTTACTGGCCAATTTTTCAATCTATTTTTCTTCTTTTTTTTTTTGAGAATCCAAAGCCTTAAAAGCTACTCTGACGACACACATCAGAGATAGATACATAGTGCAGATAGTACTAAAATAAGAAGAACAAAAACAACGCCAATTTCTCACAGCCAAAGCGATTGCTGCTCATAAACAGAAACGCAAAGAGACAGCCGGGGGGGAAAAATAGAAACAAAAAGCGAAAAAAACGAATAGAGACTACTACCAACAAAAAAACAAAAAAAAAAAAAAAAAACGAAAGAAAAAAAAAACTAAACCGAATGAAAATCTCGAGACATTTCGTACAACGAAATTTTTCACATATTTTCACTTGTATGCGAATTTTTAGAATTTTCACTAGAGAAAATTTATATAATATGGCTTCTGTTACTATTTCGAGTCGCACGGCCATCGTGCGTTGTGAAGCAGATTAAATCGAATGGTTATCGCTGTGCCCGGATCTCGCATATCTCGCCCATTACTAGACACACAAATAAATCTATATATTTATGTGTGTGTGTGTGTGTGTGTGAGTGTGTAAGTGTGTGAGTGTGTGTACTTACACCAGAAAACGGCAACGTAATCCTTGTCGGCCAATAGCTTTTCCAACTGCTTGGCATTGACCTCCTCGATGACGGCCTCCGGCTCAAGCGGTGGCGGCGGCGGCGCCGCAGCAGCTGGCTGCGATCCTTTCTTGTTAGCGCAATTCACATATCCGGGAAAACTCAGTGCCAGTAACGTACACACGAGCAATGTCAGAGTTTTTAATCGCGTGAATGTCATCTTTCGATTTCCTTCAATACGTTCTATTCAATTCAACTTTTTGACTTGGCCGTTGCGATTTTTTTTATTTTCTTTTTTATTTTTTAAACTCTGAACTCAAACATGCGTGCGTGTGTGTGGTGTGTGTGTGTGTGTGTGGATTTATCTATTTATTTTTTAGTTAATTGAAAATTCGTCGTTTAGTTGCGTTGTCGTTATTAAAAAAATTTATTTTTTTTTTTTTTTTCAAAATTATGGCACTATTTTTAGTTGAAAATCTTATTTCTTTGGCGTACACTAATACATATTCTTTGTGCGCATATATATATATATATACAGTCAAAAATATATATAGGGTATATGTGAGAAAATTAGATTATATATATATATATATATACATATAAAAATATATATATATATGTATTTATATATTTCTATTAATTGAATGTTTTCCGCGGACTGTACTCTTTTCAGTTTTTCAATTTTGTTCCACTCCGTGCAGAGGTCCGCTCGCAACTGAAAGTCTTTTGGTGAACATTCTATACCATTGAAGAGACCCAGTCGCGAGCTTTAGGGATCTTATATTTCGGGCATTATAGCTTTTTGGCATTAGCTTTCGGAATGAGAAATAGAGCGAGAAACGACCCGCTGCAAGATCGTACAAAGCGTATGGTGAAATTTCTTGGGCAACGAGCGAGAGACTTTCGCATCGTCTGCTTTGCGTTGCAATTCTTTGTTTATGCATCTCCACAGCTACAAACATATAAACATCCATACGTATATTTGTATATATATAGAGACGCTCGGTGGTCTTACGAAACTTCCTGTAAAAACAAAACACGCAAAGTACGCAATGTGTGTATGTATGTATGTATGTGTGTATGTATGTACACCTGTCGGTATATACAGCGAGGAAGAAAGTGTAAGGAGGAATTGTGAAATGCGTAAGTGTTTCCAAGCCACAACAGCTGCGAGCACATTGCGGCATTGAAGCAAAACAAAATCAAAATTTGAGTGATTAATATATGCAAACGATGAGATCTATTTATTCCCAAACATATACGATTTATTGAGATGCGAATGCAATGCATATCAAAGCAATAAATGAATAAATTAATTTATTATTATCATATGAGTAAGGCAGCCTTAAATGATAATAATGTGTTAGTTCAAGAATCTACAAAATAGCAATATGCTAAAATGTAGTTATTCATGGATTCTTGAAACATCTCGTTATTAACAATTGTATTCACTTCTGATAAAGAAGTGCAAGTAACATTAATTTAAAATAGTGAGTATCGATATTAGCGTGACGATTTTAATATCGATGCACGCCAACGGTAAGTAACAGTCGATAGTTTTCAGTGTGCCCGTCTAGGCATCGTAGTTTGTGCAATATATTTTGTGGCTTGCAAGATTCGGTCGCACTGCACACATATCTCCCAAGTTTCGTAGGAGGAAGACGTCGTCGTTTCGTGCTGTATTCCAATCGAATTGATTTGATTTCGGCCATAAATGCAAGTGCAACAGGACCAACAAATACAACCAACGTTGGTATGCGTAGTGCATGCTAAATTCACAGTCTAAACACACACACACGACAAGTGTTGTCAACAGTGCCAAAGATAACGCGCGCCCATTTTGGAGGTGTACAAAAATCGATTAGCATTTGTCAAATTTTCAGGTAAATTGCAAATCGATGAATGTAAAGAGGATTGATTCAACACCATATATTATGTATATTTAATTAAAAAGTGCCCCAATGCACGTTGCATGCAGAAACGGCTCACCTTGAACTCGCCAGCATTGCAGAGGCGCCCCAACGATAGACAAACAGACAGCCATAAATACCAAAATCAAAATTCGTGTTTCCTCGCAAGCAAAACAAACAAAAAAACACAAACAGAAAAAGAAACCCATTATTTGTACGACTGCATAGTTGACATTGATAATCGTAACTCTTCAGCAGCAGAAAGCTTTTTATCGCGTTTCAATGTGAAGGTGAAAGTTATCAGCTGATTTGCAATTCCGCCTTTGTTGTGCTTTTCTTTCAAGCTGCCAAACATGATAATTATTTATAAATTATTATTTCCCATGCTGCTGAATCTTTTGTTAATGCTGAACATATTAAGGAGCGTAACTATGCCAAATTTAGTTCAAACTTATTCTCATAGACTTATGCAATAGTTTCTTTGGAAAATGTCGAACATCTCTCGGAAAATGAGTGGAAATTTCGAATTTTTATTATTGAGAATATATCTTATTTATTTTCCAAATATTTTTTAAATTTTACTTTAAAGGGTATCGAAACTTCGATCTGTTTTTCCGCAAAGAATTTGAATGGGTTTCCCAATGGGTTTTTTTTGTTGCTATTGTTTTTGTTGTATTACGTGTCATTAAAACCAATTATCAAGTATTCTAATGCTTATGCGATATCATTTCCTTCTTGGTAATTAAAGCATATGTTTTAGCCCGGCTTGTTTAGCCACAAACCGGTTTGATATTAACAAACCGTTCGGTTTCAGTTGATAAAATATGTTTCTATAAGTGAAGAGTGCAGGAAATCTACGGGTATTGTTCATGTTGGATTAGTTTGATTGGCTTTTCAATCGTAGCTGGTTTTCAGTAAATTGTACTTCTACTTTGGTTAAGAGCTGAATGACAAATCTTTGCCTTGTTGCTTTTCCAGCAGGGCGCGTGACAATTAAGCGGATTTTATGTCATTATTACTATGAAATTGGATGAAATTGTCGCATGGTGAGCAACTGCAAAACATTTTTATTTGATTAAGCAAATAATTCGTTTGATTTATATGACTTTGGAATAGGTACCAGAAACGCATCGGCACCTATGATAAACAAGAATGGGAGAAAACCGTCGAGCAGCGCATTTTGGATGGCTTCAATAGCGTCAACCTGAAGAACACCAAACTAAAAACGGAACTAATCGATGTGGATCTAGTGCGAGGTGCGTTTACCACACAAACAAACAAGATTTAACTCTCTTCTAATGATATTTATTGATACAGGCTCCACATTTCCCAAAGCGAAGCCGAAACAAACCCTGCTGACTGTCATCCGTTTGGCGATCTTGCGCTACCTGCTGCTGCCACTTTACACACAATGGTGGGTCAAGCAGACGACGCCAAATGCCTTCGGCTTTATACTGTGCCTCTACATCACCCAACTGATCAACTGGGCCATATACATCCTGCACAGCAATCGCATTGCGCCCCTCGTCTACGAACGGGCAGCGAATGCAACGATTCTCGATGATGTGGCTGCAACTGTTGCTGACAACAAGCAGCAGGAGCAGCAACAGCAATCGACAGAGGAGAGTGCTGATATGCTTAGTGCTCTGCTAATACCATCTGCGCTTAGTTTACTGATTAGTTTAATACACTCGCAAATTGTCGCTACGAATACGGCTGGTTCGGGTGCCAGCAGCAAAAACAAATTGCGTCGCATTTCCATGTCCACATTTGGCGACAAGAGCAATGCGCCAAGGGAGCAGCGTTTGCGGCGACGCAAGAAGTTTGTGCGGCAAGTTTCTTCATTTCATCAGCTTAATTTATATAGCTAACTATTCTAACGAATGTGTGTATTTCTATTCGTAGTTTGCGACAATCTGATGCGGACATTTCACAGCCCAGCAGCAATCACTCATTGAGTGCGCGGCGTTCCAAATTGACGCCACTTATCGCTGAAGTAACAGCAGCTGGCGCCGAGCTAAAGCAATGCAATTGTGTCCCAATTGCCAGCGAGGAGAGCGGCCCCAGCACAACTGCCATAGCCATAGTAAACAATCATCATCATCTGCATCAGCATCAAGCAGCAGCGGCGGATAGCACGACTACACTCACCGAACCGCTGTACGATCTCAAGCCACCGGACAGTCCACATAAGAAGCGCAATGTTAATTGGCACACACCCATCCAGATCTATGCCACTTTCGAGGAGAATGAGCTGCCCTCGTCCAGCGTTGAGCTGAGCAATGTGGCCGGCAGTTTGGAGGCCAGTTATGGGACGCGTCGCTGCATTGGCGATGACGATGGTTTCGAGAGTCTCAACAATAAGAGCTCCAGCGGCGAAGATAACAATCATTCGCCCAACAATGCTGCCAATGTCAATGCCAGCAACAACAATCATACCAACAACCTAAACACATCAACAATTGTCACACCGGCCAGTCATCTGCGTTTGCGTCTCAATGCGAACAGCAGCAGCTGTTGCACCAACAGCACCACCACCATAACCAACAGCACCACCAATATCAACAGTGGCGGCGCCAGCAGCAGCAGCAATGCGCCAACCACAAGCGCAGATAAACTCGGTAGAGAATCGACCAGCAGCTGTGCCGAGTCGGACGAATGCGACGATGCGGACATCATATCGAGTCCAGCCTCGGCTGGCACCCAGGAGTGCAACACATCTGCCACTGATTGGCTGGGCGTCACCACCAACAGTGACGATTGCAGCTACACCTCTGAACTGGATCAATCCGATGGCGGCTACAAACATCAGGCATGCAGCGATGAGGAGATGCCAGAACTGGACATTACACCCACAACCATACTAAATCCGCACAGTAGCCTGGATCGCAGTAAGTGAACACCATGAGAAATACTAACATAACTAGATAAAGAAGCAAACAAAGAAAGAATTCTAAATTATTCATGATTATTTGTAGCAAGTAGGAAATGAATCATCTTTGAAACCGAAGCATGCTGTTATTAACATAAGTAATCATAAATGTTTATTAAAAGAAATTCCAAGTCAATGCAGATTAATTCCAAGCTTTCTAGGAAAAAAGCTGTCAGTTATTATTCAGGTTAATATTCATATATTCAGGAACCACATTTAAATCTGTCTTAGATTGATTCCATCATTGACCTGCTTAGAAGAGCTCGAGAAATTAGCCCAGAAATTGTATAAAAGATGTAATTGTCCCATTTATGATCACATTAATCAATTAATTAGATAAAGCTTAAGTTATAAAATAAGTAATCATCATTATACATCATATATGAATTTATAATTGTATGTAAATAATGGTTTTAATATAATTGTTTAGTATAATTAAATATATATATTATATATATATGTAATTAAGTAAAATAGCGCACAAGCCTGAACTCTAATTTGACTAATTTGAGATAACAATTACACTTGCTTGCAATAAGAGCTTCAATTATTTCACCCTTAGTAAGCTGCACCATTTGGGATCAGCGTGATGCGAAAAAGGCACAGATGTCTGTGCTGGAGATCGCCTCGTGCATTATTGAGCGTGTCGATTCGCTGGGCGTCACCAACGACTACATTTACATAGGCGTGTTCTTCTCCTTTCTGCTGACGCTGATACCAACCTTCTGTCGGCTGTGCGAGGTAAGTGTTTATTCGAATGCATCAATTAGCAATTAAAATCAAATACTCGCTTACAGATCACCATTGATGCGGACAAGGCCAGCGAGATCAGCTATTTGTATATGCCACAGCTGCTGTGGGAGAAGTCATCGTCCTCGCTCTTTACACTAATCGGCTTCGCCTTCGGCAACTCGCAGTGGGAACGCACCGTGCTGGCTTTGGGCTTTGCTCAACGTCTTTGCCTGACGCTCATCCTCTTCATCATATTTGCTGTGGCGGAGCGCACCTTCAAGCAACGGTAAACTTAAATTTGCCATATTGTTGAAAATGTGCATAGCTCTTTTATGTACCGATTCAAATGAATCTCTCAATTAAATTTTGTGGGCTTAATCGGAATTTGTTGCATGAATCACCGTTTGCTGCTCAAAATATCAAACAAAAATGTAGGCAAAATTGTTTGAACATTTACATTTAAATTCATATTAAACTTCTTTGGTTAATATGCTTAAATCATTAATCACATTTTTTCCTGAAAATATCGAATAGAAATTTTTTTTAAATTTATTTTGAGAATATGTAACTAAATTCTTCAGGTTTAATAGGGACTTAAGTGACTTGAACAGACTTTGAGAGCAGAGTCTCTAAAATAAACTTAAGCTTCGTTTAGTTACTAAAATTAGAATAACATATTTGAGATATTTAGATAACTAATAAATATATGGTATTCACAAAAATATATTGCAAAAAGGAACTGTTTCATAGAGCCGATGGAAACCTTATGTACTTACTAAGATTGTAATAATATTTTTGATATTTTGAAAATTAATATTCCAATCTTTTGCTCGTTTTAGTTTTCTGTATGCCAAACTGTTTTCGCATCTGACTTCATCGCGTCGCGCACGTAAATCGAATCTGCCCCATTTTCGCCTCAACAAGGTGCGCAACATCAAAACTTGGCTGAGTGTGCGCTCCTATTTGAAGGTAATCATTTATCTAATATATATATTAATTACTAATTGCTTAATATATTTTGAACTTTTAGAAACGCGGTCCGCAGCGATCCGTGGATATAATTGTGTCTGCGGCATTTATAGTCACCTTGCTGCTGCTGGCCTTTCTCAGCGTTGAGTGGCTCAAGGATTCGGTTAATCTGCACACACATCTGACGCTGGAGGCGCTCATCTGGTCAATTACGATTGGCATCTATTTGCTGCGCTTCATGACGCTGGGCCAGAAGATCCAGCATAAATATCGCAGTGTGTCGGTGCTGATAACCGAACAAATCAATTTGTATTTGCAAATCGAACAAAAACCCAAAAAGAAGGAGGAACTAATGGTCTCAAATAGCGTACTAAAGTTGGCAGCCGATCTGCTAAAGGAGCTCGAAACGCCATTCAAGATCTCTGGTCTCAGTGCCAATCCATATCTGTTCACAACCATCAAGGTGGTCATCCTATCGGCCCTTTCGGGTGTGCTGAGCGAGGTGCTCGGCTTTAAGTTGAAACTACACAAGATTAAAATTAAGTAAGCCAAAAACAAAACAAATGAACACAACACAACACAACAAAATTGATATCAGATCAGAGTACCGGACCGACTACTGGCTACTGGCTAATATCATATTCTTGTAGTTCAAAGTATCTAAATTTTTTTTATTGTTTTAAGGAAAAATATACATTTACCTACTACAACTAGCCTGAATAAACTTATATAATTAACGGAATTTGAATAGCTAAATAAATAATTAAGTAAGCCAATGTTTATGTTTGTCATGTGATTGTCTAATAGCAGCGTTGAATACCTAAATTACCACTAATGTTTAAAAATCAAATCAAATATTTGTTTATATGTATCTGTATCTGTATCTGTACGTATCTGATAGAAATTAGAGCGTCGTGCACAATCAAGCTTTGAAATGTTCACAGAACCGCCTAGTATAGCAAACTATCTATAAGCATAAATCGTATGTTTGTCGTATGTCCTATGTCGTTTTCCTAGTTTTAGAATGAAACAATTGCGTTATCAACTCACAACTTCAATCCAAAACAGCTAATAAATTTACCAAAGTCCAAAAACAAAAAGTTGAAGTTTTATTTACCATTTATTTAGTTTTTAAGTTTGAGCTGCATTAGTAAATCGTCAGTGGCCAAGTCATTTACAGCGGAGTGGTTACTTATATATTTCGATATTTAACTCAAAGTTGGGGAATAAATTATTGGAGCAGATCATTTTTAATTGTAATATTTTCAGTTATTTTTATCAGCATTCGAAATTTGTTTTTAAGAAAACGAAAAATAGATGGCGCTTTGTGCTCTACTTATATAAAATGTTTGCTCACAATTGGTTGGACTTTCCAACTATTCGCGCTAGATGGCGGTATGCTACTGACAGCTGATCGCGCATTCAGTGTGACCAGCGCTTGCACACCTGACGTAACAGCGCTGTGATCTTTACCCCAACATATTCATTAAATTATTGCATTTAGCCGGTCCGTCAACATGCTGAAGCTCCAACTGACCCAACTTCTGCGGCATTCCGTGGCCAGCCAGCTGAGGCGCAGCCAAACACGTCTCATACACGTGGGTGATGCGAATGTGCTGAGCAGCGAAATAGATAAGCAATCAGCGGAATATAAGGTAAGAACATTCAAATAGCTGTAAATGTGTACATAATTACATTGTGGAACACTTGCAGGACAATGCCAAGGAAATGAGCAAGCTGGTCACACAGCTGCGCAATGTGACCAGCCAAGTGCTGACAGGAGGCGGCGCCAAGGCCAACGAGCGCCACACGTCGCGTGGCAAGTTGTTGGCGCGGGAGCGCATCAATCTGCTGCTGGACAAGGGTTCGCCATTCCTCGAGCTCAGCACGCTGGCCGGCTACGAGCTCTACGGCGAAGAGGTGGTCAATTCGGGGGGCATTGTCACCGGCGTGGGAAGAGTCTGCGGGTAGGGCAAAAATACTCTTAAAATGGAATACATATTAAATATTCGATTCTTATATTTGAGCAGCACGGAGTGCGTTGTGGTGGCCAATGATGCAACGGTTAAGGGTGGTAGCTACTACCCCATCACGGTCAAGAAGCATCTGCGTGCCCAGGAAGTGGCGCAGGAGAATCGGCTGCCTTGCGTTTATCTGGTGGATTCGGGAGGGGCGAATTTGCCACGCCAGGCGGAGGTGTTTCCGGACAAGCTACACTTTGGGCGCATATTCTACAACCAAGCGAACTTGTCGGCACAGGGCATACCACAGATTGCGGTCGTCATGGGCAGCTGCACCGCTGGAGGCGCCTATGTGCCCGCCATGGCGGATGAGAGCATTATTGTGAGAAGGCAGGGCACCATCTTTCTGGCCGGACCACCGCTGGTGAAGGCGGCAACGGGCGAAGAAGTCTCTGCGGAGGATTTGGGTGGCGCCGATCTGCATTGCAAGACATCCGGCGTAACGGATCACTATGCGGTGGATGATGAGCACGCCTTGTATTTGGCCAGGCAGATTGTCAGCAATCTGAATACGCCGGCAACAAACGCGTACAACGATCAACTGCTCCACTCCATAGCGACAACGCCTCTGGACTCGACTGCTGCTGCTGTGGAGGAGCCGCTCTACGATCCGCTTGAGCTTTACGGGATTGTTGGCCCAAATCTGACGAAGAGTTTCGATGTACGCGATGTGATTGCTCGGATTGTGGATGGCAGTCGCTTCACGGAATTCAAGAAACTCTACGGCGAGACGCTGGTCTGTGGCTTTGCGAAGCTCTATGGCCGCACCGTTGGCATTGTGGGCAACAACGGAGTCCTCTTCTCGGAGAGCGCCCTCAAAGGTGCCCATTTCATTCAGTTGTGTGCACAGCGAAAGATTCCCCTGGTCTTTCTGCAGAATATTACGGGTGAGTTGATTGATTGAATGATTTATTGACTTGTCATTTGGTGTAATCCCTCCGCAGGCTTCATGGTTGGTCGCGATGCGGAGGCGCATGGCATTGCCAAAAATGGCGCCAAGATGGTCACAGCGGTTGCCTGTGCAAATGTGCCCAAATTGACGGTGATCATTGGTGGCTCGTATGGCGCCGGCAATTATGGCATGTGTGGACGCGCCTATTCACCCCGATTCCTCTACATGTGGCCCAATTCACGCATCTCTGTCATGGGCGGTGTTCAGGCAGCGAATGTTTTGGCCCAGATTACCGAGGATCAGCGGAAGCGTGCCAGCAAAGAATTTAGCGAGGCGGAGGCTCTGAAAATTAAACAGCCAATTGTGGAGATGTTTGAGAGGGAGGGTTCTCCCTATTACAGCACGGCTCGCTTGTGGGACGATGGCATCATCGATCCGGCGAATACCCGCCAGGTGCTCGGCCTCAGTTTGAAGGCGGCTCTCAATAACGCTGGCCATGACACCAAGTTTGGTGTGTTCCGCATGTAAAAGTGTGTATTTTTATTGCATTTCGTGGGCATTTAATGCTCTAACTGTTGAAACTGTTGCATTTATTAGTGTTAAGTCTAAATGTCGTTTTTCGCGGGCGTGGCCCGCAAACTTTTTAAATTTTTAATAAAAATCGATTGCATAAATGTTCAAATAATTATGGGCCTATCGTTATCGCCTGCGTTAACATAGCTGGACGACGCTAGCAGTGTTTCACTCGCTGCTAACACTGCAGCAAAATTGATTGGGCAACACTAGAGAGCAGTCGACAACACTACGTGAAAACGGTTCGTCATAGAATTTTGGATTCCTTTGTCGTTAATTACTTTGAATTATTATAAGGTACGGTTTAAGTTAAATCAACGATTATCCAAAATACAATTAATTAGGTGAGTGTGAACTAAACTTCAAACCAACGGCCAACAGCAGAAAAGCCTGTTTCCAAGTGTATATATATATGTGTGTGTTGGTGAATGTTGCGGCTGCGGCGTTTTTTTGCTTCTCCATCTTTTAAGTGTGTGCATGGCAAAATCTAGAAGAGGCGGCGTCGGCAGAAAAGAAAGTTCAACGGCAACAAAAAAAATGCGAGAGTTTCTCGTGTATATGTGGCGATTTTAAAATAGCCTTGCCGAAAACTTCAAGTGCACAACACTTGAGCACAAAATATAGCAGAAAATTTCTTCTGTACATGCTATGCGTATGTGTGTGTGTGCGTGTTGTACGCATTTAAATGTCGCCCAGTGTTGCAGGCGCGTCTGTCTCCTTTCTATATATGTGTGTGTGACCAAAAATAAAATGTGTGTGCATGTATATGTGTGTGTGTGTGGCTTCTGCGCCTGCTGCACGCTTGCAACAGGAACAGTCATAAAAATTCCACACCAAATCGTCAAGAGGCCTTTGCGGCTAATCTGCTGCTGCTGCCCGAGTCGATGCCGTTACACACATTGCTACCTGCCACAAGCAAAAATGCAATTTTGCGACTGGCGTTGCCATATTTTTTGGTGCATTTCCTGTGCCGCTCTCAGGTGTTCTTTGCAATGTTGTTGCTGCCGATATCAATTTATTAGCATGACGTCATTGCCAGTATGTCAACTTGTCAACTTTTGTTATGTGTGTGTGCGGTTTTTATCTGGCAACCCCCGCACATTGTTGTCCATGCGTGTGCATGTGTGTATATATATATGTGTATGTGTGTGTGTGTGTGTTTTACCGATTCAAGCTTGTTTTCTTTTAACTACTAATTTGATTGGCTTCTTAAAATTGCTGAGCTAGCGGACGCCAACGCTGACGTTCACTCAAAACTCGCCGGCTTTTCACACAGATCACACACAGCAATTTGTGTGTGTGTGTGTATGAGTGTGATCGATGACAAACACTTGCCGATAATCGATGTCGATATTTATATCGTGCCGCAAATGTTAAATTTATATTGAAACGTCACCTTTTTGTGATAAGTTGCGGTTACTTAATTGGTTGGCAACGATGAGCCATTTGCCACAACTTCCGCTGCAATTACACACACACATCAATCAGAGGCAAACGCCCCCACACACACACATAAAGAGTAATAATCATCATCAGGCTTCGACACAGCAAACAAAACAAATCCCTCATAATGAGTTTCTTTTTCCAACTTGTTGTGTATTTGGGGCAGTTTTGCCTGCACTTCAATCAATAAGCAACAACAACATCAACATTTGCAACAATACGGGGCACAGTCAAGTTCCGGCTATTGCCCCAACTTTAGCTTTTATCGCAGCGCGCCCTTTTTATACTCTGTTCCCAGCAATATGAGTGGGAGTATTTATTTTTATATATAGTTTTCTGTGTTTGCATAACACAAATTGTGTCAACTTGCAACAAACAATAAAGAACAAAATAGCATTTATCTTAAAGCTGTCATGAATATTTTTGCAGCTTTTTTTTACACATTAACAGAGTATTTTACCGCATGAGAGTCAAACTGCAATGATTATATTTTTTTGGGTTCAATGCACTTGCCACACAACGTGGCAAAAGTTTACACACACACTCAAACATTCACTACTTGGCCTGATATTTATAGGCACATTTCGGCTGCCGGCTAATTCCATTTTCTGTGTGTGTGTGTGTGTTGTGTGTGTGGTGTGTGTGTTAAGGCCCACGTTGTGGCATTGGTCATGTTATTTATTTTTTGATTCTATCTGCTCTTGATAATGCCAAATGCCTAAAACGCTGACACAGCTGCAGATGCAGACAATAGAGTTGTCTCGATTCGTTCGCAATTAGTTCGATTGAACATTGAACTACTCAGCTAACTAAATGAACGAACTAATCATTTAAATCAGACTTTCTTGAAATGACAATGAATAGAAAATAAGTAGGTTTTAAATATGTTTTTTTTTAACAAAATATAACGAGCGAAACAAAATGAACGATAATTGTAGTTAAATGAATGAGAATAGTTAAGTGAACGAAGAAATTCGTTCAATAATAACTGAACGACTGAACTACTTCTTTGGCATGAACAGTAAATCACAACTCTAGCCGGCAATGCAGTGACTAAGAACCGTTGCCGATGTCGCTGCCTCTGCTGACTGCTGAGTGCTGTTGTTGCTGCTGTTGGCTGCTGGCTTCCGACTGTCTCAAGAAGCGTCGGCATCGGCAGCAGCGAAGCGTTGACAAACCAAAACCGCCCAACAGCAGCCACAGCCACGCCGCACTCGCAGACGCAGTAGAAGCAATCGCAGTCGCTGCAACCCACCACAGTCCAAGTTCATTGTTCGTTGGCTCCAGTCTCGCACGGATTGCGCTGCTATCGCCGCCATACAAAATACAAAGTATATATTTGCCTGTGCGTGTTTTTCTTGTTCTTTCTTGTTGCATTTGCGCTGCTTGTTGCTCGTGTGTGCGTTTTCCACTCCAATTTCAAATTTGCCTGATTCTGTCTTGGCTAGCAGCGTGGGGCGCGTTTGCATGTCGCTTCTCAACTAAATAGAAAAAAGTACAACTCTACTCCAGATTCGAATTATATGTTGTAATTTACAATGAAGTGTGTGTGCTAAGAAAAGGTGTGGCCACAGGGTATCTTTAGTCATGCACTATTGACTAGTGGAGTACTCAAAAAATACTCTATTCTTATGAACTCAAGTAATACTCACTGCTGCCAATAGGCGGAAAAAAGAACAGCTGTCTGAAGCAATATAAAGCAATTAACGCATTAAAAGCCATTTAGAATAAAAAATAAAAAACCATGCAGTTTTTATGATTAGTTGTATTGAAAATAATATAAACATTTAAACAACATATACAAATATATATATAATAGTAATATAAATAGTTGTTCTAATGTAATTATCAATCCTCATAGAAATGCATCCTTTTCTGTATTCTTTGCAATTTCGTGGAATTTTCATTTAAAAAGTTGATTTGCTTCAATGACATAAATCATTGATATAAATCAGAATGTGTGTTGGCCAACTAGGGTATCTCGTAGACGAGTACTTGTATTTTGCTCTGTGATTGTTATCGCTGCTGATTGTTTATTGAGTTCGGTAATTTGTTAATACCAATTGTGAAGAGTCGCATCAGCGTAGTAGGAGTAAATATTTATGCTAATTTACCATAATTCACATAATATAATCTATTTGAATTCGTTTTGATCAGCTGCCCAGCCGAGCTGCTGTGTGGGTAGGATTTCAAGCAGGCCTTGATCTATGCTTGCTGCTAGGCATTCGAAAGTGTTGTTCACATAAAGCTGTCGAATATTTGAAAAAAATAAAATAAAAAAATTTAATTTAAAAACATTCAAAGATTTTTCTTTTCAACAATTAATACAAATCTTGGAACCGTAGGCAAAGCGCTGTTTATTCAATTAGCTACGAATTAGAGATCGGTGAGTAGTTTCTTATCGAATTAGTCCAAGTGCCACGTTTTTTGTTTGATTTAGACAATTAGTGAAAAACATTTGGCAAAACAAAAACAGATAAAATAATTAAAAGGAAAAGCAGCGGCAAACTTTCATGTACGAACACTGAAATGTACTTATAACAAACAATCGTGCCAACATGCCACATGCCACATTCCACCGCAGATGTTGCATTGATTGTGATTACCGTGATCTTGATATTGAGGCACGCACATCTGCGACGCTTCAATGCACACGCCAAAATTAAACCAACAAAATACAAACCAAATAAAAAATTGAAACAATTATAAGCTGAGCCGTAATTACCAGCATTATACACACACACACACACACGCACACCCACACACCTTCTCCTTTTATGTATGGCACACATAGTTAAATTATGAAATACAATTTATATATATATATATTTTTAATTCGCAGCAACGGCAAGAACAGCGAGAGATTCACAGAGATATGGCTGTTAACGTGTACTCCACAAATGTGACGTCCGAGAATCTGTCTCGTCATGACATGCTGGCCTGGGTAAACGATTGCCTCCAGTCGCAGTTCTCCAAAATTGAGGAACTGTGCACGGGTGAGTAGATGGCAGATGGATCGATCGAATCACCGATCACCTATTCAATATGTATTTATATATCGTGTCTATATTTAGGTGCCGCTTACTGTCAGTTCATGGACATGTTGTTCCCAAATTCAGTGCCCGTCAAGCGTGTCAAATTCCGTACAAATCTGGAGCATGAGTACATACAGAACTTTAAGATCTTGCAGGCGGGCTTCAAAAAAATGTCCGTCGATAAGGTAAATTGTAGCTCTAGCTCTAGCATATATCCACACACATATATATATATATATATAAATATATATGTTTTGTATATTTCCCAGCCTTATATATTTATTCGATTTTTAAATTATGTTGTTTTCTAACACCAAAGTTTTGCACACTTACAAAGTTAATTGTTATACATATTTAAATTGAGATTGAGCTGTGTGTGTTGCGCTGATTCCTTGTGCACCTTAGACTGGACACATTTATTACAATAATCCTTGTATTTAGTGAATCTAATATTAATCAGATTATTCGCAGCTAGATCTTTCGAAGAAGCATATTCATATTTCAGTATTCAAATTTAGTAGAAAAAAACCAAATTTCTTTCTTTTGGAATATATCAAATATTTGAATTGCGAATGTAAAGATGTTTTTCTTAATATTAGTAAAACTTTGTATGATTTGATAATTAAGGAAATGTGATCATTTTACTGACTATACAAATTATATATTCATCATTTGCAAATATTGATCACATCTCCATAAATATCATGTGTAATAATTAAGTAAATTTTTGATTTCTGTACTTGTTCTTAAACTAAATTAGAAAAATTAAACTCTTTTTGGGGCTGGGTGGAGCCAATTGTTGAAATACCATTAAAAGTTGAACTTTCCTATGTGTATGTAACTAACTGACATTTCCGTTACAAACCAACGAAAAAACATCAACAACATCGACAACAACTGCGGGGGGAAAAAACAACAACAACAATAATAATAACAACAACAACAACATCTACAGATAATACCCGTTGATAAACTTATTAAGGGACGATTCCAAGACAATTTTGAGTTTCTGCAATGGTTCAAGAAGTTTTTCGATGCCAATTATGATGGACGTGATTACGATCCACTGGCCCAGCGGGGCGGCATCAAGCTGGGCAACGGATCCGGCAGCCACACCGGCAGCGGTGTGGGCAGCACCAACAATGATCTACATATAATGCATCGTCGCCCGCAGCAGCATCCACATCAACATCCACAGCAGCAGCATCAGCATGTGATCAATAATAGCCGCATGTCAGCATTGCGCATCCAATCGGGTATGGGCTCGCTCGATAAGAGAGATTGGTGTTGATGATATAATTATGATAGCAGAAGCTGGTTACGGTGATGGGTCGTCGCTGTATACGCAACTGTCTCGTCTTCTATCATTTTACAATATTTGTGTTGTGCGTGTGGGCAACAAAAAACCAAAAAAAAAAAAAAACCTAAAAACGAACGTGAAGCACGCGAAAAACAACAAATAAAAAACAAAAATAGAAAAATCAATTTTGAAACCAGCAAAAATAAAAAAAAAACACCAAAAATGGCAATGGCAACATTTGTGACTGTTGTGCACCCACCAAAAAGCATACGCATCCCAGCACCCAATACACACACACACACACACACACACAACACACCCAACACACACACACACAGTTGTCTCTTTGTTTTGAGTGTGCACATTTCTCATGTATAATTTTTAATATTAATTTAACATTTAGTTTTCTTTCTATTTAAACTGTCTTGGTTCTTGTTATTTAGTTTTTGTTTATATTTTTTTTTTCTCTCACTTCATTCAACAAAACACTGCATATTATTCTCTCTTTCTCTCTCTCACACATTTTACTTTTAGATAATACCCATTGACAAATTGATAAAGGGTCGCTTCCAAGATAATTTCGAATTTTTACAATGGTTCAAAAAATTCTTCGACGCCAACTACGATGGCAGAGATTATGATGCCAGCGGTGTGCGCGAAGGGGCGCCGATGGGCTTTGGTTCCGGTGCTGTTAAATCTCTGCCTGGCACAAGCGGCGGCGGCGGCGTTGCCAGCTCCTATAGGCGTGTGCCAACGGCGGCACAAACACGAACAGCGGCAGCAACAACGACAGCCACAAAGCCCAGTAGGTTCTCTTGGTTTGGTTTGGTTTTGGTTTTGGTTTTGGGTTCGCTTTACTTTTGGTTCGGCTTAGTTTGCAGTCCACACACAAGTCCAAACCATCATCTCTCACCTAATTTCAAAAAAGCAAAAAGAAATACTTTCATCATCAGATACATTTTTGTACATACATACATCAAAATACATACATACACATTATTCTACATTTGGTGGCACGTTGAAATTAGCTCATAAGCTCATTTATTTAATTCTATAATTTAACAAAACTGAATGCACCAAAACTACAAAATGACAAAACACAACAGAAAGCGCAACTTGAACGCTAGCCATTTGACGCGAGTGCTTCACGTTTGTTAAATCTATAATTATGTTCAAGTACATTTATATTAGGATTAACGTAATTTTCTTATCCAATCCAAGCAGTCTCTAAGGTGCCGCCACGCACAAATAATGCGACGCCGCCGAATCGAATGATCGCCGGCACGGGAGCTGTCAAGAAGAACGATGCGGCTGGTGCGGCATCCAATCATCAGATCGAAGAGCTCTCCAATCAGGTAAGTGACCCACAAGGAAACATTTAGCAACTGTTTAACTTGATCCGTCGCCATCTATTTAGGTAATGGACATGCGCTTGAATCTGGAGGGTCTGGAGAAAGAGCGCGATTTCTACTTCACCAAGCTGCGCGACATTGAAATACTGTAAGTTCAACTTAATCTTTATTGAATTCTTCGATGCTTAACTTGTCTTTTAACTGCCACAGTTGCCAGGAAGCCGATGAGGCTGAACCAGCACAGCTGATTCAAAAGATTTTGGACATACTCTATGCAACCGAGGTAAGCGGGAGAAGAAAGTCTTTTTTATTGGTTGCACACAACTGGCATAATCAATACTGTTTTTAATTTTTGGCATCGCAGGATGGCTTTGCGCCACCAGACGATGCACCACCAGAGGACGAAGAGTACTAAGTATAATCAACAACAACAACAACAGTCAACAGCCCTCGATGATTAATTGTTTGCTGCATACACATTCAAATTCGAACGGAGAATACATTTAACACAATTTGCTATGCTAAAACCTAAACTAAAACCAAATTTATGAAAAATAACTACAACTACAACTACAACTACAAATTCAACAACTGCAACAAGAACAAGAACAACTCAACTATATAAGGAACCAAGTAACCATCGAGAAACCACAATATACATGCAAAGATACACACACAACAGACACACACACACACATCATAGCACTGGTAAATGTATTGTATAACAAATAATACACATGAGATATACATTATACATGTACATTAGTTATTAACAATTGATACAAAACAATTAATTCAATTCGGTTTAGTAATTATGTAATTTAAACATTTACGAAATGGCGACAAGCAATTTTTGGCCGATTGAAACACGAATTTTCGAACAGATACAAACAAATGCGTTGAAACTGCTCAATTTTGTTAAAGACAAAGCTGTGTTATGTTAAATGTCTGGCATTCAAAATATTCGAAGCATGCAACTTGCAACAAGCAAACAAACATACAACCAAACTGTGTTCGGTCGGCGCCTGCTGTGTTGCTATTTAGTAAATTGAACACCAACATATTGCATCTAAATTGTTTATAGTAGGAGAAATAAAAAAACAAACAAAAAATACAACAAAAAAACGAGAAAAAAACGAAAGAAATAAACAAAAGGCGTGGCAAAAAGTAACTGACAGAAAGACTTGATGTGAAACACAAATTGTTAAAATGAAAAACTTTAAATTAAATTGATAATAATTTGGGTTTTGTTTCAAATTTGGTTTTTGCTGTGTGTCATACAAAGTCGTTTTTTATAAACTGATGAATTTATAATTTTTATTGACTCTCGTCGTTATTATTGAGTGTGTTTTGCTGCATAGTAGATTTGTAGAATGTGAAAATAACTCTCGTTAGTAATTATGCAGATGAGATGGCATTTGGAATTTTCAATCTTATTAAATTAACAACGGCAACACTCGATGCAAATGCATACACTATTGAGTACAGTAGTATTTAAGCCATTTTTTGCTCTCAACACTTTTTTTTTAGTTCTATAATTTATGTGTAAAAAATCCGAACGTTTAAAAATTAAATAAAAAACAAAAGCTACTATCTAATTTTTGAAACAAATACACTGATTTACTTAGGATTTACTCATTAAATAAACAACAACAACAAAAAAGGAAACAATTGTGTACAATTTGCTTGTGTTTTATAAGTTTTTCTCTTCGGGTTAATTTCTATGCATCTGTCTGGATAACTATTTTCATTTTCTATGAGCACTAAACGCTGTAAATATTTTGTTGAGCTTGAACAAACATACACATGAACATGAACATATATATATATATATTTACAAATATTATACATAACATGCATATATATATATATATATATCACTTAATATACATGTTTATTGGGCTGCAAAGGCATTTATTTATGTGTGTATAAATAACGTTCTATAATCTAGAAAATAAAACAAGTGTTGCTTGATTCAAAATTGTTCTCGTGCATTTCTCCTCTCATTTCATCCCATCAATATGCTACAAATGCGTTCGTTGCATGCAACCTTAAAGCTATGCTGAGTTATTTAACGGCTGACTGGATCTGGGGCTGCTTGTGGGTGCCATCGCAGAAGGGTCGATGCCTCGTCTGCTTGCAATTGCACAGCCAATAGTCGCCAGTCTGCTCCACCTTGAAGCGTATGGGCCTGTAATTATATAGATAATTAGCTGATATATTCAGACATATTCTATATGTTTTATGGGCAGCTGTTTACCTCAGCTTAATCTTGAGAAATTCATTTTTATGCGTACCATCGCAGAGCGGCTGCGATTTGGATTTGCCGCACAGGCACCAGCTGTACGTTTTATCTGTGGAAGTTGCAACATGTGTTTTGTCGATTATGTAAACATTTTGCTTGTTTGTGCATTTCCACCCGGCTGGAGTGCAACACTCACCTTTATCCAGATGCAGTTTGAATGGTCGCTTGTCGAAAATGGCTCCGTTTTCCTTTTGCAAATTAGCCGTTTGCTTATCCTCGAGTAGATTTTTGGGTATCGTTTTGGCAGCGTCGCCGCTTGATTTGGCGCTGGAGCTATAGCAAACATGCTGTATACAAAATATTGGTATACGTTTTAATCATACGATAATGAGAGATAATCAGCTTGGTACCTTTAGGAGCCAGTTTGCGCGCAGATTGCTTCTCAGTATAACTGACATAACTTTAAGGAACTTTTAACAAGCGTCCAAAGTGAAAGGCTAAATAAACAGAACAGCTGTTCTCTGCACAAGTGTGTACATATTTAAGAATTTAGCGGAATAGCAAATGGTCACCTTAAAAAGTATTTAGTATTTAAATACCAAAAAGTCATAAGGCGACAGACTAACTGGTTGATACCCTGAGCAAATAATAACTGAACAGTCTACTTAAATAATTGTTGAGCAAATAAGAAAAACAACAAACATTCTGAAGGGCAAACATTAGGCTTTATTAATACTGCTGTTTGCAATCAAGGTCAAGGTTCCACTCGCAATCAAGTGCGAATCACTCAACAGATAAGACAGAACCTACAAATCCCAGGCGACAAAAATGCACCACTTAGCAGACATGAATCTGATGCGTCGCGAATATCTCTAAGGAAAAGAAGTATTACTTGATTAGCTAGTAGGTTTACGTAAGATATTCCATTTGCACTAGATAAGAATTGCTTATCAAACGACCCCGTTTATAAGCTTATTAATAAGCAACTCTGTATTTATTTATGTGTTTGTTATGTTTATTGAAATACATAAACAATCAGAGCTTATTGAATTAGTAAAACTAGAACTCGTCGTTGAATGGATAGTACTTGTGCCGGGCCATGCCACTGAATGGAACCGTGCGCACACCCTTGTGATATGTCTCCATTTTCAGCAGATCGTCTGGTGCCAGTTCGAAATCGAAACAATTGAAATTTTCGGCAAGGCGCGATTTATTCGATGACTTTGGCAGCGGCACAACGCCAATCTGTATGAGATATCGCAGGCAGATCTGCGCCGCAGTGTGACCATATTTTTTGGCCAACTGCTGCGCACACTCATCATACAAAAAGGGTGGCCAGTTGCGCGCGGGCTGCGGACGCGCCAGAGGACAATAGGCGCAGATCACAATCCCATGCTCCTTTGCATGGGCACGCAGCTGCTTCTGCTGAAATGCCGGATGACACTCGACCTGGTTGACGACGGGCTTTATCCGACAGTGCTGCAGCACTCGCTCCGTTTGCGACGCATTGAAGTTGGACAGGCCAATGCTGCGCGTGAGACCTAAATCAACCAGTTTCTCCATTTCACGCCACGTATCCAAATAATCCACATCGGTCAGCTCCAAGGTGCCATGAACATTGCTGTCATCGTGGAATTTCTGCCCAATTGGCATATGCATAAGATATAAATCAATGTAGTCCAGACCCAGGTTGTTCAGACTGAGGCGAAAGGCACGCTCCACAACCTCCGGATCATGGTGAATGCCACCTAATTTGGTCGTCACAAATATCTCCTCACGTTTAATCGTCCCCTCGGCGATCTTCTCCCTTATTGCTCGACCCACTTCGTTTTCGTTCTCGTAGACGAAGGCCGTGTCGATGTGCCTGTAGCCGATGTCGATAGCGTTACGTGTCGCCTGATACGCCTCCGATTCGAATGATCGCCAGGTGCCCAGGCCCATTATGGGCATCTCTCTGCCATTGTTTAACTTTATTTTAGGCGCTAGTTTTGCCATTTCGTTGATAATTGGCTATAAATTTGCACTTCCTTCTTTTCCGACTCAAATCCAGCACATTCAAGCTTTGATGAGCAACTGGCGCGTCGTTCTTTCTTCAGTCAAACTTGACTGCATCTCTTTACATACCCTGTAAGCACGATTATCTTTATATGGGTGTGTTGATCACCTGGATTCTGTTGCTTTTCTGTTCATCGGTTGTTTGTTTACTTTATTTATTTAATTTTAGATATGTTTTTTATTTATATATTCCTGCATTTGAAATGCATTAAAAACAATAAGTTCAGCACAGGGTATTTTGAAGCACACCTTTAGTTAGCCCACATGTTTCGTGAGTCATGCGATGAAATCACAGCTGAGTTGTGGCTTTTCCCATACGAAAGCTTTCGCTCACGAGCTTTTTGAAGCGCTAAAATAATTAAACTTGAATTTAATTTTCTTTGTTTTTTTTTTTTTTGCTAACACATAAAATTTTTATTTGATTATTTGTTAAAGTTCAAAATGTTAGACATTGAAAGTTATATGGTGTCCATATGCTTAGGTTGCTTGTAACATTTAAAGGTTATTGTTGAAATATTTGTAGCTTTGCATAAATTTATTTGATTTTGTTAATCACTATAAACGGTTAAAAGAGCTGCTCCTTGTATTTGACAAATATGCATTTAAATATATATGTATGTATTTATATGTTATTTGTTTAAGATATTTGTATTTCGTTTTATCTTTAATGTTGCCTGTTGTTTTGGCCGTCTACTTGTTCTTTGTTGGTGTTGTATCCTTACTGTGAGCCCCGATGAGCATTTTGGTTTTCTTTCTATTAAATCTAGTCTATTTTCATAATATTGTTTGTTGGTGTTTTATTCGTACGGTGAGCTTTGATAAGCATTTTTTTAAATATTATTTTTAAGTCTAGTCTATTTTATTAATGTTTGTTATTGGTGTTGTATTCTTACTGTGAGCTCCGATGAGCACTAAAACTAGTCTATTTAATTAATTATGTTAAAGGTATGCTTCACACATACATAAATACATACGATTGAGTAAAATTGTCAAGATTGTATTCGTTAGACATGTAAACATTGATTTGAACATTTAGTTAGATGGTTTGAACATTTACTGCAATTTTCACTGGTTCTTCACTTAAATTGGTAAACAAACATGATGTTTGAATGTAGAGTGCCTGCATTGTTTAAGCGGAGGTATTTATGTAGGTTTAGATATAGCTTGGATCTCTTTACCTGATTCATACAAATTTATGCAAAGTGCTAAAAAGAAAGTTGGAAAACAAAACTTTTGTATAAATGTAAACAAAAATTGTAGAAATTCTTTTAGGATTGTCAAATCGAATCACAATTCAAAATTTGAAATTTTCTTCTTTCGTTTGTTAGTATTATATATATATATATAAAGATTAGTAATTACTTTATTTTGTCCTAACATAGAAAGGCTACAAAATATATGTATATAATTATAGCTGTATATCTTAATATTTGACACAAAAAGTTTTGAAAACGTTTCTTAAACTAGATAGATCTAAGTTTATGGGTAAGCATATATGGTGTCATTTAGACAACGTTTTGGTCTACATCTAAATAAACATGTATTCTACATATTTAGATGAGTTTACATATCGGAAAATTGTTTTTGTACAGATTATATAATATTGTTAATTAGCAATTCTTAATGGACGATTCTGACAGAAATTCCCCATTTCGTTTGGTAGATAAAGTAATTAAAGGCTTGAAATCTCTTAAGTTCTCTTTAAATTGGTGTTTGTTTTTGCTTTTCGTTTTGTTTTGTTGTAATTCAAAATAAATTTGATTATATACCTAATAAACTAAAAACAATCGTTTCAAATTCGCAGTTATATAAAAATTGCATTAAAAATTCGTACAACTGTTTTGGGAGAAACCTCTGAACTCGTATCTTTTGTGGGTTATTGTGCATTGATTGATTGTGTTGGAAATACGAGAATTATAATAGATAGTGCAGAAATATAGATAATTGAATAAATATATATATATAAATATATATATATATATATATAAACTACGTTGTATGGTCTGGTAGGGTATAGTTGCCTACGTAGCGGTTCTTGTCTAAGTGGTAAGTCGTTGTTTGAGAGACCTTCGTGGGAGAGGAGTTGGTTTCTTTCGATACTACAATGTCTATAAATATATGTTAACTACTTTGGTTTACTAATTTTCCATATACATACATAATATATATATATCAAGTGTTGCCTTTTATAAGACCTGCATAGGAGTTTAGAACTTTGAGATAAAAGACACGAAATTTAGTAGATAGGCCCCATAAAAGTCACACTTGCCTTAAGAACTTTCTTTGGGTTCTCGGTTTAAAGTAATTCCTATTAAATAAGTACATCTTGAATGAAGCCATTTTCTTTTGTACATATACTACAACTAATAAGGTCCCTCTCCAGTGTTTTTGTTTTTTATGCCTTTACTTAGCATATTTTTGTTGTATTATTTATTCAACTCAAGAAAAATTATATGTGTTTTTTATACAAAATAAAACAACAGAAAATAACTGACTATAAATGTATGTGTGGTTGTATTTTATTAATGAATCTTGTATAGATAAAACATACATGTGTAAACAAAAAGAGAAAGAAAAATTTAAATAAATGTCTTACGACTATAAAACTTATATATATATATTATATATTATTATTAACTAGCTTCAACTAGATTTGATTATACAGGTAAGTCGCTTACTCTTATGACATGCCAAATATTCGTATGATTTGTATTTTTGATTAAAAAAATAGACTCCACTTTTATATTATCCCTCTCGATTGGACAATGTGCATAGCCATGAATTTTAAATGGATATTCGTATAACATTTTTATTCTTTCGTTTTTTTTTTTTTTTTGTTTTGTTATTGTTCGTTATTGTTTAGTAAAGTTGTAGGAAATAGGTTTAGAACATTGTTTTTGTTTTGGTTGTTGTTGTTGTTGTTGCTTTCTCTAAATGTTTAGTATCACACACGCCCATTTGTTTGTTTGTTTGTTTTATTTGTAACGCTCGTTGGGCTTGGGAATTTCGTTACTCCCATGTCCTACCCAAAGCCAAATGTTATTTAAAGCAAAAAGTTTTCTGTTTTTTTTTTTTTTGTTTTTTGTTTCAGTTCATTTTGGAAAATTGAGATAGTTGTTTTTGATGTTGTAACATATTTATGTATCTTTGCCAAGCTTACATAAACTTTACTTTGATTCTGGCTAATATGAATAAAGTTAGCTGATTAGTTTTTGTGGTTTCGGCGCTTAGTTCAGAATGCACTGGTTGGTCGCTAAAGGGGCAGCTAAAAACAACTCAGCTAAGCTCATAACTCTGCAGTTGATTACGGTTTTTATGGGTCTTCTTTTTTTAAGCCCATTAAATACGCGTTATAGACACTAAATACGAGCTAATTATAAGGGACTATACGACGACTTGTTGGTTGTTTCATTTAGTTTAATTTAATTTAGCTTCCGGGTCGGTTCCACCTTCTGTGACATGGCGGTCAAAACCCGCTGATTGTCAATCACACGAAAACAGCTGATGTACGAGCGAACTTCCCCCTCGCTCTTTGGTGACGGTGGCTCCAGACCTGAAAATAATGAATAGTTTTATTTATTTCTGTATTTTTTATTTATTCATTTCATGTCAACTAATTTTAGTCGACACTGAAAAGTACAAAAGGTAAAAAATAATTTTAATTTACTTAAAACTTATAGGTAAAATATATAAATAGTTTAGAAAGAGCAGCAGTTTCGGGTATTTGAAATATCGATATGGTTGTTGATAAGAACCCAAAATATACGAATGCAAAAAAAATGTTACTTCATTAATTTAAAATGTGTAGTTAAATTAGAGGAGTAGTCAACTGAATTCGAACTTAATATTTCAAATATTTTAAAAGTTTAATTAACTTTGAGAAGTAAGCAAATGAATTCGGGTTCAATTTCCATTCAGCTTAGATAAACTTCTGAGTTTTGAGTATTAAAAAGCAATTCTTGCCAATTAGGAACTCTACATGTCCAAAATTTAAGTAAATGTATATAATAGTTTGTTAAGAGTGTAAATATATTATTCATCACAAATTCACTGCTTGGAAAAAAGAAATAAAAGCAGAATTTGTGTCTCATTGAAGCCTCAGGCTATAATAACAATTAACACGTATCCACAGACAACAAATGTTAAGCCTTTTAAAGTGTATTAAAGAGGGGTCATATAAGAAATCTAGCTATATGGAACAATAAAAATTCATGTCAAATCAGAATGTATATAAGAATTTATGTACTTTGCACCCTGGATAATGTTGTTATGAAACTTACCCAAGTTTCGCGAGCGACAGAAGCGAATGGTGCGCATTGTTTGGGCCATCATGTGCATTTTCTCAAAGTTGACCAGTCCGTCGAGGCTCGTCTTGTTGCCCTCATGGGCAAAGGTCATGTCCTTGAGCAGGAGCGGCATGAAGGGAATCAGCGGCGGCTGCAGCTTGCCCACGAAAACACGATAAGCGCGATGATTGCGACTGGGATCGATGAGTGCCTCGAACTCTTGAAAGATTTTCCGAAATTTCGATGGTATCTTCTCCCAGGTCTGATGCATCCGCGATACGGCCATATTCGACAGGCCCATCACAATTGCAAAAAACGCATTCAGGTTCTGATACTCTTTGCAGCTGTGCATTGAAAATATTGATTTGTCATTTTTCATATAGAGTTCAGAGAATTATTGTATTTGTAACACTTACTAAGCGGCCAGCTTGATGAATTTACGCACTAAACCCACTCGTTTGCTGAGGCTCGGCGTGGAGACGAGCTCGGCAACAATCCAGTATTGCACCTCGTTGAAGCGCCGCAGAAACACATCCAAATTGGCCGTAATCTGTGGAGAGAGTTGGCATTAGTACGAAACTTGGCCAACACATCTTGGCAAGCTTTAATTGCCTTAACAATTTCTGGCAGACAACTCGTGCCAAAACTCAATTTGCAGCTACATGACAAATGCTAAACTTGTAAATGGTTGACGGCAAAACTTTTTGCCGGCTAGGAAGAACACCACCGATCGCCTCCCGGCCCGGGTGTAAAGGTCTTTGCCTGCACTTTCAGCCTAATTAGTCGATTTGGCATTCAAACTTCTGCCAAACAATGCAACGAGGCAGGCTTTGGCTATGTGCCTCAAAATGTGCCTAACTTACACTTGTCAAAAATTGATGAGTACTTTCTTTCAACTGCTTTAAAATAAATGTTTGTCATTACACTAATGATTTTCCACACTATCAAAAACTTTATGGTTTCCGATCAGTTTTACAATTAAAAATTAGTTTTTTGGTAGATCATTTTTTAATTCATTTATATTTATAATATTTTACACTTTCGATCGGACAAGTACATTACAGTTTTCTTATGAAGTCTGGATATGGATAAAATATTTATCTCATTCTGAATCAATTAATATAAGCTATCTTTCCATAGATTGAAACATCCTTACCCTAGACAACATTTTAAGTATCTCAATTTGTTCTTTCCAAAATGATGCCTGGCTCAGCTACCGAATACTACTACAGAGCATGAATAAATTCCTTAGACAAAGTTTTAAGTATTTTGATGATAGCGCAAACTCAATTTGCATATGTATAACAAATAGCTTTTTCTTTAAGTGTACCTTGCCAAAATGATGCCTGCCAAAGGTGTGATAGAGCAGCTCGTACTCATGCACCGCCCAGAACAAATCCCATTCAAATATTGTGATGTGATAGGCCAGCTCTTTGGTGCTCAAGAGTTCCAAATCGATGTCAACTCCATCTATGGCGCACTCCTGCTCCGGCAACTGTGTCTGTGTCGAAAATAATACAAAAGTGTTAGGCAACAGAGGAGAAGGTGCGGATTGTGGGGGGACTCTGTGTTGACTTACCAAAGCATCTAGATGATCCTTGACGGAGACAAACAAGCGGCCATTGAGCGTTAGACCCGTCGGTATGCTAACATCATTATCTTTGAATACGGACCGTTCACCATTGGACTTAACTTCGACGAGGCAAAGGTCATCGGGTCCACGGTTCAATTGGAGCTTGTCGGCGGCACACGCCTTGATTAGTTCCGCTGTGGTGTGCATGGGAAAGCGCAGGGTGCAATAGGTGTGGTCCGCACAGTATACACGGAAAATGACTGCAAATTGGGACAAGGGGATGATGTGATGAAGTGCGCCCATTAAGCAATCAGCTGCATTTGCAGTTTGAATTTCAACTCACTGTCATCGTCCGGCCGGATGACTGTTTTTGATGGCGTCGCATTGCCGCTAAATAGGCAAATTGGTTGGCCATTTGTGGGCAGCTTCCACTTTTGGCCGGCATTCTGATTGCGATCCTCCTGATATCTGGCCATCTGCGTTAGCACATTGTGTATGATGCTCGTCTCCTCATTTAGATCGGGATCGGCTTCCACCTCGGCCGCTAGATCTTCGATAAAATCGCATACGCTTGGCTCCTCGAAGGCGGCGTGTCGCACGGCCATAACCCATTTTTGCATGAATTGGATGACACGCTTCTTAAAGTTGATGATGTACTCCCGATCCTCGGGCGTTTGGGCCTCATCATGCGCATCACAATGGAAGGTACACAGCGGTTAAGGTAACCAAATCTCTGAACATAAAGGACAACACAGACTACTCGAATTTTGCGTATCCTGCAAATCTGTTGCTTTGGCACGCACACGCACAATAACTGAATGTGGTGGGTTGGGTCAGAAAGTGGGTTCTCCTTAAGCACATCACGTATTCCAATGCAGATTGGAGATTAGTTTCAAGCATCATTGAACCCCCCCTCAACAGCTGCTGCACTACATACACATTACCAAATTGTTGACCCAATATCCAAGGACTCTGTTATTGTTGTGTGTGTACATGCGTGTGTTTCTCTCTCTGTGGGCGTGTGTGTGTGTGTGTGTGTGTGTGTATAGGTCATTTTCAACTAGGTTGCGGCTGTTGTCTCTTTAACGTTAACAGTTGCTTTGCTCCAAAAGGAAGTGTATCACTTCGTTAGTTTCCTTAATACTGACCAATTTTGCAACGCATTAAGGTAAAATACCCTAAACCATATTCAGATTTGTTCAAGCTTTTGCTTGAGCTTTCACATGTACACGAAGAGGCTTTTCAGCTTTGTATGAATAACTCAACACACACGCACATCGATATCTTATATACCTATAAGTTGTATATATTCTTGATAAATATCTACAGGGTAGTAGCTATGTATAATTCTGCCCGTTTTTATTTATTCAGGCATGTTACAATTTTCGAAAGCTTTAAAGCCAGACTTCTGGGTGCTCCAATTTGCGACAGCGGAAATGCTTACCATTTTGAAAATGGAAAAACATCAATTAGCAATAGCAGTTTTAGTTTTAGGATTTTAATTGGATTGAGCGTATTGTAGTCCGCTCAACAACGAAAAGGTAAAACTTTTGTCAAATACGGAAACGGAAAAGTTTTGTATGTATTGGAGCACGACTTATTATGCAATCAAGGTCAAGGATTGGATGTGAAGTTGTGGTAGAAGTCAAGCGAAATTTACTCTTATACGATTTTGGATATGTTTGTTAGAGCATTAAGTCTTTAGCAGTGGCAAAGAAATAATTCTCCATTCTTGTGTTTGGTTTTCACTTGACATTTTTCAGTCACGAGCCTGACTTCATGCTTGGGCTTTGGGTGTGTATGTGTGCCCGTGTGTGTTTTCGTCTGTGTGTGTGTGTGTGTGGTGCGTGTGTATGTGGTTTGCATGCTGCCAACACTTAAGCTGTCGTTGTGGATATGTTTGTTGACCTCCCCCCGTCCTCATCCTTCCGCCGCCTCATCTACTATCCACCCCAGGAAAGAACGTGACTCCTGTGTCAGTTGGTTTTCAGCCAAGCGCTTAATAGACTGCGGTGGCAATGGGTGGGGACGGGGCCGGGGTTGGAATGGGGTGTGGAGTGTGGGGCAGAGTGTTTGTATTTTTAAAGTGTTGCGTTCAAAGTGGAGCATTTGGTAGCGAAAAGCTCTTTAACGTCGACTTGCTGACCGAGTTTGAAGATCCTGGTAAACGCTGGCGCGTGGCCAGCATAAACAAAACGTGACTCGAGAAATTCAATTATATCGTGTATAATATTATTTGTTTGAACTTGGTGGTAAATCAAATCATAAAGTTTCTATTGAGAACAACATCACAAATGCCTCATCAGCAGTCTCTTGCAGTAGATGCGAGCTATTTATGCAAGTTTGCTATTTAACTGTTTGGAAAATGAAAGCGATTTCTGATGGAAAAGTATTGAAATAATCCTAGAGCAGTCGCAAATTGACAAAAAGGGTATAATAATAATGAAGGTTATCTGAGCAGTGTTTACTAATATCTGTTTCCCATATCCCTCAGAGATTTAGCTTTTTTTTTCGCCAAAATTCTCAAAATTACGAAACTTTTAAAAGTCTTTTCTGTATTCCAAAATCGTAAAGATTCTGTTACACTCAAATCAAATAACCGTGCTGAAATTTAGAAAATCGCTCTAAAATCGAACTTAAAAGTATTAAGGTATATTTGTTATTATCTGAATAATTTTTAAATATATGATAAAATAAAAAGTAGAAATGCAGAGCCCTGAAAAATATATTCCATAATTTAGAATCAGAGAGAAGTTCCTCCAAAAAATGTTTTTTTTTTCAATTTAAATTTATAAACTATTTAAGAATTTTTAAACCGATTTTCCAAATTTCATGGCGATTTTTTTCTGAATGTAAGAGGATAGATAGAAGAATGTAGGATATGGAAAAAACTGGAACTTATGGTAACTGTTTCACATAGGATATTTGAAGGATTTGTCTAAACTCCACTATTAAGCATACAATAGGTAAGAGTCTCCTGATCTAATCTTATCTAAACTGAGCGTCTATCCGCAAAAATATATTTATGTGTGTTTTTCAATAGTGTTAAGAATTTAGTTTGTTTTGTAAAAAGGATATTAGTTGGCCAATTCATCGACGAGCTGCACCACGGGCATAAATACGATATGCGTGAGCAGAAAATCATCGAGGAATGGATCCATGCCGCTGACCGTCTGTCCCAGGCGCGTCTCAAGCAAATGTTCGAGCATTTTGTTCGGTGTGCCCGACATCACGGTATATCTGTTTTAATGGTATATAATAATATGTAATAGTGAATGGTAATTCAGTCACGTTCAACTAAGTGATAAAAGTGCCATCAAATTGGTGCGCTTGCCGCGTTTCGCGATTTCAATTAAAATTTGTTGGGTGCACATTAAAAATTGATGAATGGCGTCTGGTTGGCTTGGGTATGGGTCCATTTGCTATATACAATTGCCACTCACTTGAATGCTGAATGCTGTCCTCGTTGTTTTGCAACACGCTCGAGCACTAAAACATCTTTGCCGTGCTCCTGCAATCTCAGTGTATTGGCCTCGACATCACGCAGGATGCGATTGAAGTGCTCCTTGTCCACTCGCAGCAGATGGCAATTGTTCTCCTTCAAAACGATTGTAGCAGCTCTGAAAGCAGATTTTTTGTTTGTGTATATTTACTTTATTTGCCAATTTGAAGAAGTTTTAGGTGTGCTTTAATCGAATATTAAACGGAAAGCTCGAAGAACTTGTGTCAAACTTTTAATTACATGCTCGCAAACTGTTTAAAAATTAAAATTCCCTTCCATGTCCTACATAATTTGAAAATTTGCATCAATGCAATTAGCGCATTTCCCATGAAAAACACATTTTCAGCTGTTAAAAAAGGAAATCGATGCATGTTGGATAAAAGCCAAGCATATTAATTAATATTCTTTATAAATTTCGTCATTGAAAATCGACTTTAGGGTTGCATTTCATATTCAACACTGCTGTTGGCTATTCATTTTAATTCTTTGTGTAAATGTAAATAAAGAATTTTAAATAACATTGAATTCAGTGTATGAAGTTAAGCTTGCTATTAGCGTAAAAGGATTATGTAATTGATTTATTCATGATAGACAAAAGGCCGGACATAAGTTTTAAAAGTCTTTTTTTTTTATATTAAATGAGCTAATAACTTTAGTTTAGAGTTCGCATTGAGTTAAAAAACTTCAGTTTAAGTAAAATATTTAATTTAGAAGTTGTGTAAATTCTGAATTTAAAATTGAATGCTGGTAAATCTTTTATCTCTCAGGTCAATTTTGTAGACACATTAACGAAATTAATAATATATGTTTGTGAATTTTGTATATTTATTTTAAAACAGCACAATTGAGCTCAAACGAATAACTTTAAAAACTTTCAAAGGATTTGAAAATTTCAATTTTAAGCCAATTTATATGACTTTGTTAAAAGCTGTTTGCTTGTTTCTGTTGAGCAATGGCAATTGACTGATGAGTGGCTATTTTTCCCAGAAAATGTTTGACTAATGTCTAGCATATTTTCTCTTTTGCAAATATTTTGTTTCAATCGTCAATTGTTGACTATAAATGCCACACAATGGCTGCTGTTATCAAATATTCTTGTGGCTGTTGCTCTTGTTATCTTTGAGCAGCAACAGCCAAGTATCTAATGCTATTACCCGGCCGCAATTGTTGAATCTTTGGCCCCATTGTATGCTTGGCCAAGTGCAAGAGTGTTGCTTGTGGCCCCATTGTAAATATGTATACTATATGTTTTTATTTTGTATTGTAACTTGGGCAGAAATAAAGTTAAGAGTAGCTGCCCAACTCACTGAGTGAAAGATGAAAACGACTTACAGCGAATTGTTGATGGTCTGGCTTTGCCTTTGCTAGCTGTCTAAAAACTTTTATCTTGAAAAAACTTTTAAGTAAGCGGACTGACAGTTTAAAATGTTGTGCACTTTGTAAAAAGGGGAAAACAAATTTAAATGGATTCGCACGAATGGCAGAGGGCAAAGAGTTTACAGTTTCGTCTGCTTACCTGGGTGCGTCGTTAATCAAAGCCAATTTGCCAAAATCATCGCCAGTCTTCAGTGTGGCAACGGTGCCTTTGCCATGTATCACAACATCGACAGACCCTTTGAGTAAAATGTACCAGGAGCGGCCCTCGTCGCCTTGATTGAATACTGTGGTTCGCGTTGTTGACATTAATTTAATGGGGCGCATAAAAGGTATAAATAGAAAAAACGGATTAAAACCCTGAGAGCTTTTTCTCATAATTTTGTACAATAATTAGCTGCACTTGAATTGTTTAATTAGCCCTTGCAGACGGTATTTTATGTATATATATATATTCTATGTTGATAACAGCTGCTGTTTCTATATAGTCAACATCACAAAAAGGATAAACAGTAAAAACTGATTAAAATGCGGAGAGCGTTTTTCTAGAATATTTTTTTTAATCAGTTCCGCTTGAATTGTCTCAATCAACCCATGCAGAGAGTATTTTAAGCATATATATATATATATATATATATATATTCTCAGTCGGTTACAGCAGTTGCATCGATATAGTGAGTATTATAAAAAGGATAAGCGAAATAAAATTTTACATTGCAACATCCAGTTGCCTGCAATCAATTAAGATTAAAGTTATTTTATTTGAAACAAAACAAAAACAACATTTTTAAAAAGAAAAGAAAACGGAAACTATTTAAGAAGTTAGCTAAAATTAATCCTATTATTATTCGGGAAGTTTCTGCATCTTATTTTAACTAATCCGTTTAAGTTAAAAATACAACATCATAATTTTGTCGAATATCTATTTAATGTGCAGTTTTTCAATTTCAATTCCTCAGTTAACGAATTCAACTAATTTAAAAATGCATACTCCATATACTTACATATAGTGCCTGCCTGGGCATGGGCCTCGAATACAATTATCGAGGATAGCTCACGTTTGATGCTCGTCGATAGATGGGAGAGGGCTGCTATGTGCACAAGTTCCTCGAATACCAGCTCCAATTCCTCGGGTGTGCGCTCATGTGAACTGTTTGTGTGGTATGTGGGCAAATGTAGAGATTTGATTATAAGCAAATATCAGCAATTGTGGTCTCTCTCCCTGCAGTTCGACAATGTTACTAATTGGCAGGCCAAAGGCAGGCAAATATCAATCATACGCACTTGATGTGCGTGTTTGCTGTGCATGACAACGTTTGTTGTGTGTTTTGTGGTTACAAAGGAAAATAACCATTTTGGCTTAAAGCATTATTGATGTTGCATACTTTTGGTATTTGCCATCATGAGACCAATTCATCGTTTACAGAATATGCTGCAGTATAAGCAATAAAGGACTTACGGCTTGCGCAATATCATGCGCAATGTGGCATCTGGACCACGTTGAAAGAGTGCACTTAATGCCTCACGTATATGCTCATTAGCTGCACTAAGATCCTCAGCAGCTGGTAAGCCCGCGGCGGGTGCTCCGCCCTCCTCGTCCAAGCGAAATCGATACAGAAAGCATTTATCCTTGAACGGCTGCTCCTTGTTAACTGCAACAAATGTGACACAATGTGTTAAAATGCTTGAGCGCGTTAATTGCTGCATTAATTGCAACAGCCAATGGGCATGTTCGTAAAATCGCAAAAGCCCCTTCGTACTTCACACTCACCATGTGTCAGAACGCCTTCCTCGAGCAACGCCTGCCACATGCCAGCCGCCTGGGCCCGAGTGTGCACAATGGGGGCTAAGTTAACCAGCCAATCGACCAGTTCCGTGCCGGGCGCACACTTGCGTATTAACTTGCCCGAAACCTGAGCACCAAGAAATGCCGTAAATGACGTTACAATTGATTACATACATCATATATGTGTTGGCTTTTCGCAAAGTTAGTTGCCAGCCATTACGCCATCACTCACCTTACGATCCTTCAAACAGCTTGAGTTATCGACCACCAATAATGTTCGCAGCGCCCAGCCCATGCGGTTCATAGCAGGACTCGGCGTCTGGCATTTGGAAAACAAAATTGCAAGGATTATATAAGGATTATAAGAAAACTTTAAGACAACTTTAGTAACATAAACTGCACATAGAAAAGAAATGAAAACTAAAAAGTTTCTCTTTTGGTTTCAACAAGTTATTTCAAAATATACAGAAGAAAATGTTCTGAAAATTAAAAAGTATTTTTCCCTTTTCACAAATATTTTCTGTTACTAAGTAATTTATTTTAATAAGGATATAAAAAGTAGATATTCAAAATACATTTGTTATTTTCAAATCAGTATCAGCTTTGGAAATGAAACTAAATGATTTAATTATTAAAGGTAATTCCCGGGATCGATATTCTTAGTCGGGCATTGAATAAGATGGGAATACATAAGGAATGCATAACAAGACAATGTTTACTTAACAAGGAATGCTTATACAAGATACTGGTTTGAAGATATATGTTTGTTCAGTAATAAGATGAACAAGATTTTGTTTTATAATACGTGTTATATAAAAAAATTATTAGCTAATTACTAATCCGAATTTTGAATCAATTTAATATACTTTTATGACAAATATAAAATTGGAACTTAATTAAAGTTTCAATTTAATATTATTATATAAAATAAATGCATTTTAAATAAGACTTTTAGTTTGCTTTGCCAGAACTAGTAAATTAAAATAATTTTCTTTTTCTTCTCTGTATAAACTATTCTACAAAAAGGATGTGTGCAACATTGATAAATGACTCAATCAGTCACCCGGTCGGCCTTTGCCAGAAGCAAATTAACTTCATTTTCAAGAAGTACAAGTTACATTGTCTCAATGTCAACTATGGTTCTGGCACTGTATTTATTAATAATTGCTATATCCGAGTGTGTGTGTGTTGTGCGTCTGTGATTTATTGTAGTTACACATGCACACACACAAACCCACACACACAGATATACATTGTAAGGACTAATTGCTTACCTCTGTAATGGGCAGAGCTGGATTCGGGTGATCCGGACTCAGTGGGCGTTTTGTGGGCGATGTGGCAGCTGCAGGCTGTACGCCGGGACCAAATCCTGATAATATAATAATGAAAATACGCATTTATAAATTAGGGCCTACGGAAATGTATTTTCATTGTATATTATAGAATTTGAATGTTTCTGTTTCTTATTTAAAATGCACAATTAAAAGTGTTGTTCACTTGTCACATACCATTCTTTAATTTGCAGTTTGTAATAATGTCATTCATCAACTCCTTGTTTTTCTGCAATAACAAATAGATAATGGGTTAGCTATTGTTGTTTTGTTTTGTTCTGCTTATAAACAGTTATAGATAAATATAGTATATTTTATGGTTGTTGTTGCTGCTATGGCTCATTGCAACAGCCAATGCTGATGACGCGTACATTGCTCATTTCAAATGCCGTTGATTGTGGACGTTGCACGCGACGCCGCAGCTTGACAGCAGCGGAAGTGGCTCCAGCTCCCATTGTTGTTGTTATTGCTGTTGGTGTTGTTGTTGCTGTTGGCTCAAACAGTTGCTTGTCTTTATCACTATAGCGCAGCAGCACGCACAGCACCGCCTCATCGCTGGCCACAACTTGGCCAGAACGACGCCTGAATTGACGATGTTCGCGCTCACGCTGTCGCAAAAGATGGCCAGCTAACATTTGCACACACACACACACAACACAACATGCAACACACACGCACACACACACACACTTTCACTTTCACTTTAGTCGTTTTGGATTTCCTTTGCACATTCTTTTCTATGTTTTTTTGTTCGTTATTTTTTGTTAGCTAAGCGCCACAAGCTGATATACAGGTAATTTCTGTCAAACGTCGTCGAGCGCACTGATAACTTGATTCTCGCTTTGCCACTGCATGTTTCATTGCTATTGTTTTGCCTTATCAGACACTTGCTAGGGTTGTCAAAGTGCCCGACAAACGATTCGCTATTAATACACTCAGAAAGAAAAACCGCCTGAAAATCGATATACTTTTTGTGCCACCACAAAATTCCCACAACAGCTTTTTTTCTTAAATACTTATTTTTTTCTTATATTAAAGATTTAAATCTGACTTGGAATCAAACCATCAAACCAAACCAAATACTAAACAGATAAAGGAAAGCGTCGAGAAGTTAATCTAACAAAGTTATAACAGATATTATCTTTTCACATATAATCAAATCAATCAGTTAATATTGTAAATTATAATTTTAAGTAGCCTTAAATTTCAAAATTAAGTAAATAGTTAGGCTTTGAACAAATTTTTCATAATTCAACACTCCTGAACTCCCAACTAAGTAATACTATAAGCATTTGAATTAAGAATTATACTCTTAAATGCAATATAAATTTAATTTAATTAAACATTAGCATTCTTTAATTTCAAAAACGTTTTAGAGAGCTTGTAAGCGCAGATTAATTTAATTTGAATGAACTTACTTGGCTTAGGTTCTGATATACCAAATTGCATGTTTCTGAATTTTAGAAAGAAGTTCTCTTAATGGTTCTGGACGTATCCTTCGTAAGAAATATATTTTTTACTAAGAGAAAATATTTCTAAGAAATTATTCAATTCTTTTTAAATTGAAAACATTTCTTTTTGAATAGTTACACATTATATCCGAAACAGAAAAAACAACGTTCTATATTTCAGAGTGATTTTCATTTTAACGCGATTTTTTGCTGAGTGTAACAGCCCATTTGCTCATTGTGGTGACATTTTCATAAACAATCAGGGTTAAGCACATGGGCAAGGCCAAGGGCAAGGGTAAGTGGCCCGCATGCCAAGGAATTTATGTATTTTTTTTCCCATTGAAGCTTGGCAACACTGGGCACTGCCACAACTGATAAGCAGCAAAAACAGCATTTGTGTTGGCTTTGGCGCTGGCGTTGGCGTCTACGCTAATTAAAAGCATTTCACTTATCAAAACGCACAGCGGGACCAATGAGCGAATGCGACAATAGTCGTTAGATATGATGAATCCAATAATTATGTTGAAGTGGGAATGAGCGAGGTAGACCGTTGGGTTCCTTTCCAATTACCTTGAAACACAATAGAATACTTGGCTATAAATATAATACCCGTTGAGTGCTGGCTCTGTGACGCCTGCTCGGAAAGTAATTAGGACTATACTTTTGGCCATATTGCCTCGAAGAGGGCAAGCAGCTTAATTGAAGGCCAATTTACTCTAAGCCTGTTGCTTATGAGCTATTAAGAAAATGCGATTTAATTATTGAAGTGAAGCCAATTTCATATATTTTTTCAATTTCAAACACAAACTAAAGCTACAAGCAAAATTAATTAAAAAACGGAAATTAATCCATTAATAATAGAATTTAATCGATTTCAATAAGAGTTGTAAATGCATTTCCCATGTCTTTTGGCTTAAGCGCAGCCTTTTGCAGCTCATCGCAATTGCGCTAGTTGCAAATTTGAAAAGGCAGCCAAATACCATGCAATTTGCGTGTCAAACGCAATTATTTCAATTTCACTTACAGGGTCTGGCAGTGGAAACAGGAATCGGAAGCTTGTGACACAGCATGTGGTAAATTCCGTATGAAATACGAAATTTAAAATTCTTGTTCATTTGTAATTCAATTGCAAGCCAAAAGCGAGACTCGCTGATTTCCAAACGTATGTTTTTATATGCATTTAGTTTGGGACATTTTAAGAGCATCAATAAATTTCATAATTCTCAACAGTCCGCCTGAATCGCCTGCAGCTTTGTAAAGCAATCGTACTCTGGCAAACAGGTGGTATACGTAACACACAGTCCATAAATAATAGAAATGCGCAACGGCACTCGGGGCCAGCTGAACAACATGCACCATTGCATGTTGCATTGAACAAGCGCTTTATAGATTTATTTATTTATTTGTGTGCAAGCACATGCTCCAGTTGGGTGCATGTGCAACTGCAACTTAGAACAAAAAGCACATAGCGAGTGGCATAACAATCTGAATAATACATATGTGTATATAATTATGTATGCATCGGATACTTGTATTTACTTGCAACAGTTACGTGTCTAGATGCAGATGACGATGTAATGTGTAATTGAAGTGTTTGCGCTATCAGCTTTTTGATAGCTTTATTTTCCAATTAACAACACTAAGTTATTTCCACGTTATAAACTTTATTGGCTGTATTTAGACTAGAAGCCTAATGCTTAGTCTTTTCTTAAAGGTTTGAAGCCACTTGCTAAGCCTTGAGACTAGAAGCCAAATGCTTAGTCTTTTCAGCAACAAGAGATTAACTAAACCCGATCGATCAGCCGAAAATGAAGGTTTGAAGCCACCGCTAAAACTTCTCACAACGATAATAACTATAAAACGATCGATAATCTGGAGTTATGCAACTAACTAGCTGCAGCCGCCGGCCGATCAGCAAACTCACTTTATCTCGAGAGAAAGCGAGTGCTGCACAAAGAGAGCAAAGAAAGAACGTCGGCTGCTGCAGCTCAATATGTAATTAAGACTAACAATAAGCTATTTATATTAAGCCACGCAAGGCTCCAAATTCAAACTCATAATCAATTAAATGTCTTTGCTGCTGCTGCCAACAAGAAGTATAAACATATTTTGAATTATTTTACTTAACATCACCTAAAATGAGCACGTCACACAAATGCCTCAATGATTTACAGTATTATTGGAAATAAAACACAACAAACACAAACAAGAAACGAGTTCTTTCTTCCACTAAATTATGATACAAAATTTCTGATACCATAATATCCAAACATTTTTAAAGACTTCAATTGAGCTGTTCCTTGAATGTGCTAAGCTGGTGAGCTCTTAAATAATTTAAGAATAAGGGGACAAAACACACTCAGCAAAAAGGTTTTCTTTGTTACACGAAAAAAATTCATCAAATTAGAAATACACTTCTACTATTTTTCTGAAATATTTTCTAGTATTATTATTTTATTATAATTTTTCTAATTCATTGTTCACACATTTCAAAAACGAATGATTGAATTTGAATCACCGTAAAATATAAGTATATTTTAAAATAATTTTATTTGAATTTATAACGTTTTGAACATGTTGCAAGTTTTTTCAAATTGAATTTTGTGCATTTAGATAATATTTATAACGTTTGGAATAATAATATAATTATTAAAAAAGCTAGTTTCTAAGTTTTGTTTGCACATAAAAATTTCGAAATGTACTTCTTAAATTTAAAATCTATTCTTGAATTAAAGAAAAAAATGTGCCATTTTTGAGGAATACAATTTCGTAATTATAGGATGCTAATATGCATCAAGAGTATTGCGTATTTCTACAATTCAGCGCGATTTTGTCTGAGTGTATGATTGAAATTACATTCATATATAAATTTTATCATCCTGAGATTAGCTTCTTCTACTGTCAAATCAAACAATTTCCAGACACTTGCACAGGCTCAGCACACAAAACAACTCGCAGTTGGATGTGAAAAATTGCAGTAACAAGTCTTCGCGTAATATACTTTCAATTTAAACTGATTATATCGCATTTACCAGACGATGTGGCAGTCACAAATGCAACATTTTAAGGCACAATCTTTTACAGTCTGTGTGTGTGTATGTGTGTGGCACAAAGTTTCAGTTTTGCACATTGCGTATACGTAATATATGTTTGCGCTGCGTGCTGCAGCTACTTTGTTATCCACCCCCATGCAGCAGCCATGAAGCAGCTGCAGAGGCAAGTGGCAACTATGTGCCCTCTCTGTGGGTTAGGAAATGTGGCCACAATTTGTGGTAACTTTCCTCTTTATTTGCTTTAGTAGCTTTCTTTCTGTTTTTTTTTTTTTTTGTTGTTGTAACCCAAAAGGTAAATATGCATTCATCATCTTGTGTATGTGTGTGTATGTGTGTGTGTGTGTGTGTGTGTGTGTGATTCTTATACCTTTTGTGCGTGCTCGCATTCAATGTGCGAGCATTGCTTCCCCCAAGGGCGAAGTTCATTACGGTGTGTGTGTGTGTGTGTGTGAGGCACGCCCTAAAAACGGAATCTTTTGTAAAGTCTCTACAATGTATTTGGTATCTATCAAACTTTTGATATTTTTTGACATTGGAATTGAAAACCTTATTACCGAATTCTGTGGCTTTCATTTTGGGTTTGAGCCTAATGCAAATACAATGGTTCTGATTGTACAAGACTAAATTGGGGCGAGGTGTCGTAAAGCTAGTTGCAAGAAAGTTAATTTCAATATTCAATAAGTCCTTTCGAATTCAATTAGCTTTGTTCTCCTTAAATGCGAATACATAATTGCAATCCAAATTAATTTGTTGCGTCTTTTCAGTGAGTTGCGCATTATTATTTATTTACATTAATGACTAATGCCATCGATCATCCCCCAAATCAACTAATCATAAGACTTTAATTCAATTTGGTAATTGACCAAAATACAGAAAAGCAATAATAAATAACGACAATAATCCAACGACAGTTTGACAAACGCTGCTAGGCTCAAAATGCTTGGCATATGTTTATGTCCTGAGGGTTGATTTGGTTGGGTTACGTTGCCTAGTCTGGTCGCATCATTAATTGTTAATTGCAATTTTAATTAAATACTTTGACAATGAAAATACCGCAAATGCTGAGCCATGTCAGGAAGACAAGACAAGAAGCCTTCCAGAGCTTCTAATATTCAGCACACAGCTGCTCATTAGCCACGCTCGACTCTCCTTGTGGGTGTGTGTCTGTGTGTGTGAGTTTGTGTGTGTTGCTGTGTGGGTGCTGATTTTAATGAGGGCTTGACAAATGCTTAAGATAAGTATCAAAAGCGACGCCTCTGCCATTTTCTAAATACAATGACACTAGCTAAATGAACTCCAAGTCAAACAAATTAAAGCTTTCAGAGTAACAAAGGAAAAGTATGGAAGCCTATTACAGCATTCACGGAATTCTTTTATGCTTGTGTTATTTTGTGTAATATACTCATATCAATAAAATATCTTGTGACAAGTGCATGCACTCAGAACAAATATCGCACTGATATTTAGTAAATTACCATTTTTTTTGGCACTAATGGCAGTTCAGCTAATTATTCAGGTTGTGTCTATCTAAAAACTAGCCAAGATAAAAATTTTAAGTTTTACCTGTTATAAATTTATCTCTTAATAATATAAAATATTTTTAAATATAAAACAAAATCCTTTCTAATTTAAAGAATTTTTTATTATATCGAAAACCAGCCTTATTCTAGTTGTCCGGGTAATTATCATTTTAGGGCGATTTTCTTAATTTTTCTGAGTCTGACAGGCAACCAGTCTACACAGTCCAAAACGTAAAAGCTACGAAACCGAAATTCAAACTTTCAAAAAGAAAATAAATTAACTTACATCAAATGAAAGCATTCAACATTTTAATACCAAACAAGTAGTTCATTACAATGAAGCAACAGACTTCTTTATTCTCATCATTATTTATTATTTTAAAACATAGCCGTGAAGTCTAAAAAATCGATATACTTTTGGCACCAAGTCTAGCTCACATTATTATTTAGAAAGTATATTTCTAAAACAAAATATTTTGTCTTTCTAAATTCAGAGAAGATTTTTCTAAAATTTGGAAAAATATGCCTAACTTTCTGGATTCTTATTTTATTTGTATTACTCAGAAACATTATTATACATTCAAATTTTACGATTTCACATATGGATCGATAGATTCACATAATTAAAATAGAAATAGTAATAAAATAGAAATTATTGCTGAAAAAATAGATAGCTTTTATAATTTTAAGAAATTTCGTATATTTGTTTAGAGTAGTTTTTCTAAAAGCAACAAAATGTTGCTATTTATCAAGGTGATTTTAATTTTAAAGCGATTTTCTTTTTATCTGAGTGTAGTACTTGAATTTTCCTGAAACACATCGAATTTCATTGAAGTGTAATTTTAAGCCCGTGTCATTGCACGAAACACTCGATGCAGTGAAATATTAATATATGTGTATACACAGGTGCTTATGTCTGTATGTATGTATTTGTGCACATTCCGTCCGCTTACCTCCCAGATGAGTCGAAAATCTTGCTGTTCGACGCGCAACAGCTCGCAGGTTGTCTTCGTCACGACGGTGCTGTCCCGCGGCAGGTCGTGTAGTATTGATTCACCAAATGTGGCGCCCACGCCAAGATTACACAAAGTGACGGAGCTCTGCAAAGAAGATGAAGTGGAAAAAAGTAGGTGGTGAGCCAAGTAATGAGAAATCTGTATGAGGTGGCGGGTGGTCTACAGGCTACAAGTTAAAAGCTGATGAGTTTAAGTTCCAGCTGTAGATAAAACATTATTGCGGCAGGTGTTGGCTCAGACACAACCCGACACAGATGGAAGCTGACTTTGCCCGGTTGTGTTTACATTTCAGAGAGCGTCCTTTGTCTGTATGGGCTAATTGCTCAATGTGCCACAATTTGTTTGAATGCCTTGTGCCAGATAGTTAGCAAACATTTGCTCACAAGCTGTAATCGCTTCATTGCACATAAGGTTTTGCCAATATTTTCACAACGGAAGCTGTCAACTTCTAAAACCGGAAATGATGTGACAGCCCACATAGCTAAAAGCCCAATTTCATTCCGAGCTTTCCGTTTTCCCCCATCCAACGAATAGTCTTTAGTAACCGTAACCGCATCATTGCAATGACATTTCACTTTTGAAAGCATCACAATTTCTGCATAGTTGTGTTTTATTCCCTCTGCTTGAGAGCTAGTGCTGGGGATTTTGCGGCTTATAAGAAATGTTCAACTTGTAGTAAATGGATATTTGGCAGAAGAACATTCATGTTTTAGGCATGGAATATTGATATCCAAGGAGATATTTGCCTCCAAACAACAAGTGATTTAATTTCTGAACAATTAAACATGTATATTTTCGTCATAGAATAAATAAGTAATTAAGTAAATATGTTCATAAAATGCATGAATCTCTGCATCTTGTGAAAGTCGCACTTATATTTATATATACATATATATATACATCATACAAGTCGCCTTGATATTTGAGTATATAGACAAATATAGATAGATATATACAAGACTTATTATATCCTTTACTTAATGCGTTCATTTTGCCATTTTAATTTAAATAATTTGAGCACTTCGCACTATTTGAAATCTTTCCACTTGTTCAATTTGAATAAATAGAATAAATGAAACAAAATAAATATTTTTTATTTAACATGTCTTTTTAATAAATAAACTTCACACATTTTGAAATCTCTAAATTTGTTCAGTTATATGTGTGTAGAACTGGCAGATATTCTAAGTGGTATCACAGAGTTGAGCATTGCTCATTAGTAATTTTTTCTTCTGTTTGTCTCTAAGTTTGCATCTGCGGTTTGTGCGCTGCTTGTTGCTGTTTTGTGTTTCCCAGAAGTTGTCTTCTGGGCATCACTCGAGGGCCCAGCCTCATTTCAGTTGGCTTAAGTCTGGCTTTGGGCTGTGGCTCTGAGGCAGTGCATGTAATTGGCTTAACAAGACTTACACACGACCGCAAAATTGTTAAACTCGCATTAGTCGACGGCTTGAATGTGTGCGTGTGTGTGAATCTTAATGTGTTGTGCTGGAGTTTTCTTTACAGTTATTACACATACAGTGGGTTTTGGAGGTAAGTGCCACAGCAGCATCAAAGATTTAAGATGCGCTATAAAACATAATTTAATTATTTCAGTGCTGTGTAATTACAATTGTTGTTTATTTTGTTGCTGTTGGTCAATTGTTGACTTGACTTGAGTTTCTCGCGTCCCATTTGAAATTTTCATTAACTTGATTTGATTTATGGCGACTTTTGTTTTTGACAAGCCAAAAGTATTTCCCGCTCTTTAGCTGTTTGACCTCCTTTGGGGAAGTGAAATGCTATAAATTTTGATGGCTTTCTAATTGTTGTTGCCGCAGTTGGCCGCGAACAAATTTTTTTGCCAAATATTTAGATAAAATCTCTGGGGCGCTTTTAGAGTCGACCCACATGTTGCGAACCGCTACGTAAACATTATAAAATTTGAGTATTACTGGGAAAGCAATTAAATTACATTTTAACGATAAAAACGAAATCGAAATAAAAGCGTTCAAAGAAGTATATGTTTAACTGCAAAATCGGATAAATCGGATTTTATTGAAATATATTAAATAATCGGTAACACTTAGTTAGCTCTGTGTTTATTATTCTATGCGTTTTTTTTATGTTTATATTTGTTGCTTTCTGTTTTAGCTAAATGTTTGCATTTTTTCCGTCTTCGATTTTTCCACGTTTCTTTTTGCTTGTGGTTTTTTTATGCTTTCGTTTTTGTTGAATTTTCATTTGTATATTGTGGCTATGAGAGCAAAGATAACAGAATCAAGATTGTAATGGTTCTGTATATACGAATATGATGTCAATTATTTATATTAAGAATTTAATTAAATGGAAATAATATTGTGTATTTCTGTCGTGCCTACAGGGTATCTCGTACTCGACAATTGTGCTTTTTCTTGTTTCAATAGATTTTCTACCATTTGTTTCGCATTGTGGACAAATCCCATTGATAGTTGGATTGGATTGCATTGGAAGGCTCATTGGACTGAACTGCTTATTTTTCAGTCGCTCTTTGGTAATCTTTATTATTGTCCAGATTATACGAGGCTGTTGTCGGAATCTGATGCGAAAGAAATGCACAACAATTGTTTCAGGTCTTTTATATTTAACAATTATCCACTGTCAATTTACAAGTTTTGACACTGGCTTAAGAACAAAGCATGGGACTCTTCACTGCGAGACACGATCAATAAATAGAACAAAATATTGAATATCTTTGTTGTATATCTGCAAAGTTGCAATAATAAATCAAAAGGGAAATCATTGTGTAAAGAAATATATGTTTATCTGCCTATCAGAAGCAAGATGGGATTTTGTTTTTTAATTATATTGAATAATTATTAATTCTTCTAATGAGCTTTATAATAATTATTCAATAACTTTTCATTTTATTTATGTTGCTTTTTTATTTCAGCGTCTGTCTTGCGCAAAGGCAGCGAGAAATAATTAACTGTTGAATAAATTAAAATTTTCTTATATCTTTGAACATTAATAAATATGCAAAAATAAATAAATGATGATGATAGATTAAAATTTTCCCATACCCTTGAAAATTAATAAATATGCAAAATGAAGTGTAGCTGCTAATAAATGCTTCGATCATGTTGTAATGATCGTGCTTATACATTGAATGATGATTTGATTTGATGATAAATTGATAGTTCTTCCATTCCACATGTCTGTCTCTGAATGCTGTTAAGAAATTCTGAAATTGACTTCCGGTTCGATTTCCGCAATGAGTAGTCAAAGGCTTCAATAATGTCAAAGAATGAAATCCTTTACAAATAGGTAAAACTGAATGACAATCCACATACAAATCCACTGGAGAGCTGAGCACTTTCCACAATCAGGGGTGGACATATCAAAGAAAGATACTTATTTGTATCTGAATAAGCACAAGATAGCACAAGACAAACATTCGCCCACACATGTACACGTATGTATATATATATATATTTATATCTGCATCTGGCATAAATGTGAGCACGTACTTTTTATTTATTTTTTATATTTGCAAATGCAATGCAATGTTTTACCTTTGCATAATGTCGCGTTGATTGCTCCACATTATACGTACAACTGCGGCGAAATAACATTTTTTTATTATCTCTTTCTCTCTCGCCTTTATAGTGTTTCTTTCTTTTATTTTAGTTACGCGACATATTTTGCATATTTTATGTAAACTTTTGAATTCCATCAACCAACAGCACATGCATGCAAATGTTATTGTTGTCCTCTGCGAGTGTGTGTATATTTTTGAATGAAATTCGCGAAACGTGTGACCAACTGGTTTTGGGGGTAAAATAATAAAACGCAGCAACTACGTAATGAGTATTTCGGACTCGAGTTTGTGGTTGTTTTGCATTTGTTTTTTTTTTTTTTGTTTGTTCAAGTGATAATACAAGCAAATGTTTTGTGGCTTATAACGATAACGCCGGCTTAGCTATAGGCATAATAACATTTGCGTGCAACTCATTTTGGTCATGTAACCGATTTTCTTGGTTTTGTAATATATATAACTATTATTATTGATATTATGAATTCTTGTTGGTTTGTTTTTCAACGCGTACCACTTTTAATTTATAGCCAACTGGGCACGAAGTCTGAAACGCGCTACGAGATGTGCTTGGCAAGTTGTGCAACCGCGCGGCGTCGCGTCGTAAACTGAACTGAAGTTTGAAATTGCCGCCGTCGCACGGCAGAGTTTAAATTAGTAACGACGGCGACATAACACTCAGGTGTGTGCGTGTGTGTGTGTGTGTGTGTGTGTTTTTTTTTGTCTGTCTTTGTGTGCTGTTGCTCTTTGTGCAACGCGGATGGAAGTTGCTGAAGTGTGGCAGCAACACTGCCAGCAACAACTTGCTGTGGCGTGTCGCAAATTAGAGCAGCAACAACAACAGCAACAGCAGCAGCCTCGATCAGCCATGCAAAATACGCATATCTCATATCTCGAGTGGTCAGCGATGACATATAAACATATATATATAAACATTTTTGCAAACAAAGATGTCAACAAACATTTCAGCTCTGTTTGGTTTTGCTGTCATGTTGCAGTTAATGTTTTTGTTGTTTTTTTTTTTGTTGCGTGTGCAGCTTTCACTGCTCTGGCAGGGAGCAACTGCAACTATCCATTCCACCGACCTTCTAAGCTGAGGGAACAAATGCTGCTGCGCTTCAAGAACTTTACATGCCCACATTGGCAAACACTTCCGTCTCTGGCTGCAGTTGTTGCAACAATTGCAATTGTAATTGCAACTGCTGCTGTGCTGTGGCTGTGGCAATGCACTCCCCACTAACATTACTGCTCTTGGTGGCTGTTGTGGTCTGAAAGGGTGTGGGAGCGGCTTAGCTTTGGGTTAAAGCATTAGCCATTGTCATGATTGTTCTTGCTAATGGAAAATTGAATATGAGATGTGCTTACACAATGAAAAATTAATTAAAACAAATTAAGCCAGAGAATTTATAGTACTTTGTACTACTTTGTATAATTACAAAATATGTGTATTACTTCATCAAACAAGATTATCAAATTAAATCATTTTAATTATCAACCCACAATCCATATAGTATGAAATGTGATTACACAATTAAAAATCAATAAATAAATATCAAGTAACAAATTATATATTCTCGAAAATACTAATTACTTGTTACCTCATTAAAAGAAATTATTGTCATAATAAATCATTTTAATTATAGCATTGTAACAACAAAGTATATAAAAAAAAAACAAGTTTATTCCATTCTACTGCACTTAATATAGTATGAGCTGTGTTTGAAGACAAACTGCTATACGCATACACAGTGAATAAAATAAAAGAACAATAAAAATCAAGTAAGAAAATAGAGATTCAAGTATAAATACAAAATGCGTGCGACTAAAGAAATCAAAAAAAAAAAAAAAATCGATTGTCATAATAAATAATTTGAATTATTAACTTTTATCAGAAAATAAATATACAATCCAATGCATAAATAAATACTTAATATAATAAATATAAATTCTGAATAGAGTCAGTGTTTTATTCATTAGTGTAGTTTATTATTATAGATTACTATTATATATATATACATTAATTTAACTCAATTAATAATTCTTATATACATAAATTTTACTATTTTAATATTAATTAATTAAACAATTAGTATATAACTGAAATTAATTAGCTTTGTAATTTAATTTTAAGCTAGGCTCTGGAAATAGAGAAATAATTACAAATGTTCTCTATTTGCGTATTTTAATTATTCATTAAATTCTCAAGATGTTGTTATATTTGTTCAGTGTAGCTTCCAAAGTGTCAGTCAGCTGTCGAGTAATTTGCTGCAACTGAGCAGTAAATTTTATAGCCGAAAAGTCTTCCTTTAATTAAGCAACGCTGGTTGGCATTCAGCTTACTAAAGCTGCATAGCTAGTCAAAGGTGTTGCCAATGTTAAGGTTGAACAACCTGCCCTCTTTACAGCTGTCTGCTTTTGTTTGATTTATTTTTCATTTCGTTTTTCACTCTCTAACTAACTCGTTCCTTATGAGTTGAGCGCAAAACACAAAACACAACTAAAAGCAATGTTTTAGACTAGTAATTAATTTGGTTTCAGCCAGTTTCAGTGAAGGTGGAGCACAACTCGAAGCGTTGCTACGAAACAAGTCAATGACTGCTCACAATGAGTAGGCAGCGAGCTGTGGCTAAAAAGTATTTCATGAACGAGTTGCGTGTATCCGTAAGATACTTGATACCCTTGCGAATTATTTGCATAAGCAGCGCGAAATTGTCTGGAATTGTGTTTTGTTAAGCAAATGCAAGCAACGACCTCAAATATTAACAAAAAACAAAAAAAAAAGAAATGTACTTTTTATACTGTTTTTAGCTTAATAACTGCAGCGCAATTTAATTATATATTAATTTGTATCATTGCTTATTTAAATTTCTTGTTGGGGGCTTATTCGGTTTAATAACGTATATTCATTTGGCAATCAATTATTTATATATTGAATATGTAAAGATTATGTTTTATTTATTAACAGTTTTATTATAGGGTTATTGACTTATATATGCTATACGCCATAAATTCTATTATTAAATTTGTATACTCATTTTTTTATCGTTACAAAAAATCGGTATAAAAATGGAATATGAATGTTTTCAAGTATTGCCATTGTAATTAATTTTTATTTATAATTTGTCGGTAATTGGTTCTTACAAATAATATTTATTTTCGTAAACCTTTCTTTAACATCCACTTAACCCATTTGTTGACAGATGTACACAAATGAAAAAATTTAGCGCAGACCGCAAAATATGAGAAATTATTTTTAATGACATTTGCAGTTAGACTGTTAGAAAATGGCACATTAAATTAAATTTTTCCACGCCTATAGTTCGCGAAAAGTTTTATAAAATATTTAGCTTCTGCACATGCCTCATTTTCCACGTGTTGCATGTTGCGGTGACATTTGGTAATTAAAATGCAAATTAAAAATACTGCAACCGTATATAGATGTTTTTGAAATAGTTTGATTAAGCATACGCACACATAACCCACATCTCAAATCAAATTTCCCATTGAGCTAACTTTAAGAATGGTTGTGAAAATTCTGCTCAAAATCTATGGAAAATATGCAAACAGAGCAATTTTGCAACACAAAAGCAAAAGCATGCATGAAAATACATATACATTCTTTACAATTGGGAAAGTCTGGAATTTAAAGCGACCAAAACTTTGCTTACTGGAATATTTTTGAGTAGAAGACGAGCTTCTATCTTCTATCAAATACTTTTACATCTTTGCATTAAATCATTCGAATGTAAATAACGCAAATAGCTGAAGCGTAAAATGCTGCACAGATAAACGAAAGAGAAGCTCAGTGAAAATAATAAAGAGTTGCACACTAAAATGACTGAAAAGAAAACGAGTGTGCTACAGACTAAGTTAGTAAGAGCAAAAGAGTTGAAAACTATTCCCATTTCGCATTGTTGTACGTGTTTTAGTTCCACGGACATACCCTCCATATGTCCCACAACTTTGAATTTGTAAATTTATTCTAAAAGAAGTATGAGTATACTGAGCAATTGAATTTGCTGCAGAAGGCCCACTAGCCTTGCTATAACCAACGACCAACGATAAAGAAATAATGATTTCTCTTAAGTCTTTCCTTATGCCTATTACGCTAGATTGTTTTAAAATGTTAATACTGTTTTTAAATTTATTTGTAGATAGTACAAGTATCTGATAAGCACCTGTAAATGACTGTACTCTAACGAGTATATCTAGTTTCTTAATCTTTTTTATTAGTGAGGCAGCAAATAGATAAGCAAATACAATTTATTTTCTTATCACACCGATAAAGAAAACAGCAAGTAGACAACTTGTGGAATAATTTGAAAATTTCGTTTTCGTTTGTCAAATATAAATATAGCTAAGTACTATTCATAGTATGTTTTGGAAAGGCGATTATCTTGGTATTTATCATTTTAATTATATACATTTGTGTATGAAATGCATACTAACAACACATACACTGGCAAAACACGTTTGCTAATCTCCCTTATTAAATGTAATTAAATTTGTGTTTTAATGTGACCACAGCGACAACAATTTCGCCGCATGACAACATTGCTCCAAACCCATTAACATACTTTTGAACTAAACTCGTTCTACACGCAAATAAATGCCTCCAACTGTGCCCAACACAAACGATTTGGGATCATGTTTAAGAGGTATATCGGTCTTCTCACACACTGTGAACTTGAACTTCTGAATCAACTGGGCCAGGCCAATTCGTGTTTGCATTTGGCCAAAACGCATGCCCACACAATTTCTTGGACCATCGCCGAAGGGCAACCATTCAACAGAGTCTCGAGCTGCAACTTTCTCTGCTGAAAATCGATCAGGATCGAACTTCTCCGGATTGGGATAAAAGTCTTCATCTCGGTGATAAGCGGCTGCTGGCACTATAACTTGAGTCCCCTTCTCTATAACATATTTGGGATTACCGGGAACAACATAATCGTTAAGAGCCCTGCGCTCTAAGAAAGGCACAATCGTATACAGGCGAAGAGTTTCTGTTGAGACAAGCAGGGAAAGTGAGTGAGGAATTCGCCACACTCCAGATTTATTACTCACCCGATATAACCTGATCCAAATATCTCATAGCCTTTATACTTTCGTAGGTCAGTTTTCCATCGTGTTGCTGCAGAACATTCTTAATATCTTCCCTCAACTTCTGCTGAATATCTGTATGCTGGGCCAGTTCATATAAGCAGTAGCTCATTGTTGAAGAGGAGGTCTCGAAGCCAGCCAAATAGAATACAAAAACTTGAGCTGCCAGTTCACCAACGTCCAATCCTGTAACCACCTCGCCATTGTCCATCGTAAAACTACCTTTCTGCTTCAGTTCAATTAGCATTTCCATAAAATCATTCCGTTTGATATTTTCGTTCTCTCTGTATGCGAGGGTGTCCTTAACTAATCTCATGAAGAACTCGTGAATATCATCAGGAATCATGCGCATTCGCAGCTTTCGTGCCAGATTAGGAAAACTAAAGTGGAAAAACGTTAACACAGGTCCATGGCGCAATTCAACGATTGCTTTGCGGGCCATTGTACGGAAGTCAGATTCAGGAGTGCGAAGAGTATTGCATTCAATTCCAAAAGCGCATGTGCCGATAACGTCAGTTGTAAAACGTGCCATAAGATCCTTGATTTCGATAATAGACCCGCCGGATTTAACTGGTACTTCGTCAAGCATCACCCGTACGAACTCCTCGGACACTTTGATGACTGTTGGGAACATGAACTTCATTTTGCCAGATGTGAAGGTGGGCGATAGTTTTTGGCGCATCTCTTTCCAACGTTTGCCATCCAAATTGAAGAGATGTCCAGTCAGAGGATCATCGCGTTCATTGTGGAACTGTCCGCGATCGGCGAAATTGTTGAAATCTCGAATTAAAACATTCTTGGCCAGTTTGATATCCATTACAAAGGCGCTTCTCTTTTGCAGGAAATGGAAGCCCACAAACGGATGATTTGTCTTTCGAAATTTGTTGTAGTACTCCTCCAAAATATCGTGAACTACACGATTTTTTCTAAATCCGACCATATTTCCATAGAATGGATGAGGTGGATCTTGGGGTATTCCTCGATTTTTCCAATAATTCAAATTGTAGTGCAAAAAATATGCCACTAACGCTGATACAGCGACGAACAAATATATTAAAAACAGCATTTTTCGGTCTGCTCTCAACGACTTTGTGGTCAACACTGAGCACGAACGAGGCAAGCAGCAGGTATTTAATTCTCTCCCGTCTTCTATGAATTGACAAATCGTAATCACGAAATATCACCGTGAATATTTAATTCTCTTCGGTCTTTTATGAATTGCAAAGTCAAATCACAAAAATATCACCATGAATCGCCAAAAAATTGGGTTTAGAGATAGTAGAATCTGGTTTTGGAAAGCTTTATTTATTTTAATAGTTGTTTATTTGTAAATATTCGGAAATTGTTTAATATTTAAGCACAATTTGTTTCCATGAACTTAAAAAAAATTGTAATGTTGTAAAGCTTTATGCTCTTTACATAAAAGTGTGAAATCGAAAACCGGAATGGAGAGTCAAAAGTATATCATGAAATGATTAAAGCTTTCTAGTCGAGAGAGCTTGACTAACAACCCGCTGTTCAATATATGAATTCTTTTTAAAACCGGTTCTAGCTTTATTGCCCAATTTTTTGAATTCAGTATATTATGCAATTGTTATGAATTGTGTTTTATGTTTTGTGATTTCTGTATAGAATTTCGTTCTATCAACGGTATAAGCTTAGAATCGAATTAGAGGATTTATATCGACAATAGTAGCGTTTGCATGATAATGGATAATATTATGAGATTTTAATTTGTACTTAATTCAATTTGATAGATGTGGGAGTCCTTATAAGGTCACGAACTGAGTTCGGTGCTGGATAGTGATAATTAACTGTAGATATGGAAATGATAGAAATATATAATGACAGGCAATACTGAAACTATATAATTTATATACCTTATGAATTTGGACATGCACATTTATTGAATTCTATTATACCCATGTACGCATATTACATTTGTTAAGGGTATAAATTGTTGTTTTCATAAATGCTTTTTATACTTTGATATTCAGAGTATATTCGTTTAGTGCCCGTTATGTTATCTGTCCGTCTATTTGAACTTTTTTCGATACGCTTAGAGATAAAGACTTGAGACTTGAAACATATACTGGTCCGTGCCCGCGTCAGACAAAGTGTTAAACTTGGAGTGATATGTCTATTAGGAGGCCAGGAAATTTATAAAATCGATAATCGCAAATTGGGCATATGTCACATATGGCCCCAAAAATTTGAAATCGCTATATCTCCCGTCAAATTTGGTAGGTATATTACCGGAAGCCGCCCTTAACAATAAATAAATAACATATATCCAAAAAGAATATATAAAGGACTGATTATGTCCTGTTTATTATTAATATTTTAGTTAGAAATATATACAGTGAAATATGAGACTTATTTCCTCGGCGCATCAACAACTTAACAATTTAGGGTCCTCGGAACTTTTACGACACAGCGCTTCACGACTCTTCCTTCTATGACTGATGCTTATGCTGTTATTAGATCTGTTAACCAGTGTGGCCACCTAACAGCACTGTAATCACACTGTAATTACTCGTTACATATATACATTTTTGCAACACACCCACAAACCGCCGCCCTCAGGAAGTTCGGCCCTAGAATTCTGAAATGCGCATATCATCCATAATTTACTAGTAACTCCCCTAAGAGATCGATAAAAAATTTAAAAGAAGGTTACTAGGAAACTCTTCCAAAAAAAACTTTTAGCCACACCCACTCACTCCCAACATTCACAAAAGCCTAGAGGCCAACTTGGAGGCTAGATTACTAATAACCTCCTTCAAATATCGGTATTTCTTTGCTAAATCCACCATGTTATTTAATATTTACAGTACAGACATCTTTAGTTCGATATATGTTTTATTTGTTTACTTCATTTTATCAACAGATACAATAGTAGTTGGTACTTATTACGACACTAAGTGTTCAAAACAGGTTTATTTCTATAGCCAAATAAACAGTACCGTCAATAATCAAACATTTTCGGTGGTCAAGCTCAACAGTTTTATTCATTACGTTTAATTCTGTATAATTATGTGTACATATAAGGCAGAACTAGCTCATTATCATACAAATAATTATACAGAACAAGAGCTAAGGCATAATTGAAAACAACGCATGACTCATAAAACAACAAAGCTAATCACCAATATTTCAGTACTTTAATCTCAAACTCGCTCGGCTCGCACATAAATGCCGCCAACTGTGCCCAACACAAACGATTTGGGGTCATGTTTAAGAGGTATATCGGTCTTCTCACACACTGAGAACTTGAAGTTCCGAATCAACTGGGCCAGGCCAACTCGTGATTGCATTTGGCCAAAACGCATACCAATACAATTTCTGGGACCATCGCCGAAGGGCAACCATTCAACAGAGTCTCGAGCTGCAACGTTCTCAGCTGAAAATCGATCTGGATCGAATTTCTCCGGATCGGGATAAAAGTCTTCATCTCGGTGATAAGCGGCTGCTGGCATTATAACTTGAGTCCCCTTCTCTATAACATATTTGGGATTACCGGGAACAACATAATCGCTAAGAGCCTTGCGCACCAAGAAAGGCACAATCGTATACAGGCGAAGAGTTTCTGTTGAGACAGACAGTGAAAGTGAGTTATGAATTCGCCACACTCCAGATTTAGTACTCACCCGATATAACCTGATCCAAATATCTCATAGCCTTTATACTTTCGTAGGTCAGTTTTCCATCGTGTTGCTGCAGAACATTCTTAATATCTTCCCTCAACTTCTGCTGAATATCTGTATGCTGGGCCAGTTCATATAAGCAGTAGCTCATTGTTGAAGAGGAGGTCTCGAAGCCGGCCAAATAGAATACAAAAACTTGAGCTGCCAGTTCACCAACGTCCAATCCTGTAACCACCTCGCCATTGTCCATTGTAAAACTACCTTTCTGCTTAAGTTCAATTAGCATTTCCATAAAATCATTCCGTTTGATATTTTCCTTCTCTCTGTATGCGACGGTTTCATTAACCAATCCCATGAAGAACTGGTGGACATCCTCAGGAACCACGCGCATTCGCAGTTTTCGTGCTAGATTAGGAAAACTTAATATGAAGGCTGTTATTAAAGATCCTTGTCGAGTTTCGCTGAAGGCTTTTTGACCCATTTTACGGAAGTCAGATTCAGGAGTGCGAAGAGTATTGCATTCAATTCCAAAAGCGCATGTGCCGATAACGTCGGTGGTAAAACGAGCCATAAGATTTTTGACTTCGATGATAGACCCGCCGGATTTAACTGGCACTTCATCAAACATGACACGTACGAACTCCTCGGATACTTTGATAATAGTTGGGAACATGAACTTCATTTTGCCAGATGTGAAGGTGGGCGATAGTTTTTGGCGCAGCTCTTTCCAACGTTTGCCATCCAAATTGAAGAGATGTCCAGTCAGAGGATCATCGCGTTCATTGTAGAACTGTCCGCGATCAGTAAAGTTTGTGAAATCCTTAATTAAAATATTCTTGGCCAGTTTGATATCCATTACAAAGGCGCTCCTCTTTTGCAGGAAATTGAAGCCCACAAACGGATGATTTGTCTTTCGAAATTTGTTGTAGTACTCCTCCAAAATATCGTGAACTGTACGAGTTTTTCTAAATCCGACCATATTTCCATAGAATGGATGAGGTGGATCTTGGGGTATTCCTCGATTTTTCCAATAATTCGAATTGTGGTGCAAAAAATATGCCACCAGCGCTGATACAGCGACTAACAAATATATTAAAAACATCATTTTTCGGTTTGCTTTCAACGACTTTGTGGTCAACACTGAGCACGAACGAGGCAAACAGCAGGTATTTAACCCTCCGGTCGTCTATGAATTGACAAATCGTAATCACAGAATATCACCGTGAATCGACGAGAAGTACACTTGTGTTGATAGTAGATAGTAAAATATGAAATTGTAGACCTTCGTTATACCCTTGTACAGGTTATTTTAATTTTGTTGAATTTAAAGGACACGGCTTCGATTCCACAAAGTAGATCGGTATTACTAGCGGAGTCAATATAGCCGTCTGTCCTTCTGCTCACATTTTTAGACTTAATTGCACAAAACTGACCCAGCTTAAAAGCAAGCTAGTTTTAAAACTACAAAAATTGTATGAAATATATCAAACTCCCAACAAAAATTTAACCCTTAGCAGATTGACTCCGGTATACAAGGGTATTTAACACTCTGTTTGCCAAAGATAACCGTTGTTTCTCTTAACACATAAGAGAGTAGTCGAAATCCAGAATGAAGAGCCGAATAGTTCAGTGCACTTAAGCGTTTGTAAACTGATAAGACTCTGGCCATGCAGTACGACGGAATCGGCTGCAAATTAATAATTTCATTATTCTGGTGTGGGTTCGTATACTGTTCTACCACTAACCTTATTGAATTTACCTCCGCTATCGTTAGAGGATTTGAGAATAAAATGCAATCTGATGTCGCTTAAGAGGCCTTCAGTAAGGTCTGATTCCGTTTAATTTAAATTTTAGTTGGCAGAATCAGCAACAAACCATTAATTCGTTTACATCATTTGTATATGTGAGTTTGACGCCCTGCGCGGTACTTTATAAATAGCGTAATGTTAGTTGATTGAAATGTAATTACATTGGGACACTATGTTAAGTGCAATTAAACTGTATCCGTCAGTTAATTGCGGTTTCTCTCAACAGAGGGCGCTCGCTGATCGCTATTGATATCATATGTTATGTATATGTTATGTTACAGATGTCAATACAGTCTTAGACCACGGTAATTAAACATTTCTTTTTAGTTGGAGAATTTATCCTGATGCAGTTAGATTTCGATATTGAACAAGCATTGAGCAAGTAAAAACTGCTAAGAATAAATAATTGTTAGCTCAAAGCTTGAAAGTTAATAACGTATCCTTCAAATAAGATCTCTAGGGATCCTCCGGAATACAGTTTTCAATTGGGGTACGTGGTTAGTTCAGACTCACACCATATGTCTTTACAATTCTCTTATACTCTTATACAAAATCTTTAGTCAATTTTTAATGGGTTCAAGGTATAAAAAGGAGATGGAGAAACAAAATTTTTTAAAAATACAGATTTGTTTTAATGAATGAAATATTCTCTGTTAAGTAGAAAGCATTCATATAGAAATTACAAAATCTTTGTGATTTTGCATTTTTACAAATTTTTAATTAAATTCGATCAGTAAAGACATCTTTTGACAAATAATTCTTTACGTTATAACTTCAGTTTATCAACACAAATAATAATATTAGGTAATTATTATATAATTAATTATAATTAATAATTGTATGTATTATGCTGATTTATTCCTTTATTTCTTTTACATATATTTACATTGAGAATTTGTGGGTTATTACACAAATAATTGTAAACAGCTATAATAATATAACAATATTTTTGCGTTGTAATCTTAAACTCGCTCCACTCGCAGATAAATGCCGCCAACTGTGCCCAGCACAAGCGACTTGGGGTCATGTTTAAGAGGTATATCGGTCTTCTCACACACTGAGAACTTGAAGTTCTGTATCAACTGGGCCAGGCCAACTCGTGATTGCATTTGGCCAAAACGCATGCCAATACAATTTCTGGGACCATCGCCGAAGGGCAACCATTCAACAGAGTCTCGAGCTGCAACTTTCTCTGCTGAAAATCGATCAGGATCGAATTTCTCCGGATCGGGATAAAAGTCTTCATCTCGGTGATAAGCGGCTGCGGGCACCATAACTTGAGTCCCCTTCTCTATAATATATTTGGAATTACCGGGAACAACATAATCGCTAAGAGCCTTGCGCATCAAGAAAGGCACAAGCGTATACAGGCGAAGAGTTTCTGTTGAGACAGACAGTGAAAGTGAGTTATGAATTCGCCACACTCCAGATTTATTACTCCAGATTTAGTACTCACCCGATATAACCTGATCCAAATATCTCATAGCCTTTATACTTTCGTAGGTCAGTTTTCCATCGTGTTGCTGCAGAACATTCTTAATATCTTCCCTCAACTTCTGCTGAATATCTGTATGCTGGGCCAGTTCATATAAGCAGTAGCTCATTGTTGAAGAGGAGGTCTCGAAGCCGGCCAAATAGAATACAAAAACTTGAGCTGCCAGTTCACCAACGTCCAATCCTGTAACCACCTCGCCATTATCCATCGTAAAACTACCTTTCTGCTTCAGTTCAATTAGCATTTCCATAAAATCATTCCGTTTGATATTTTCCTTCTCTCTGTATGCGACGGTTTCATTAACCAATCCCATGAAGAACTGGTGGACATCCTCAGAAATCACGCGCATTCGCAGCTTTCGTGCCAGATTAGGAAAACTGAATATCAAACCCGATAATAAAGTTCCGTGTCGGGTTTCGGTGAAGAACTTTTGACCCATTTTACGGAAGTCAGATTCGGGAGTGCGAAGAGTATTGCATTCAATTCCAAAAGCGCATGTGCCGATAACGTCAGTTGTAAAACGAGCCATAAGATCCTTGATTTCGATAATAGACCCGCCGGATTTAACTGGCACTTCATCAAACATGACACGTACGAACTCCTCAGATACTTTGATAATAGTTGGGAACATGAACTTCATTTTGCCAGATGTGAAGGTGGGCGATAGTTTTTGGCGCAGCTCTTTCCAACGTTTGCCATCCAAATTGAAGAGATGTCCAGTCAGAGGATCATCGCGTTCATTGTGGAACTGTCCGCGATCAGTAAAGTTTGTGAAATCCTTAATTAAAATATTCTTGGCCAGTTTGATATCCATTACAAAGGCGCTCCTCTTTTGCAGGAAACTGAAGCCCACAAACGGATGATTTGTCTTTCGAAATTTGTTGTAGTACTCCTTAAAAATATCGTGAACTATACGATTTTTTCTAAATCCGACCATATTTCCATAGAATGGATGTGGTGGATCTTGGGGTATTCCTCGATTTTTCCAATAATTCAAATTGTAGTGCAAAAAATATGCCACCAACGCTGATACAGCGACGAACAAATATATTAAAAACAGCATTTTTCGGTCTGCTCTCAACGACTTTGTGGTCAACACTGAGCACGAACGAGGCAAACAACAAGTATTTAATTCTCTCCCGCCTTCTATGAATTGATAAATCGTAATCGCAAAATATCACCGTGAATCGACAAAAGGTACGTGTGTCGGATACTAGAATATGGAATTGTACGCCTTCGATATACTAGCGTGCGGGTTATTTTAAGTTTGTTGAATTTAAAGATCACGTCGATTCCACAAAGTAGATCAGTATTACTAGCCGAGTCAATATGTTAATATTTTTAGACTTATAAGCACAGAACTGACTCAGCTTAATAACAATCGTAATAAAACTTGGTATTTATCCGTTTTTTCTATATTCAGTCAATTGATCGGAGCTGAACTAGTTTTACAACTAAAAAAATGTAATGAAATACATCAAACTCCTAACAAACATTCAGCCCTTAGCAAATGTTGTTTCTCTTAACACATAAGAGAGTAGTCGAAAACCAGAATGAAGAGCCGAATGATTCAGCGCACTTAAGCTTTTATACACTGATAAGACTCTGACCATGCAGTACGACGGAACCGGTTGGCTTACATTGTTTGTTTTGCAAGTGACGAAATTGTCTAGTGGAAATCTTAAAAGGGGTTTTCTTGTCTCGACATGCTAAATTGTTTGAAAATCTAGTAGCAGGATAGAGCGGTGCTGATCAGGTAGCAATGCAGTTGCTTTTCGCATACATTCATAGCCCTTCAGGGCCTACTAGAAAGGATGCGAACCTGTTGCACCCATGCACCCATGCTTATAAACGGCTGATATTTTCATTTACCCGGGTTGTTGTTGCAGAGAAGTCAACTGAAATAATGAACTGCGTTCGCTGCTCGACATGCCACCTGCACAATTGCCGCAGAGACTCTTTATCGATTTGACGACTTTATAGTATTGTCTGCGTAGTGTTGTTTTATAAGAGCAGATTGTTCACTAAAGGGTCAAACGGACTTAAATTCGCTCAAAGTGATGGGAAAAATTTGTGAATAATTTTGAGATCTTAAAGATAGTTCAGATGCTCATAACTTAGTTAAAGGTAAATAGATTTCCACATGGACTACCATTTAAACAATGGCTCACTTTAACATACATATATTATGATTATGGCTGTGATTTACTTTTCTTCACTTCTCAGCTTATTATTGTGTAAACTTTATTGTGCTTGCCTGTCCTTTTGCTGTCAGTTGTGGTTTGTCCTTGTGAACTCATCAACTGACAGCAACAGGCGCTTAACGTGTGCGGCTTAAGCCTGGTCTCGTACTCCCAACGAATATATTGTCCAGTTGACATCTCTTTAATTATGTGCGTTGCATTTTATGTTCTGCAGCTGCTCAAAGGGATTTTCAATGGAGTTGAGTGTGAAAAGTGTTCAATTATAAATGACATTGAAGAGGTGTTGTATTCAACGGCAATTGCCTTCGATTCCAAAAGTAAGCTCAGCACGTTGGTCATTAACATGCTTTAGGGCATTGCAACATAATGCAGCATTCTTCAAGCTGACCTTGAGCAGTCACCCTCGCCCTACTTCTACGATGCCACAGTGTCGAGTCCATGTGAATTTAATGCTGACTAACAAAAGAAATAAAAAAAAGTCAGTCAAGCACAAGAAGGCGACGTTGTTACTTACCCATCGCCATAATGAATGCAAGAGTTAAACAAAAAGAATGCATTCTTTAAGAATCAACCAACCATAAGAAGTGGGGCCACTGCCGGGGGGGAGCCAAGTACAACTAGACTGCACTTATGCGCTAAATAAAAATGCAAATCTAAATGTAACATAAGAGCTGCACGAGTTTATATATGCGAGTACATCATAAGTGTAGGCCAAACCAAGGCGTGCATAAAAGCGAACCTCGGAAATTTCTTAAAAAAATATATATATTACTGCAGTTGAGAATGCTCGACCAGGAGATACTCGCTCCAGATATATATGTTGAATATAGTACCACAACTTGAACGCATTAAGTGGATAGATGTACTCCAAAGAATATTTATATTGTTCATGAGCTTAAATAGCCGAGTCGATATAGTCATGCCCGTTTGTCAAACTAGTTTAATTGCTTATTTCACATATTTGCCAACATTTTCGTTATTTACTTTCTTATCTCTCTGACTTCTTAACGATTTATTTTGCTTTTTAATAAGCCACTAACGTTTAGCAATTTTTGGTCAATAATGTTAAAATGTTTCGGCTCTAAATTTTAAACCATTTTACTTAAAAATATAATCTAGATAAATATATATATCTTTTTATTTTACTTTAATTATTCTCTCTTAATTCTGATCATGTTGCTTTTAGTACCCATTAAGTGAATAAATATCATATGTTGATTAAACTTGGAGCATATCGCTGCATCATTATCAAAACAAAGTTATCTGAAAATAATCACACAGAGGCAGATTTTTATTTTTATGCTTCTACTTTTTCTTCCGCAGCTATATTTAAAAATTAAAAACTACGCACCATACACGGATAAGTACCACAGTCAGAATGATCGGCATAAAATAAAAATCTTTCTGTTTTAGTGTTTTTTATTTTAAATTAGAAAAGGTTTTTTCTATTGAATTCTATTTTGGAATTCAGAAAGAAGAAATAAAGAAAAATTAAATTGTTTTTTAAAATTAAATTATTTAAATTAATCATATAAGAATATTAGTATACGACTGGTTTTGTCTCGCTGACTACAGGGTATGAAAAGTGGTTGCATCTGTGGCTGCATCTGCATATCTGAATCTGCAACTACAGTTTTTGTTTCTTTTGCCAGATAGACGCAGTTGATGCTGTCGTCTTTAGTTGTTGACTTAGTTGCTGTCAAGGTGCTGGCAAACAGACAAACAATTGCTTCCAACAATTCTCCATGCCAGAGCTCCGCCTTCACGCCCACCTACCCCCCCCACCTAAAATCTTGAGCTGAGCAGCGTTGCTAATTACGCAAGCGCAGGCTCCAGCATCTTGTGGATTCGTGTAAACAGCCAGCTAATTGTCCGGAGTGCAAGGAAGGGAGAAGGTGCACTGAGCTGAGAGCTAAGACTGTAGGAGGTGTTAAGCCCGCTGCGAAGACAGCTCTTTTAAATGCAAATACCAGAAAAAGGGTCTAACATCTTAGCCCCAGCCAATTCAAGGTGTGTATGTGTGTGTGTGTGTGTGTGTGTGTTTGCTGTCTACCTCTCTGTATGTCTGTTTGTCTCGCTGTCTGTCTACTTTACTGTTTGTCTCACTGCCTTATGCATAAATTAGTTTTGTTTGTGTCTGGATGCTACCCCGAGCATTCGCTTTAGGCAAATTGTGAATTGTGAATGGGGAGTAGTGCGCATTTCCTGTAGTAGCTCCACACACACAGCTCTCTGAGCTCTCTGTTTTGTATTTTGTATTTTGTATTATGTTATGCCATGTGAGTGTTTTGACAAAGCGACGTGGCAGCATCAAGACATTGCCACATTATGTAAATTTCAAAGCGAAATCACAATAAGAAATCCGCATCATGTAAAAAGAAGTGATTACCCATTTCGACTGCCAAGACATGTTCAAAGGGCAAAGGCTCAAGGGCAGGCCATACCTTTTTATGACTATGCTCCTATATGATCACACAAACATAAACATAAATACAAATACAGACACACATGTCGCATACACAAAAACGGGGCCGACTGCAGCTGCTAGTGGCTTAAGCAAAATGGAAATGGAAGTGGAGAAGGTAAATCCGACTCAAGTCGAGTCGAGCAATTGTTGTCCCAATTGGATAGCGTTGACTTCGTCAATAAAAATAAAGTAAAAAAAATCATAAAAAATGACGAAAATTCGCTGTGCGTGTGTGTTAAGTATTTTGTCAATTGCATGCGTCAGTCAGTCAGGCAGACAGACAGGCAGGCAGGCAGGGAAGCAAATTGGAGTCGGCTTCCTTCCGGTTGCCAATGCAGATGAGTCCAATCAATATGAGAATCAAAATCAGCTCGGATCGAGTGACATTAGCTGTAAATGACACCTACATTTTTATTTATCACTTCACTGAGTGAAGAATGATGTTATAGTTGAATATGCATAAGCTTTTAGGAGTTTTAACTTTCGTAATCATATATTTATTTAAAGTGGAGCTCACAAATAAAATAAACTTTATTTATTAATGAGAAAATTAATTTTTTAAATAAAAAAATGTATAATAATAGACAACAAACAGACAACAGACAAAAATCCAAGAGCACATACATATAAGCTTTGAGCTCATTAAATTATTTAAAAATAAGATCATGTAAAAGGATAAGCTTCTTAATTAAGATTATCCCTTTCGCCTTAAGTTCTGAAAGGGAATTAGGTTTAGTATTGGACTCATTCACTCGCTTAAATATTAGATAACTAATGCGAAGCTACTTTCTTTTCTTTCATCATAATACCAGCTTAAGTTGCTTGTCTTAATTTCCACTTTCAGCCAGTGTCATTAAGGTGCCAGGATGTCAAATACAACTTTCGCAATTTTTTAGAAATATACAAAAGTATCTATTTTTGGCGCTGGGCGACGGAGCAAATAATTAGCTGTCAAACAATCGGGTGTGGTTTAAGGACGCCCTGTCAGATTGGTGGTTAAAAATTGTCAGGATATAAATGAATGAACGAACGAATGAATCAATGCGACAACAGCTGTGACAGTCGTTCAACTTTGTTGCCCTGACAAGTTCATCGCATGAAATGCTGATTGATTTCCGACCAACCGTTCCAGACACGCGCCATGCTCTGATTGTTTGACATGACGACAACGAGAGCCATGATGGGAAAGGGAATGGGATTGGGATTGGGAATGACGAGCGTGCTATATGTGACAGATGCAAAGGGGGCAACTGTCAGGCAATGCGACGACTTTTTGATATTGATTAGATGCTGATTCAATTTACTCCATTTGTGCGAACAATGTATGCAACTACTATTCTAAATATGGGACACACACATATGTATATTATTTATGAACTGTTTGCTCTACAACTGATTGACCGACTGATTGCCTGACTGACAGT